TTGAAAAAAATTACTTCTGAATAATAGTTATAATAATAATATAAATTGCACCTATTTATTAATTAAACATAAATAATAAAAATACAATTCAATATTAGTGGAAGTAAAGTGATCACCAATCATATAACTAGCAATAAATTATAAAAACTTGAATGTGCACAGTTTAAACATAAAAATCTAATATAATTTATAATTTTAAATCTATTATTTATTAATCATGAAAGGTATATCACATCTAATTTAAGGCTAAATAAATACAATCTGTTTATGAAATTGAATTAAACAATTTTATAACAGTAATAGGTAATATAAAAACCTAAAATTGAAGTAAGAAATACTTTTCATTAATTATATAACAAAAAATAACTTTAAACGTGGTTTTGTATTAAAATATCGCTGTATCTATATGGCCGAACATGGTTGGTAAGATAAGGAATACCCGGCCATGCTAAGTTAAAATAAGAAATATGTCAATAAAAAGCGCCTTTATATGAATTTAAGGAGTATTTTTTATTTTCTTGTATTATTCTTTATATATATGTATTTGGTAATTGATTAATGAGATCAAATTTGATGTTTAATCATTATAGTTATTTGTTTTTTCAGTGTTTTTTGTTCAGTGTGTTTCACTCCTCAGTTTTCTGTTTTTTAGTATTTTTCAGTGATTTTTTTTTAAAAATTATATTTTAACTTTTTAATATGAATACGTGGGAAATTGGTTAAACTTTTAATTCTTATTTTGATTTCCATAATCTTTAGAGGTGTACAAAAAAATATTTTTTTTTGATTTTTTAATATCCAATTGTTGGACATTGACTCGAAAAAAGACCATATGACCTTACTGCACTAAATATGTATAAAAAGCTTTATTAAATATAATAAAGACCAAAAAATATAAATAATAATTAAACATGGATATGTTCTGTATGTAACCATGATATCAGATCAGAGTATGTTTTGAGTGATTCTTGTTTATTATGGTATGGTGAATCTTGTGTTGGATTTTATTTTAAAACTAAACTAATAATAATGTATAGATTCTTCATATATTAAAGCCATAAATATCAACAGTAAATAAGTAATAACTTATACTGGTTTATCTTGATAAAATTTTTAATAGGATATATTCAGAAGCGTTTATGAAATTGTTCTGCAGGGGGCAAAAAAAAATGTAAGCAAATACTAGCAATAAAATTTATCACTGCATCTTTCATCTACACAAAAAAACTTCTTATTTTTTAACTGTGATGAAAAATGCCAGGGGGGATAGTAGTTCTTTCTGCCTTCCTCATGGTGTCCCTGGATATGTTATATAATATTATTTTTAATCACTAATTGAATTTACCACTCATAAGTTTTTTTAGCGTATTACAAGCCTTGAAGGCCTTTTGCCGCTTTTACCACTTTTCCGCAGTTCCCGATCATTTGCATCCTCAATTTTTGTCGTTCCCAAGCTTTCCAGATCTTTATTTACTCTATCAAGCCATCGCTGGAGGGGGCCTTCCTCTTGGCCTCTTGCCGTTGGATTTATTGATTAGTACATTATGTATTAGCTTATCCTTCGCCGTCCATACATGGCTAGCCCACTCTAGTCTTTTAGCTTTCAGACATGCTTGTATATTTGGTTTATTGAAGATGCTTTCGATGTCCTCATTTTTTCTTCTTTCATAACTTCCTGTCTCCAGGTTTATTATAGGACCATATATCTTCCTTAATATTTTCCTATCGAATATTAGGAGTTTTAGTTCATCGCCTCTTGTTGTCGACCAAGTCTTACAAGTGTACATTTTAATAGGGCGTAGGTAGGCTATATACAGCTTCGTTTTAGTTTCTCTTGATAGTAACCTTGATGACAACATGCTTCTCATAGTGTGACATTCTCTATTTGCCGAAACAAGTCTTAGTTTAATTTCATTGTGCATGTCATTTCTTTGGTTTATATTAACCCCCAAATATTTAAAATCTTCTACTTGTTCAAATAAGTATTGTCCAACCCTGAGACTTTGCATAACTGTCAGCTTTCTCGTAACAATCATAAATTTTGTTTTTCTAATATAATATAATACACTAATCTAATATAATATATATATATTTTAAAAAAGAATTAAAAATTGTAAGATTTGATTTGATTTGATTTATAATATTTATAAGCTTGTTAAAATAACATTTTATTTTTAATTTATTTCTATAGAAATTTCTAATTTTATTAAATAGTCATGGATTGATTAGAATACTTCTGTAGATTGGGCATGTCTGTGCTAAAGGATGATGTATTATGATCAAATTCAACATTCACCAAACACAAAAATCATTATTTTAATGTTATGTCAATTTGTAATGTTTTGGCTGTTTCATTTTTAATATGAAGTATAAAATTTGATAATGAAAATCTTAATGATTTGATCTATGAGTGGTGTAAACTTGGTTGAATCAAATATTTGATGTAAATTGGCATTTACTCATGATGTATGATGTAAACCAAATATTTGTATGTCACAAAGTTGAACTATTGTTTTTTGAAAGCAATAATGAGCTAAACTAGTTATAAATATTTATTACTATTCTTGAGTACTTCTTTAATACTAAAACATTTTTCTCAGGAAAAGCAAATATTTTAAAAAATTTAACTTAAAAATAATAGTATTATCTAAACTTAAGTATATAGTTAATATTTATTTTATTTACTAATGACTGCAGCATAATTATTTATAAAATAATTATTATAATTCTAATTTCAGTAGTGTAAACAAGAGTTTTAAGAAATGCAAAAACTATTATACCTACTTGTTAGGCACTTCAGAAAATGTTACCATCTTTGCTTGGTCTGATAATTTTAAACAAATCATTAATAATGAATTGCATTTATATGTTGAATATGTAATATAAATTAAACTTTTTTAACTCACTTAACTTAACTTAAGTTTTTAGAGTTGGACAAGTACTGGTTTTTTATGTCGAGTTGAGTTTCAATTATTTCGGGTTAAGTTGAGTTTAATATTTGAATACTTGTCTTAAAAGTTGAATACTCGACAATTTGAACTGTCGAGTACTCGAAAAAGGTCGAGTACTCTAGAAAACAATTGCAGTTATCAATCTGTAAATAAATGTTATCATAATAATAAAATGTATAATATCAAGTTGAGTACTTAATTCAAATTGAGTACTCGATTAAGTTGAGTATAGTAAAATACTTGATTTAAATCGAATAAAATCAAGTACACATATTTACAAGTACAAACATTTTATAAAGTATATTATTCATCCGACTCTAAAAAAATTTAAATTAAAAAAATGTTATTAATATGAGTACTTTTAATTTATCCTGATTGAAATTATAATAAAATATTATTTTTGTTATTTCTTATTTACCTACCTACAATATTTTTCCCATGAATATTTCAAATTTGATTAATTTTATATATTAGAATTTCACAGTTATTTTATTTGAGATAAGTAGGTTTCTTTTAATCTGATAATGTTAATTTATATTTTAAAAGTCTTCATCAAAACATTTTATTTGTTTTTAAAATTTTTTAAATAACATTAGTTAGTTTTATTTTTTAGTAAATGTGTTAGACTTTACTACAAAATGTATTTTAATATTTAAAATGCATGCAATATTCTATATACAGGTATTATTAAATTGTCTAGTTGTATCAACAGTTAGATATGTTAATGTATGACCAAAAATTAAATAATTTGTTAAGAAATTTAAATATGTTGTGATATTAACTATTTATAGGTAATTTTCATTATCTTGACTATCAATGATTGATAGTAATGTTGATTATAGAGCGTTGTATTAATATTTAAATTTGAAACAGATTTTCATATTTTTAAAAGTTAATAAAATTTATATCATCTTTTTTAATTTCAATATTTATAGATATGATTTTATCATGTGATCCACTCATAAAACAATATCTTAGGTTTAAATACAAAGCATTGAATGCAAGCTGTTGCACTCTAGTTAGTGAGCAATAGTAGCAGATGTTAAAGAATAAGATTCTTCATGTTTGTTTAAATAAAATTAAAATATTTTCCACCTCGTGTGAATTATTAATTACTAACCTAACCTAATCATGATTACCAACAATTGTTGGTAGTCGTGATAACTTAAATTTGCTTATTTAAAATTAAATATTAATTACATTTAATGTCTAAATACACATTTTATGGTTATAAACATTTTTATAAAAATAAATATAACATTAATTTGCATGATACCTAGGTAAATTTAATAAATTTAAGCCTAGTATTAACTTAAAATTGAATAGATATTTTTAAGAAATCTGTTATAATAAAATGAAAAAAGAACGCATTAGTGTTATAATTTAAAGTTTGAAAAATTTTTCTAATAAAAACATTTGAAAACTTGAAAATGTCTTGGTTCCAATCAAAATAAACTATTAAATGTAGTTTTATTTGTTTTGATTTTTTTTTCAAATAGATCAAAGTTAAATTTTTAATTATAATCAGTTAACATTTTTTTTAATGTTCCAAAAATAGTAAGGTAATAAAGCTTTGTATGTTTTCAATTTGAAAATATATTCATTGCTTTATATTGATAAAAATTTAAAATAATTTTACAAAATAAAAAAACAAACTATTGTAAAATGAGTAAGGTTTTATTGATCACAAAATTAATAATAATAAATATTACTTTCATACATTGTATTATATTTGTCAACCATATTTATATTATGTATATAATCATATTTTAAAAATAATTTTCCCAGTATTACTATTTAAACATACCTATAAAATTGTCTCATAAATATGAATTATACATGTTTGCTTGCAAAAATATTAAGAAAATATAATTTTTTTAGTTTACAAGGAATGTTTTTTAGAATTAACTGGTATTATACTAAAAATTAAAATCTATAATGATATAATTTTTTTGTTTATTTTTTATTTTGTAAAGGCTATAAATATATAGTTTATTACAGTAATTATGCAAAAAAATTACAAAACGGAAATTTTTTTGAAATTTTTAGATTAGCATTGTATGTGTATGAGTATTTACTACACATTGGAGCTCAAAAAGCGGCTCAAACATTTTTAAGTGAAGTAAGTAACAAATTAAATTTTGCCTATACATTTCATGTACTTATATGATTTAATATCATAATTTGTTTGTATATTCTAAATTATTCACTTATTTATATACATTATTTTATTTCTAAATTTAGATAAGATGGGAAAAGAATATAACATTGGGTGAACCTCCTGGATTTTTGCATTCCTGGTGGTGGTAAGGAGTATAAAATATAAATTAATTAATGATTGCAGAAACGTCACTAGTTGCTTATTTTATGAAATTAAGATATTTGTAAAAACATATACTAGTTATGTATTTCTATGCATTGAATGTAAAACGTCTTAAGTTATACTTCTTTTATCATATAAATAAATAATAATCAGTGTTCTCATACTAAATGCATAAAAACACATGACTTGTATATGTTTTAATTTTATAATATCTCAATTTCATTAAATATGTAAGTTGTGCCGTTTCTGCAATCATCGATTCAATTTTACATTATACTATATTATTTAATGTCATTATTATTATTGTTTTTTTTTTTATCCCCTGTCCAACAATAAAAATCACTGTGTCTTAGATTTTTGGTGTACAAAATAATACTTATTATAATAATAATAATTTGACTATAGCTACTATAAAAATAGATTGAATTGATTATAAAAAGTTTAAGTAAAACTATGATTTGATTATGATTATAAATTCAATATTCTGTTTTATTAAGACGTATATTTGTCATATTAAACAATCATCAAAATATTTATATTCTTTAATATTTAATCATAGTATTTTATTTTTCTTTACCCACAGTAGAAAATATCTTTTTTAAGATAATTATGAAATAATTAATAATAACTATTTTTTTTTACTTCAGTAACCTAAGCTAATTTTTAAAGAATGTTATATTGTTTTTATATTTAATAAATAAATATTTTTAGTGTCTTTTGGGATTTATATTGCGCTGCTCCAGAACGACGTGATACATGTGAGCATTCTAGTGAAGCTAAAGCATTTCATGATTATGTAAATATTTTACTTATTTAATAAACAATTTATACATTTGTAATGGGAGTAATTGGTTTTTAAAATTTATTTTTAGGGTTTTGTAAATGCAGGTTATGGTGTAAATGGTATTGGGCATGTAAGTATTTTTCTTCAGCATGAAGTTTATATTAATTTAATACAATATATTAATTACAGAATGCAGGACCTTCTCCTAGTCCTTTAGGACAAATGCCTCCAAATGATGGAATGCCAGGTGGCCCTATGCCTGGAAGTTTTTTTCCAGTATGTTATAATTTATTAATTATTAAAACTATCTTATTATTTTATCAATTTTGTTTTAATTTTTTTAATAATTCAAAAATGTACTTTATTTCAATTATAAGAATTCATCAATGAGACCATCACCTCCAAGTCATCCTTCAGCACAACAATCTCCTCACTCTCAACCTCCTTCTCATGGACAAATGATATCAAATCAGGTGTGAATTTAAGAATTTTCTTGTATTTTTTAATTTTAAACTATTTTTGAATTTTGTATTCAACTTATGATTTTGTTTTAGCCATTTATGGGCCCTCGTTATCCAGGTGGTCCAAGACCTGGAATTCGCATGTCACAATTAGGAAATGATTTTAATTCTGTAAGTATACAAAACTATCAACGCTAAATATTATTAATTTAAAAATAAATTTTGCTTTATAATAAAACGTATATATTAATTTTTAAGCCTTCTGGTCAGCCAATGATGCCTGGTATGGATCCTTTAAGACAAGGTAAAAAAATGAAAAATTCATTAAATTAATAATTAAAGGTATAGATTAAAAACAATTGTAATTAAAATAAGGTGTATTTGAATGATTAGGAATGAAAGTAAAAAGAATGTATTATTATTCAATTATTTGCTTAATAATATTTTTCTCCCATGTAGGTGAAGCTGGAGAATATGTTGTAGGTTGGCAAGGTAGGCCAGTATTATGTTAATTTTATTATGCACACCATTTCATTTCTCAAATATTTTGTAGTTGATACAATGATAATTAAATACTACTGTTTATTTTTCTTTTTATTAGTTTTAATATTTAATCGGACTAAGGAATTTTATTCTGAAGCATTTAACTATTAGAATTTTTGTATCAGATACATTTTATTTTAACCTTTAATTTAAATGCATCCTAGAATTCAATTAATTGTTATAATTTATTTTGTTTGATTGTTTACAAGCATGATATAATAATTTTAGTTTTTAATATAATTGAAATTACCAATTTTTTAAAAAAATTTATTACATTAATGTTATTTTTTATAATTGTTATTTAGATTGTATGAATTATCTTAAACTTGATTTTATTTTTATTTTATATTTTTAATTTTAAAAACAGAAAATTGAGTTATAGGTTTGTATTTGAATTGATTTTAATAAATATTTTAATAAATATTATGTATACATGTTTTTATACAAATTAAATAAAGCTAAAATTGTTTTCATTCATGTATAAAAATATTAAAAAAAAAAATAATAATAAATATAAATTAATGATAAACCACACATTATTATAAATTTTATTTAATTTTAACTCAAGTTATAAGTGAAAATATTTTTAAAACATTTTTTAAGAATTTACAATTGTATATGAATATTTATAAATATTATTTTAGTATTTTTTAAGACCTTATTTTAAAAATGTATATGTTAAATGCGTACAATTTTCTTTAATGAGGATGCTTACATTTTTTTAACTATTACAGAAATTTTTATTAAAATTTTTTTAATTTTATAAATAACATGTAATTTTTTTTTATGTTTTAATTGTCATAATTTGTTTATTGTTTTATTAGCTACAAGTATATTCTAAAGCACCATAAAATTAAATTTAAAAGAAGTTACACCTCATTGTTATAATTTTAATTTAGACTATTAGAACTGCATACTTCAATACATTATGTTTGTTCGTAAATATTTAATTTATAATTAGTTTTTGCTTGTGTAAATATGATTCATTATAAAAATTATATTTTATTTAAGTATGTTATTTATTTATTTAACAGGAGGTATGGGACCCATGAATCCTCGTATGAATCCTCCTAGAGGTCAAAACATGAGCCCTTTAGGATCATATAGTCCTGGAATAAGAGGCCCTCCTCCTAATACCACCATGGGACCTGGTGGCAGTGGACCAAATATGCCATTGTCTATGGGTGGACTAGTTGGAAGGCCCCAATGGCAACCAAATGCAAATACTGTAAGTATTATATTTTATTTTCAACTTATGCTAATAGTTTTCGTTATTTAATTTATCTATATTAATATTTTTAATTTATGTTTAATATATGTTATTATGATACTACTAATAAGTAAACAAATTTTTTATGTATCCCAGAAATAACAGTAACTTCAATTAATATAGAATAAACTGGAAAAACCTTGGTTATACTCATAGTTTCCTTTTTTTCATAAAATATAACTCGTATTGTATAAATCAGAAAAACCATTCTGGTAGAAAATCTATGTATTATAAATAAATAATAATTTCTATCTATAATATTACCATTTTATTGCTGACTATAAGAATTAACCAGTGCCACTTTAAATATAACTATAGTTGGAAAACATTTTGTCATTTTACAACTTAATAATTGTACTGTTAATTGTACTTTTTTTTTTTTTTAATCATAATTTTTTTTATCTGCTGTGATATTTTCCTTTCTAGTGTTATGAATTTATTTTCATCTGATTTCCTAAGCGCCCAAGTTTCTGATCCGTACAATATGACCAGCCGTTTTAGGCTGATATACAAATATTTATTTATCTCTCTTGATAATGAAGTTGAACTTAATAATTTCACAAGGTCATAATAAATCTTGTTTTCCGCTTGGATTCTTGTGTCTACTTCTTTGGTAACATTATTTTTCAGTCATAGTTGATCCAAGATATTTGAAAGAATTAACTTTCTTAAATCTAAAATGATCTACCTTCAATGCGCAATTCATCCAATTTCGTCTTCCTATAATTATATATTCTGTCTTTTGTACGTTAATTGAAGTTCTACTTTTTGTGCTGTGTCTTATTGACGCAATTATTATCTTTTACTGAGTCGTTTTACCCTATCCTGAGATCCGTTCATCAGTATTATGTCTCATCAGCGTATTCTTTTAAAGGAATAGCTGAGTTTCGAAGTTTTATTCCTTTGTGGGGTTCAATTTTCATCTCTCTTATAACATTTTCCAAAATCAGGTTGAAAATAAATAGGTGAGATGGAATCACCCTGTCTAAGACCGGACTTTACTATAAATGGATCCAACTTCATGTTTCCGACTTTAATTTTAACCACGGTTTCTATCATGCTGATTAAGACTAAGTTGATCTACTCCTGTGGGAAATTGAACTCTTTCAAGATATTTATAAGTCTCGCCCTGTAAATGCTGTAGTATGCTTTTTTAAAGTCAACGAAATTATTGCTATTATTTGATAATTAAGTTAGTTTTATTATATATAAGTAGTTCTTTATCATAAACATGTATAAGAATTTAGCAATTACTATTTTAAACTCTCAATTACACTTTGGTTATTAATAAAATATTAAATAAATTTAAATGTTAACTGTAAGCTGATGCAATATTTGATGCTGGTTTACAAAGTTAACTTCTATTTCGTAGTATTTACACATTTGTGATTATTATGATGTTTGAGGTTTTTGCTTAATAATTTGGTTATATTATTTAATCATTGAATCAGGTATTTAAACTATTATAAAAATTTTATTTAAAAAAATTAATATTTAAAATTATTTATTTATTTGTGATAAACGAGTAATAATCATTTTGTGTGAGCAATATCAGGTTTACATTTTAAGGATTTTACAGTAAGAACTAAAATTAAAACAATAATAATGAAAATCAATTACAAAATATACATTTCTATTAAAAACAATACGTGACATAATCAAAAAATTTACATAATCATTAATAAAATTTGCTAGTTTTAATGCTCTAGGGAAGAAAGAAGTGGAGCTACAATTATTTTTGTAAACTGGTACATGAAATAAGTTTGAATTTCTTAATCGGTGATTTGTTATATTAAACTCTATCATAGTAAGTAGATATGGGGAAAAATATGATCATTCAACAAATCATAAGTATACATAATATCTGCAACTTTTATTCTTACTTCACAAGATTTATTTATTTGCATAATATACATATTATTTGAAGTAAATTGAATATTTAATTTGTAAATCATTAATCTTTAGAATTTATGTTGTAAATTTTCAATAAGATCAATAAATGTGATGTAATTAGGTGACTAATTCAAAATGACAAATTCAAGATGAGATCTAACAAGCGAATAAAACAATATTTTCAATACTTTCATATTTTTAAAGTTAGCTGTATTTCGGTTGATAAAACTAAGCACCTTAAAGGCCTTTTTAGTTATAAAATTTGTATGAGAAGTGAAAGATAAATTGCAATCAACAGTTATCCCTAGGTATCTAATTGAAGTAACTTATGTGACGGAACAAGTATCAATTTTATATTCAAAACTATTGGGATTTTCGGAGCGTGAAAAAGTAATAACATTACATTTTTTTAAATTTAACGATTAACTATTTTGGTGACTCCAAGTTACAAATTTATTCAAGTTTCCTTGCAATTTTAATGCTTCTGATGGAGAATAAATCGTAGAAAAAAATTTTGCGTCATCAGCAAATAACAATATGTCGACAATTTTATCAAAAATAAAGGGTAAATCATTGATAAAAGGAGACTTAAATGGGAACCCTGTGGTATTCCAGAACTAACTGAGAAGTGGAAGTACAATGTGACACTTTAACCGCTTGAGTTCGACTGATTAATAGGACCATAAATAATTTAAGAAATTTCCATGAATTCCAAATGTAGATATTTTCTTAAGAAGTAAGTGATGTTTGACCTTATCAAAAGCTTTTTGAAAGTCGGTATAGATTGAATCTGTTTGAACATGATCATTTAAGGCTTTAAGTATTTTAGACTAGTAAAGTAGAATATTAGTGGAAATTGACATTTTTGGTCTGAACCCATGTTGGTTATTACAGATGAGAGGAGAAACAATTATGGATAATTTTTTAGTTATTATGGCTTCAAATGTTTCGGGAATAATAGACAGTTTTGAAATTGGTCTATAATTAGTAATATTATGTCCATCTCCTGTCTTATAAATCGGGGTCACAAACGATTTTTCCAAGAATCTGGAAAATAATCCAGGTTCAGTGATTTATTGAAGATAAAATGTAGTGGTTTTAAAAGTACAGCACAACATTGTTTTAAAAATATTGATGGTATACCATCGGGTCCTGTCCCTGCATGCGAATCTAAATAAGTGATAAGGAATTTCGTAAAAATTATCAACTATTGCATCGAGTGACAGGTCCTTGTTAAGATTTAGATCAAAATCAATATTGGAAAGAAAAAGAGATATATGATTGAAATTACACTTTTTAAAATTGAAAATATACGGTGACTCATAAAAATCACTTACTTACTGAGGAGTATTTAAATTTAATTATCAAGTCTAAGGGAGGATGAATTTCATCCTCCCTTATTCATCCTCCTCAATTGTATGCACAGAGAGTCGACCCATTGAGAGAAAGACGTAAGTTTAGCATTCTCACTAAGCATTAAGCAGTCGAGTGTTCGACCTAGGCAATTTTTTATAATATTACATTGTTTTAGATTCAAAAAATTTATATAACTATCAAATATGATGCCACCAGATCTATGATTTTATATATTTGGATCAACAGATCAGTCAAAATTACTTAAATTAAAATGACCAACTATTACAAAATAATGTTCGGGAAATTTAAAAGGAATAGAATCAATTATATCACAGTGATTTGAATATATATCAAAAGATGCATTTGGTGGTCTATAAACGCAACCTATAATAATTTTTATGTTGTTGACAGTAAGTTTCAAAAATATTTGTTCGATTCCGACTTCGGAGGCAACAGTTAATAATTTGCAGTTAATATTTTTATTTATAGCAATTAATGCACCACCACCTCTAGTTTTTCTGAGACCTAAAATGCGATCTTTTCTGTATAAATTATGATTATTAAAACCTTGTTCAGCATCAAAAATGTTACTATTTAACCAAGTTTCATTTAAATAAATAACATTATAATTAACATTAAATAAAGCATTACGTAAATATGAAATTTTGGTAAGTAGACTAGGTACATTTTGGTGAAACATACTTGTATTAATTAAAAAAATTTTTCAACATGATTATTAGAACGATCATTCCTAGAGACTATTGTTAGAGTACTTCTTACGTATCTGATGATTAATTCGCTTCCCTCTTCACTTGATCTACGAGACTCTAGTTCTTCACGATTTATTTTCATGTAGTTTCTGTGATATAATGTACGGTCTGAGCTGATACCAATATTTGAAGACGGATTAAGTGAAAATAATTTTTTCTTTGATTTTAATATTTCGAAGACAACAACTGGTGAGCTAAAAGCCGCTTTAATTGGACGAGGTTTATCACGACCACGAATACCCAAACGTATTAAATTTGTCGGTCTAATAATTTTATCACAACTAATAATTAAATCTATTAGGTTACTTACAACATTATGGTCGTGAGTATTTTGTCAGCGTTGTTATCTGAGTTAGACTCAGTAATGTTGTATAATATTAGATTGGAAGCCTCATACATTATGTTCGCCGATCTCATTAATGATGAATTCTTCGGAACAATGTGAAATATTTTTAGTATTTTTTTGATTTTTAAGGTCATTCACTTAGCAAACGATTTATTAAAATTTTCAATTCTGAAATATCACGTAATCCATTATTGCAGGATTCGCAAAAGAATTTTAAATTACGAGTTTTTAGAGAAAGATATTTTATTTCGCTTGCTGATAGACCAATGCATTGAAATACTAAATTGCATCCATCGCATTTAACGGGCGTATCTAGTCCAGCGAACATGATAGAACAAATGGAACAATTTCGAGTATTTGTAGATGTCATAGCTATGAATTAATATATTATTTTAATCATAGAAAACTAATAACAATAACACATAAAGTATTAAGAGAATGCACAACCTTACAGCATGAATGCACAATCGCAAGTGAAAATTAAAAATTAAAAATTAAATTAAAATTTAAGTTATTGATTTTTATATTAGAGCTATATTTAATATTCTGAAACAGCTTCAAAATTACGTATATAAAATATATTTGTGTTTATTAAACCTAAAAAATGTTGGGAACTTTTTTAAAACTAATGTCATTAATTAATTTGCAACAAATTAACTTAAACTATTTAACCACATGCAACGTTTCTTTGTCATTTATTAATCTAATATTCTAATATTTTAAAAGTATAATACATAACTATTTTTTTGTTCTCAAAGATATTTTAAAAAAATGTAACATACACCAATTAAAAATAAAATATAAAAATCAAAAAGTAAAATGTAAACTTCTCTGAATTCTATTATTCTATTATTCTCTGAATTATAAAAATTAATTTAATTATTATTTTATTTAATTTAATTATATTTAAATAAAAATATTACAAATAGTTATTAAAAGGTATATTTTAATTACTACAGTCTAAATTTGATTAAATGTATATGATTGTTTTATCATTGTATTGTAACTAATAAATGTTAGATATTTTACTATCCATATTTTGATTATGATCTTTAATTTAACATAATTACATAATTTCTAATCCTTAAATTATTAAATTCAATATATTTAATAGCATAATGAATTTATTTTTGTATTTTTATGCTATAGATGAATAACCTTTATTTTTTAAACATTCATTTATTTATATTTTTCAGCCTATGAGTTATTCATCATCATCACCAGGCGCTTATGGAGTAAGTTTAAATATTTTAATTTTATAATAATTTATGAATATTACACCCGATCTGTAATAATGTAACTAAATTAGAATTTAATATCAATATAAATGCTGTTAAAAATTTGTTATAACTTTAGTTACATGGTTAAAAAGAATTTATAAAGAAAATTAGGTTTATAAATAGAATCTTATTTAGGGACCTTCTGGATCAGGCGGCCCTCCTGGACCAGGCACACCAATTATGCAAAGCCCTCAAGGTAAATTAAATAATTATAGGTAGTTCTTGTAGTTCTTTGTAGTATGTGATCTTAATTTGAGCAATAATGTTGAAGATTCTTCTAATTCTGGAGGAGAAAGTATGTACACAATGATGAAGCCGGTTACTGGAGGGAATATGCCTGGTGTAAGTTATAAAATAAGAAAATGTATAAAACCATGTATTTTTCAATTGTTGGAGGTTGGTTTTTTATTTAAAAATAATTTTAGGATTTTCCAATGAATAATGCATCAGATAATGGACCATTAGGACCAATGGGTCCAAACACAATGAATTCAGTTTTGAATGGCGACGGATTAGATGGTATGAAAAATTCACCGACAACTGGTGGTCCTGGTACACCAAGAGAAGACAGTGGAAGTGGCATGGGCGATTATAATTTGGCAGGATTTGGAGGAGCAGGAGAAAATGTAATTGGCCTGGATCTATATTAGTTTATAGATGTTGAAGACAATCGATGAACTACATACTGATTAAGGTTTGATGACAACTTAATGGTGATCAAGAAACAGAAAGTGGCGAATTACTAATACTGTAAAAAAAAAAAAAAAAATGGTACATATTTAAAAAACTGTATTTTTTGTTTTTTTTTTTTTGATGGTAATGTTTAATATGTGTTTTAAATTTTTTGAATAATTAAGTATTGCTCACCATTTTTCATCTTACCATTATCAGACTGTATTCATCTTCTTGGTCTGATTTATTTTTATTTTTTATTTATTAATGGTTATTTACATAAATTATCTTAAGTGTTAAATAAAAAATATCTCTGTAAGTTTTAATTTTTGTAGATTCCCAAAAAAATATTAAAGGCATAACTTAAAAACAAAAAAAAATAATTAAGGTATATTGAAATACATACATATTTTTAGCCCTGAATTATGAATTGGTGTTCTTATAGTCCATATATATATATATATATTTGCATATTTTATAGAAATGTTTACATTTATCATCATTACTGTATATGAGTATTTGCATTTTTATTTTGATTAATTGATATGATTACTGAAATGACTTGAATTTTAAATAAATATAAAGTTTTAAATATAAATTAAGTTATTACATTTTTTAAAAAGATAAAAACATATTATACTGTTCAATTTTGAATGACTGTTATTTCAATGACTTTAGGATCATCAAATTAATAACAATTTTTACAACTCCATTTAATTTTATATTTTACTTGTTTAGATAACCACCCTGATATATCCTGTTAAATAAAAATATTAAACAAGTAAAAAAATTCTTTTAAAATAAACAAGACTAATTTAAATTATAATATAAAAATTTAGATTATTATTATTTTATCTATTCAAATATTTTTATTGTTTCTATTTTAAAGAATACAGTTAAATTAAAATTATTTGAATTAGAAAATTAGAAAATCTTTGAAATCAACATCAGTATTTTTGAACAGTGCAACAGCGTTGATAACGGCTTTATACATTTTTCTGTGATGATACTAACAACTACAAATACTCTTGCATTTTAGTGTTGAAATTAAAAGTAAAACGTTTAACTCACTATAACAAGTATAATATTTTTTAGAGTTTATTAAACAAAATTCCCATGAAATCAAAGTTTTATATTTAAAAATAGTACTGCTGTTTGTGTCCGAGTCGTTCTCAATGTTGCCAAAACGGTTGATATTTTCCAATAAGGGTGTACTTATATATCATCACATACTTAACTTTTATTTTAATGCAATATTTAGGATCTGACCGAATCCGCAGCAATATTGAAAATAAAAGAAAGTATGCAAGAGGAAGCCAAACGTTTTGAAAAGGATTCTGACCAACCGGATTATTACATCCAATAGTCAAAAATATGATGATGGCTCGAATTTATAATACTATAGATTTAAACTCTTGCAGTGAATATAAGTGTAATATATTTACACTGATATGTTCGTGACATTTTTGAAATTTCATGGTTCACAACCAATTTGATATAAAAAGTTATACTTTATTCATTATTGATATATTACTATAATACATATTACGCAGGGATTATGTTCATGGACAGTATGTAATATAAATATTTAAGGTAAATTTGTTTAAATATGAAAACAAATTGTACAGTTTCCTCATAATTATTGAAACTTCACTGTTGTGTTCTTTTGAACTATATTTTGCACTCATACAATAATGGTTAGGATAAAACCTTTCTTTAAAGAGCACCAAAATTTAGTCGGAAATATCCTTTTATGTTTTTTTGGGACTTCTACTATTTTTAAATAATCGTATTATTAAAACGAAATTTATTACTGTTCTATATTATCTAAAAATATGTTATTTTGAATTTTTGTGATGGTATATTTATGGTCTAATGAATTATAAATATTGAATGTGGATATTAGAAATTAGTCCCTTTTATTAATTGCATTACAAAATATGTATTAAACTATGAAGTAATACATTTAATCCACCTGTTATATATGTTATGATTTAATCGTTTTAAATCTAAATAAAATTGATATTTGAAAATAAATATTGATTGGTTAATCAAAACGTATTCTTAATAAATACATTGGTCAATAAATTTATAATTATTTGACGTTTGTTATTAAATATACCTCATGCATTTGATTGCAGCTAGTTTAATTTATATTTGATCTGATTTAATGACACATCCTTAATTGGAATAATTTAAGTGAAAAATTTTTAATATTTCTTTAATGACAATTTTAGTCAATCTCGAAGTATTAAAGTAAATTTGAATACTAATTATATAAATAATAAGATATTTTAATTATTATCTGTCATAGCTGAGCACACACATATTTTAATAGTAAATTAATAAAATATCAATAATAAAATGATTTTCAGTATATTTTTAAAATTTTTGTTTAATAACTCATAATTTAATAATACAACAAAACACAATTAACAATAAAAAATAAAAAATATTTTACAGTTAAATAGAGTAATTGGTATGTAATCTACTGACAATATTATAATACAAACTTTTTTAATAATTCTATAATATTTATAAATTCGGAATATAATAATTGAAGCAGGAAAAAAAATTAATGAATACTGAAAATTCTGTTTATATTTTAATGGATTTTTGTCTAATATTGTTTTATTCTTATTGCCAATAAAAACAAAGATGATAACATATAACAATAAAAATGTTGAAAAAAATAACATCAAATAAAAATATAAATTGATAACAATTTTTAAAATTGATTATTTAAAATGTACACACTAGTACTATAATTCAAAATCTTTTGGCTATTTTTACAATTATTAATTATTTAACAGCAAGAGATATAATTTTTGATTTAAAGTTAACATACAATAAATGCAATTTAATTGTTTATATAATGATTTTTTTTTCTAATCAAAATTTTATTAAATTTATGTTGGTATTATTGGAGCTTAATTTGTTTATTTTTTGTCCCCATTACATTCCCTTAAGATTTAGTATGTTTCATGATAGATTTTGTTTAAGAAAACTATGTTGTAAAATGTTATTATTAATATGTACAATGTTTTATTATTATTATTATTATTTGTATTGCACATTTCATGGTTAATTGTTTATCTGTGGTATCTAATTAATAGTTACCGAAAAGTTTAATAGTATTTCGATAATTCATAATTGTATGTATTTTGTCATTTTCCCTTCGTAATAAAATCAATTTAGTTAAATATTAATTGTTTTTGTAATATAAATTATGATTTTTTACTTTAAGTATCGTGTGATTTTTTTTAATTAAAAAATACTTAATCAAAATCTAATAAATGATCAAAATTTAATGTTTTGATGAAAAATAGGTATTGAAAATTTCAAGAAAAAACCTTGTTAAGTCAAGAAAATTTAATTTTTGATTACTGAAAAATCAAACCATTTATATGATAATGACAGTTAATTTCAATTTTATATTTTATTTTACTGAGAAAAATATAAAAAATGATTAAAAATGGTAAATTATTATATACCGTGTCAACAAAAAAATTATTGAAATTAGGTCGGTAATGTCTTATGCAACTGTTTCATTAATATTTTTGCAAAAAATGCTATGAAATATTTTATTATATTAAAAGCTTTTTCTTCTTTTTTTGAAGTATTATTATTAAAAACTGCGATTAATTATGTTATTATGTACGCCCAAAATGTCTCAAAAAATCAGAAATACTAGAAAGTTGAATGTACAATATTAATTCTTCCAAAGTTAGTTTATTTATTCTAATAAAATTGAATACCTTTTAAATATACTTATAATTTATTGGTAATTTCAATAGCTTTTATAATCTAATTGTTTCCTATTTAATTAGTCAGTTTATTAGACATAGTTTTTAATCCTTATTATAAAATAGATGTTAATTAGTTCATGGGACCCATAAATTTGCTTGGTTACACGTTAATGGATGTGATATTAATCACAGTTAAGTTTTATGCCGGTAGAGAAGTGCACTTGTTAGGTTATTTTAGACATTTCGAGGTATTAAGTCCGAGGCATTTTCAAATATATTGTTTATTGAAATACATCTTGTACAATAAATTAAAACTATATTTTCTCTATTTTAATATTGTATTTGAATTAAGTGAATCTGTGTATGATTTATTTAATTGCGATTAAGCGTCACATTTATTGTATATTTATATTTTATTATTACTTATATAGATGTATTTGTAAATAATATCAGTGTTATATTCAGTGTTGTAAATCATTTTATTATCTAATTAAACTACCTAACAGTATATAATATTTATTGTTCATACTAGAAAATTGTTTTTTAATATTATTTTAAGTGTATAATAACAGTATAATGCAAATAAATTCACATATGTCAATCCAAATTATGGTTGATTAGGTCACACGGGTGATGAAACCATACTTGATTTCTTCTGTATTGTACCAGATGATATAACAGGATCTGCTAATGATGTAGATAAATCTTCGTCATTTAAATAAGCACTATTCTTAGGTAAATTATCTTGGTCATTATTTTTGTAATCACCATCACAAAAATACTCATAGTTTTGACCAAGATTCAGTTGGTCAAGTTTTGTTTGAAGAATTTGAATTCTTTTAGTTGAGCTTTCTCGCTGAGTTTCTAACATTTGTAGCATAGGTTTGGCCACTGTTTCTAGCATATGTATTCCTGACAAAGTGTACACTAGAAAAAAGTTTAAAACAAAATTATTTTATTATTTATTCAAGTATCAACTCAAGTAGAATATAGTGTTTCTGCACACAACTTACAATTGAAATACTTTAAATGTAAAAACTATTGATCAATTTATGTAAATCATTAACTTTCAAAATATATTTATGGGAGATGGGAATTACATCAAATTCAGCGATTAAAATCTTTTAACAAGACTAATAAAAACAGTAAATTTTCATTACGAATAATTTAAAATTACTAACATAAGAAATATGGTACTCATGGAATTTTTTTTAAACTTAGTTATGATGTTAATAATAACTTAAAATAACTTGCAACTTCAAGTTAAATTAGTTAAAAAACTTTGAAAAAAAAGTAGAAGAAAATTTTATAATAAACAATGTCAAATGTTAATTATTATTTTTAAAACCAAAATAATGATTATACCCGTATAGTTTTGAGACACTGAAAAGTATTTAAATAATAAATTATTTTCATTTTAGCTATTATTTAGGTTAGAAAAGTCTCTTTTATATACTGCGCAATAGGATAAACAAATAAAAATTATAAATTGTTTAAGAATTTTATCATATTTAAGATTAAATATATCAATAGTACCTGCATCATTGTGGAGTTGTGCCATTGGACTAATATCATCTACATTTGCCTGATTATAATTTTTTATAAGTTCATCATACAATGTTTCAATGTGTTTTACAATTACCTAATAAAATATATACATAAATATTAATTTATAAATACTAGAAACAAGATTATTCTAAAATTATAAATGAATATAAACAACGCATTTGATTTGGATAATTTTAAAATGACTATATAATTTAAATATTTTACTTCACAAATTTTTAATATAAAATTTAAATTTAAATTTTTCTAGCAAAATAATGAAAAAAAAATTTTGATTTGGATATTTTAAAGTTGAAGTAATAAATATGTTTTTTGACTTTTACTATACTTGGTAAGAAATAATTTATTTTTCTATGAGAATAATATCTGAAATTGAATAAATGTTTATTTTAATATCTAATTAATGTAGGCCTATATTTTAAAAAAATTTAATCTAATTGTGAAGTTTATATAGAGTTTAATATTTATCAACCAAATGATTAATTTTAATGAATACAATTTTTCAAATTATATTTTTCAACTATATTAATAAATTTTTTTTGGACGTTTTTAAATAATTTTTTTATAATTTTGAATTATTTAACATAAATTATTTAAAACACAAATATTAATCAAAATGGATATTGATCTTTAGAAGTTACTTATGTATCAATGTATATATATGTTAAACATTTATAAATTAATTTCTCCAAATATTCCCAAAATTTCACAAATCAATACTACTTAATTTTAACCTAATTTCATTGACACAGTATATACTTAATCCACAAAAATATATTAATTACCCCAAATGATAATTGGCTTGTAGAAGAAGTAGGTACAACTTGAAATTTAACATCTATTCTGTGCACTAAGCCATTAATTTGTTTTGCCTGAAAACAAACTGTTTTCATTTCTTTCATCTAAAACAAAATTATAAAAAAATAATATAAAATTATTATTACATAATTTTAATTGCTACATATGATGTTAAACTTTTCAAAACTTAGAAATTTTAACTTAAAAAACAAGTACAAAGTAATCAATTGGGCGAGCATACATTTATATTAATTATTATTATAGGAGTCTATTATTTGAAAAAATGAAGTCAAAACTGATTATTACATTACAAATGAAGGATATAATAATTATACCTAATTATATACAAAATAAAGATTTGGTAAATAAGACAATTTGGTTAGAATAATATTATATGGCACAAATTATATTAAAGTTCAAATATTATTGATAAATAATATTGTTTATAACCAATTCAATAAGGGTAAATACCGACATTTTAACATTAAATGAGATGTTTTAACATATATATCATGTAAATAGTCCATTATTATGTCATTTTACATCACCATTCACTTGAAGGAAGTAACAGTTTTCATATTAACTTCAGAAGATTCTTGCACAGAAACCAAATCAATCATAAGTACTATCAATGAAATCAGATTCTGATACATATATAATTTTAAACAGTAAATTATATCTGTTTTTAATTTATGAATCCATAATACTTAAAAAAAAAAGTGTTAATATTTTATAGATAAATAATAAAATGAAATATAAAAAATGATGCGAGGTGTAATGATTTTTAAAAACCATAATATTAATCAATAATTCATTTAAATCATAATTAATTATCATCCAATCCATTATTTTTTGTATAAAAAAAAAAGGTTTTTTCATAAAGAGTATTTCTGCTCACCATTGTAGTAGTGTCTGTATTATACGAGGAACAAATTATACCAATAAAACATGAATCCATATTTTGTAAGTTAAGTTGAGTTTGTAAATCTGAAAATTATTAAAATGATAGTCAATCTTAAAAATGTATTCAACATTTAACAATTAATAATTTCACCTATGAGAAACTAGCACCACAATATTAAGAGATCAATAAAGTTAGTTTATCAGATTGTACGAGTTTAACTTTAACACTAAATGTTTTTGTTAAATATACAAATTAATATGGAATTTCAGATCCCAAACAAATGCTATGTATACATTTATTTGTAGTAGTTGAGTGAGTGATTAACTAATGTGAACATATTTTATACTTAAAATACTTCAATTTGCATATAATTCATAAGGTATATGAATTATATAATACAATATATATAAACAAATACATTTTAAAAACCTTAAGCATAAAAAAACAGAATAATTTAATTTATAACTGCACACTAAATAGTATCTGTTTTGTATATATTAAATATGAAATGATTAACCATAGATTTATTAACATTAATAGGTTAATATGTCTCTGTGATTAACGAAAGCTCTAATATGCATAGATGAGTTCATGTGAAAAACTATGTACCTAAATACCATATGGCTGATGTTGCAAAATTATAGATACTCACCATAGACCTTTTACCTTTTAAAGGTCTATGACACTTACCAACACTAGAAGGCCAGACAGTGATGTGTGGATGTGAATGATACCAGCCAATTACATTTAAATTTTCGCCTTTGACGCGAGAGAAATGTTTGGCATCTTCCATGGCGTTGACCAAGTCTTCAGACATGATTTCAACTCGATCTTTTTTTATTTCTCCTCGAGGCGGTATCGACAGCGCCGATACGGAAACGACGGTCATCCCATTTCCGTACGTTATTTTCTACGATAGAGGTGGGTTTGGAGAAAAAACGATTAACAGTTATTACACAGCATTTAACGAAAAAATCGTAAACGCTTACTTGGCCGATGAGCAGAGCGGCGACTTCCTCTTTCTCCGTGAGCAGTGCCAAATTGTGGCACATGAGCAGCACCTCGTCCGAGATGAACACCTGGGTCGGTTCGTTCGACGATTGTTTGTTCATGGTGGAAACGCGAGCGCCTCGAAATCTTGCGACAGCGGAAACGAAGGATACGTGTGTCTAGTGTCGTCACTGGCGGACGGCGAAGGCGTGTCGGGAGCGCGACGAACGTACGGGGTATACCCGTTGTACACCGATCCCGGATAGCGATGCGGTGACGACGAGTGGAGTCGGTTGAGGCTGCGGCTGGCGACGGGTTATTAAGCTGCGACAGTGAAACATAGATAATAGAATGATTCTATTATAACGGAGTAATTCTATTACAATAGAATAATCCTATTGAATGAGAGCAATTCCATTATCTACGCTGCGAAACCTATCAATTTATCAACACCGCACGCGGCTTATCATACACGTATTGTTTACAACGTTCGTCCGTGTTCAATAACAACATTACTACTATTACTACTACAATACCACTACTAATATAACGGCAACTGTTCTGTTGTTACCATCGGTTGCCACTGGTTATCGATCCGTTTTGTCAATAATAGCAAAGCGGCGCGCGTACTTCCGGCATTCTCGTCACTTCCGATCGTGCCGTTTCGTGCGTCGCCCGCCGCGCGTCTAGAACCACCGAATATCCTCGTCAACCGTATCGGTCACAGTCCCCGAGGTCAGTGTTGTTTTTATTACGATGCTCAAGCAATGCCTAGTTTGTAAGACTCACACCCTCTCCCGCGTAAGTTTGATCTTTCGGTGTTGTCGACGACAATATTAAAAAATGATCGGTTTTATCGCGCCGTTCGCAATCCGGTTCAGTGGCGGACTATGACTAGTACTTGCAGTGAATTATATAAAGAATTTTTGACTAGGCGTCAAAAAAAAAAAAAAACAAAAAATTTTCAGATATATAATCAAAATCGATATAATTAACATTATCAAACAATATTATGAAAACCTATAAGAGAAAAAAAATTCTATTTTTAATATTCAAACTTTATAAACTCTAATAATACCATCCAAACTCGTTACTAATTAATAATTATAAATAGTTTATAAATTACATTTATTTATTTATTTATTAACTAGATAGTATAATATTGTTTGGTTTTTATCTCATTGATTTTACATTGTAGATATTTTGGCCAAAACATTGTTGTCGTCAAGTAATTAAATATATCATCTTCTGCGCGACATTTATGTGGCCCAGTATGTTAGTTAAAGTATCTACTGAGTACATACCAAGAAGTCCTGCTGACCGCAAACACTTGTTTTTTTATTTTTATAAATCTGGCGCTAAATAAATTAATTTGTTTGGATATGTTACTGTGGACGATGTATTTTGTTGACTGTGCAATGCAATACAGTTTTAACATCTTTTGCAACAAAAACAAATACCTTTTGATTTAATTATTTTTAAATATTTTCTTAAATCAATATTACTAGATTTGAAATTTTTACAAAACATTTTATGTAGTTATTGGATATTGTTGTTATTGACATACAATTTAAAGCAATTTAAATTACAATTTAAAATTTTAATTAACATTTAATTTTACCACAATATGATATAAGGAAACTTGCAATTAATTTAATTAATTATTTTATAAGTATGTTCTTTGTAATTTATGAGTGAATGTAAATATATATTTATTTTATTTAGATATATATCGTTAAAAGCAAAAAATCGTACAAATATGCCAGCTACAGGAAGAAAAAAGTCTGGATTTGAATTTAGTGATAAACAATTAGCTGATATAAACGAAGCATTCGGATTATTTAATAAAGATGGAACTGGATCAATTGAAACCAAAGAACTAAAGGTATTTATTTGAATACATCCATGTTATATTAATTATAAAATTAACTTTTTCCAACGTTTAGTTTATAATATTGTTGTATTAACCATGTATCTTTTAATAATAAAACAATATAAAAAAAGACTGTGGGAACAAAAATCTTTAAGTAGATAAGCTTTAAATAATATCTATTGCATGATAAGTACAATTCATTTTATGTTTTAAGGTAGCTATGAGGGCATTAGGATTCGAACCAAAAAAGGAAGAAATTAAACGTATGCTTAGTAGTTTAAATAAGCAACATACTGGTAAGTGATTTTTTTTTTTATCTATTAAATTAAATATTTGTACAATAATGCTAATAGTTAAAAAAAAATGTAAAATTTTCTTTAGGTGTTATAACATATGATGAATTTGTAACCTTAATGTCAATAAAAATGGCAGAAAAAGATTCAAGAGAAGAAATTATTAAAGCATTTAAACTATTTGATGATAATAGTACTGGAAAAATAACATTTTATAATTTAAAGCGCATTGCACAAGAGTTAGGAGAGAATATTGCCGATGAAGAACTCCAGGTTAATATATAAACCATAAAATTTATAACTTTATGTTATTAGTATATAAATATCAGAAAGCTAAGTAAGTTTTCTTAAAAGCTTTCCAAGTTGTAATATTTTATATAAACCAAGGTACTAATCAGTTTTTATATAATTATTTTTTGATGGATAAAAATAACTAAAATTTCAATAACACTGAAATTATAAAAATATATTATTATATTTATAAATTTATTTTGATGAAATTTGTAATTTGGTTTATTATTTATTTAACTCTATTTCGACTTTTTAATATACCTCAATTACTATAAAGGCTGATTTACACGTTATCAGTTGCTGGCATGCTAGCTGGAAGGTGTCTGGTGTTTGGAAACTGGAATTATCAAGTCACTGGCACCGATTGTTTAAACAATGTCGGCTACTAGTATAGGTACTAGTAGTGCCGAATATGAAACTTAATTCTGGTCATGACCAGACCATATTTTTAGGGTGGTGGGTAGTGCTATGGTGAATTAATATACTAGTTCTGAGTGAATTTATCCAATTAACTATAATTTATAATATTGTCCATTAAATAATTACTATTTAAGAAGTTTAAATATCTAAATGCTAAAATAACTTAAACATTTTTGGGAGGGGGCGTACTTCCAACTCCATAAAATACGTCCGTGGATGGGTTAGGTGACTATTGACCAGACCGTTCAACATTTTGTTCCGACGCCACTGATAGATACTAACCAGTGGTTGTAGTGTTTTATCAATTTGAGTACAGAGTAGTATACTCATTAACTTGTTAGTTTTTACTATAAATATTTTTTATATTATTTTAATATTGTTATGACAGAAATAACATACAGCAACGCAATAAAAAAAAGCAGTGTGTTCTGTTGCTACAGTATTGTGTGACAAGCTGTTGGAAATATGTGAAGAGGAATCAAAAAAGAAAAAAAGAAAAGTTTGGATTAGAGATTGGATGGATAAAAAGGAATATGGAGCAACAGAATAAATTATTAAAACTTAGAGATAATAGCCCACTTAAATTTAAATCTGTAATTAGGCTAACAACTGAACAATTTGAAGAGTTGTTGCTAATGATAAGTCCAATCATTAGCCATAATGGCACTCTTAGGTGTCCAGCTCTACTTCTTAAGTTAGAAATAACCTTAGTATGATTCCATTGTGGTTTAGTGGGAGGGGGAAGCAAACACGTTAGTAAAACAAAAATGTTTTACTGGCAATGCCATCAGCTGACATGCTAGTGCCCACTGGCTTTCTCCAGTTGCTGGTATATTATGTTTATATGTTACCGGTTGCTGACATTCATTAACTGGCAACTTTGATTGGTAATGTGTAAATCAGTTTTAACTAATTGTTAAAACTTCAATAGTAGTGAATAATAATTAAAATTTATTACTTGGATTTTACTTTCTTAGATTTAGACAACTTTACTATGACTGTTGGAAATAATTTACTTATATAAAAATATAAAATATTTATAAAATTAACAATATCATATATGTTTGATTAATATAATAATTTAAAATGATTAACTTTACAGTTTACAGTGAATTTCAAATGTTAATGATTTGGAATTTAAGTTGTCGTAACTAATGATCTGTAGTGAATATTAAAGTCGAATTTTTTTTAATTATATGTTTAAATTATCTCTATTACAATGGTTTAAAAAATTTTTTATTGATTAAAGTTAATTGTTTTTTCAATACTCCTATATATTTTATTAGTAATGAAAAATTATTCATTACACTATGCAATTTAACAAAATGGGTATTATAAAATGTTGAAGATAAAAAAATTAAATAAAAATTAAATAATTTAACCCTTTTTAATTTTTTTTTTTTTTAAGTAATTTTAAAGGATAGATCATTACTTAAATACTATAATACTACATTAAAATTTAACTTCTAGATAATGAATTGTAGACTAATTTTTTTTTTTGCGTTAATCTCCCAATACAGTCAACTCGCGATATAACGAATTTCAAGGGACCGAGTAAAAAGTTCGTTACTTCGAAATTCATTATATCAAAAGCATAAATCAACAAAACTTGTTTAAACGATATTTAAAAGAAAATTTAAATTTTATTAGATTTTTATAATTACATACCTACATACAATATGAGATTATTATTAAATATTTTATTAGATACATTCATACATTTTTTGTTTATTACATACATACATATTTATTTTTTTAAAAAATAGGATTTTTTTTTGTGTGTATCCATTTGCGCTTACGCGATTAATAGTGTTGTTCAAATTTAGAATATTACAAAATACACTGTCGTCAATATCATGTCTTTGTAAAAAACTTAAGACGGCACGGAGACCTAATTTTGCTTCATTCGAGCTTACGGGGCTCTTCGTCATCAGCTTTATTCAAAATCTCATCGTCATTGAGAACTTCACAGACAACCAAACCTTTGTCGATAGCAACAAATTTTTATTTATATTTAATACAATTTACATTTAACAGACATGTATCATATAAACGATACATGAACATTATCTTATCGCATAAGAATGGCCGAAACAAACTCGTAAAATGTGCTGTATCAATCTCCAAAATTGTAAAAATTCGTTACATTGCGTGAACTTTAGACAAAAAAATCTTCGTTATATCGAGGGGACCAAAATACATTTGATTTTTCGCTATAGCACGAGGTTTTCAAGGGTCCGACAGTTTTATACGTTATATCGAACTTCGTTATACCGCGAGTTGACTGTATTATTTGTCTCCAGATATCTTAAATTTATTTTTGAATTTCAGTCCTAATTATTATTTTAATTCATTGTAAGTATTTATTATTTTTATGTTATTAGTAATAACATAATTTTTGTTCAAAAAATTATGCAATATTATTGTAATTTTATTAAAATTTATAAATAACACATATGTAATATAAATAATGATTTAGCTAAAATACTCTTATTCTTTATTAAATTAATATTAAAATGTATTAATATAATAATGAAAATTACTGGTTTTATCTGTGCTAATAGGTTTTATATAAATTTTTTATAAAATAATTAATATTTTTAGACCATTATTGATATCAAAATTAAAGTATATTTCTTATTAGTTGATCACAAACTTATCTTATAGGAAATGATTGATGAAGCTGACAAAGATGGTGATGGGGAAGTTAGCCAAGAAGAATTTCTCCAAATTATGAAGAAAACAAATTTGTATTAAACACAATATATTATCTAGTTCACCAGTAACACATTTAGTAATTATTTAAACATTTACTAATTATTTGTACATACATATTTTTTTTTTTTGTAATTTTCCACTATCATGATTACTTTACATCTAATGTTTTGATATTTTTCAATACATATTATATTAATTTACACTCATTATTTGTGAATAAAACAATATGATGAAAGTAAAAACATTTGAAAATCAGAATTATTTATTAATTTAATTACATACAAATTATTCTAAGGCTTATTCTAAGAACAATATATTTTATTATATAAAAATATTATTTTATTTAAAATATGATCTCAACATCATAGTTTCATGTTTCATTTCAACATCACTTCTTCTTGAGTTAGTACAATTCTTTTCATTTTGTAATCTTCTATAAATATCATCATTCACTAATAAGTCTCCGACCTTTCTTGGAATAATGTGAACATGAACGTGCTAATATAATAATAAATACACATTTAATTAATTTATATCCTAGTAGGTTATAAGTACAATCCAAAAGAAAATGGAAAATTTATTCTAAATTTTATTTTCAAGTATTTTTCAAATTATTTATCATATTTTACTATAATAAATTAAAACATCAACTAATAATTAATAAATTGATTAATAAGTTGAAATTAGATATAAAAACATTTGAAGTATTCAAGTTTATCAGTAAAATTCCCTAATATATTATAGTAATTATAATTATAATTACAAAATAAATTTTTAGTTTTATTATTTTAGTTATTTTTATTGTTATATGTTTAATTTTAATTTTTAAAAAGAACATTTTAATAAAATGTTATGAATTAATATTATATAAATATACCCTCAGATTCAAAAGTAATTAATAAAATTCAAACATTTAGTTAAAATACTTCAAAAAGATGGTACTTAAAATTATGAATTAAGTACTTATGAAGTCTTATTAAATTGAATATTCTTATAATATATAAAGCTTAATTCTCTTCTAAAAAATTATGACTAAGATAGTTAGTCATGACAATAAATTATTAAAAATAATACACACTTTAATAGTTTGTCCAGCATCTTGTCCATCTTGAATTACAATAGTTGATGAATTAGTTACATGCACTTTTTCAATGACTTTTTGGACTTTTTGAACTGCAAGGAATAGATCTTGTACTTCATCACTTGATAATTCCGTCATTTTTGCTACAACTCTGTTGGGAGCCACTAAAACATCTAGTTATATAAATATGTAATGAAAATGGTATATAGAATTGTCAAAATTAAAGTAAATTTAAAATTATTGAAAAGGATACGCCCAGGTAAAACACATTTGATGTTGGTAAACGCAAAGCTTAACCGTGTTTTGTAAAATATTTGTAATCCTTTTACTATGGATGATCCAAATGGGAATTCAAGAGAATCTTGAATAATCTCATTACATGAAATAGGGAATAGCATTTTTGAATAAACATCATATCGTTTATGATTTTCAATTGGCATTGATTGGCGGACTCGTGTAACCAATGATAGATCAATTTGAGCCAAAATAAATCCTGGTTTATCAGAACACTGAGCTATGATAGTTCCTAATGGATCAACTACCTATATAGTATTGAATATAATACATGATAAATATTTAATAATATATGATAATATTTACATGATAAATGTAAATTAAACAAACCATTGAATGACCCCATGATTTTCTTGTTGCATTATGGCTACCAAATTGTGCAGCAGCAATAACATAACATTGTGTTTCAATTGCTCTGCTACGCAATAATAATTCCCAATGATGTGCACCAGTTCCAAAGAAAAATGCTGATGGATAGGTTAAAATTTGTGCTCCATTTTCAGTCAACATTAATGCCATTTGAGAAAATCTCACATCATAACACTGGAGTATTAATATCAAGAAATATTCATAGTTTTAAATAACTAAATTAAATATGTTGGTTAATATTTTAAATTAAATGAAAATAGTAGATTTGATATTTGAAAATGTAAATAAATAAATAAAAATAATAATGTTAATTAAAAAAGGATACAATCCCTAAACCAACATTTCCAATAGGTGTTTGAACTGGAGGAATGATTTCATTACCAGGTTCAATAATACTCGACTCTAAAGTCTGAATATTTTCTGATGGTATATCTACATCGTATAAATGCAATTTATGGTAGGTTGCAACTATTTTACCTCTGTGGTTTATGACTATATGTGTATTCTTCAATTTAGTTTCTGAAAACTTAAAAAACAGAGTTTATAAGATGACATTAATATTTTGATATTTACCAAGAGTACATATTTTATAATTTCTATGATAAAATAGGATATTATAATATAAATAAATGACCAATTTTAAATTATAAAAATGTTGAGTCCAGATTAAAATAAAGTTATCTAGATATGATACAGATAATTTTATCTAGTTAATAAAATAGATATATTTGTCTTTTAATATATTAATGACAAAAAATACATATTATTATTTATAGGTGAATATGATTATTTGAATAAAATTTAAATAAAATATATTAGACATCTTCCAAGATCTATAAAATCAAAATATTATATCCAGAATTTATGAAGTGTAGCCTTTAAAACTTAATTTTAAAAACATTATAGTACTATAAATAAATGTTATATTATTTTATTAGATACTAATTTTTGAAATAGCATCCTTATATTTATTCATAAAAACAAATGGTTGCATGTAAATTCCTACATGAATGACCTTTACACCAGAATATAAAACATAGTGTAATCTCATACACACTCCATTTCATGGGTTCTCAATCTTTTGAGGTCCGCGCCCCCTTTAAAACTATTTTATGAGTTCACGCCCCACCGTCTCACTACTATAGGATTAATGTATGCATCATATTTATATATAAACTATATTTTAATGTTGGTGATTGGATTAATAAGAATATAACTTCAATGAAGTTTTTTTTAATATTAAATTTATTTGCATAAAAAAAAAAAAAAATCAGAAACTGCGGCATCCAACACAGCAGCAAGGCACGGCGTAGAAAATGGCAACATTTTCATTTTTCGTGTTTTTTTCCAACATTTTTACAAATATTAATTTATGTATAATTTATAAGTACTTTGAAAAAATACACATCGTTTTATAACTAATACTTTCCTAATTTCTCAGAATCTAAAAAATTATAAACTGTAGAAAATGGAAAAATTTAAAGTTAAATGTATAAAAAAAATGGTAAACCATAAATGTTAAAATTTGTTTTACATATTTTTTAACACTTTTATTCTACTTAGATAATTTAATATCATAACACAATTTTATAAGACATTAATGTAATTATTATCAAGAATATTAATTTATTTAATTACTAAGTCTAATATCAAATAAAAACATATTTCATTATATTTATAAGTAATTGATCATTGGTTGAAATCATTTTTGAATTTTCAATAAAATATTATTAGTAAATAGCATAATTTTTTTATAATTAAAATTACTAATAAAAATTACAGAAAATATGTACAATGTACAAGTACTATGCAATTAAATATTTTTTAAAAAGAAAATTATAGATTTCATTGATATATATAAATAGCATCCCTAGTAATAAATGTTATCTACCAATAAAGATTTGTAGTTCATACACCGAAAAATAATTAACTTCATTATTGAACTCTAAGCTACGAGTATAATAAAATATTCTAGCACCTCTTATATAATACTGGTATAGATGTGTTTTTTTTATATTCTACATTTAACTTATATTATTATTTAAGTTATTAAGGTTAGCTTATGGTGCCAAATAAGAGATGAAAAATCTTAAAATGTTTACCTCTTCATGAAATCCACCCAGAGAAAGCCAAACTTTTAATGACGACGCTAACATTTTATATTTTTCGATAAGTGGTCCATTTATAGATTCAGCTAAGTCTAATGCTTTGGTTCTATCTGATTCAATATAATCAAATGCTTCTGGTAAAAAAATCATCTGAAAAAGACAAATAAATATTAACATTAATTTCTAATGAATATGTAAATATTATTTATATTAAAATATATAATTATTTATTTCATGTACATACTTTGGCTCCTGCATTTTCGGCATCCCTAATTAGTTTCTCACAAACATAATAATTGACTTCCTTATTATTTGTTGCAGTCAATTGACATACAGCAACTAAATTCTCCATGTTAGCAAATGAGTTTTTGAAGACTGAATAAAAACGTTTAAACATCTGACAACTAAAACAAAATAAACATATTTTTTATATTTTTTGTTATCAGTAATTAAAAGTATCAAATAATTGTGTACCCTACAACTACTAATAAAGTTTTATTAGATATGATAGTAAGATTAAACATTTTTTTTTAACTATTAAAATATTAAAAATAGTCATTTTGAAGCAGTAAATTATAAGATGATTACGATTTATTTTACCTACTTATTACGGTCGTTGTATTATACTCACTTATAGATATTCTATAATTTCATCCAATTCAGATACATCATTGACAAACATGTCAGAAGATCTTATTAATTTACTATAATTTTTCACCATTCAATAACTTGTATCGTTTAATAAATAATGGGCTTCCGGATCAAAATTAATATCAAATCAATAAAAGCACGAAAAAAGATAATACGGGACTATAAACAAATGTGGTAGGCTACCACCATTGCTCCCATACCGAAGTGACGCGGTGCCGCCATTGGCAATCGTCCCTGTCTCCATTACGAGCGCCTAGAGACAGCCCATAAGCAAATTCCTTATCAATTATCATAACGTAATTTCTTATCAAATATCATATGATATTTATGAAATAACCTTTAAGTGATACGAGCGCGGGTCGCGAAACTCCTACCCAACAAAAAAAAAAATCTATATAATAGTTCAATACATAGGTGTAAACTGGGGTAGGGGGCAAGATGGGGCAATTGCCTCCTCTGGAATAAATAAGGAGGGGTAGTGCCTCCTCTTATATTTAACATACCTTGTTTTATAATAAGTACAAAACAGCTGGTTAATTTTTTTTTTTAAACCTTAATTTTCAATTTTCGCTTAGGTATTTAAGGAATACGCGATGGTGCGAATAATTGGAACGGCTGGGTGCGTCACCTAATAAGAACGAACACGAACAAGAATTGTCGAACGATGGTCGCAAGAACACGAGATTTGTGGTGTCACGTACAAGAAAGCGAGAACTTGCGGACGGCGCACTCGGAGTGTTTCCCGTAATACGGTCGGGACGAGAGAGCGAAAGCGGGCTGGCCGTTGCGACGTTGGAAATAAACACAATCGGTGCCGGAATATAATCATCAACCGCGTCACCTTGGTGAGAGAGCACTGTAACTGTGGCCCACCACCAGAGCCGGATTATGTTTTTTAGGGCCGTAAGCACATTTATATAAATGGCCTATACATCATTTTCATACACTTAAAAAAATTAATTTTATTTTCAATTATTTATTAGGTATCACAAATAAAATTAAAATAATTATAATTTACATTTGAATCTACATGTAAATTTTGAATTCTTATATTAATTTTCTTTATTATTACATTATTTAATTATTAATTACTATATATATACTAAATATCATCATTATTATAATTTTGTTTATTTAATATTATTGGCATCTTTCTTGCTTTTTGAAATGAAAAATCTTCAATAATTGTCTCGTAGTTTATAATTTTCACAATTTCACTTTCTATAGACAAAATGGCCAAATCATTTAGATGTTCTTATGTTAAATTAGATCTTAATGCATTTTTTATTAATGTTAATCTTGAAAACGATCTTTCTCCACTACAATTGGTGCATATGAGTGTAAGATATAACAGTAAAGTTTTTTCTACATTTGGAATGTAGTTTCATTCCGAAACGTTTAAGTTTAAAATCATTTTATATAAGTTTATAAATTTATCAATAGAGTTATTAAAGTATTATATATAGGCAAAGATAATGATGTAAACGTGATAAATTGTTTGAACTCATCTTTATAACTGTGTGGAAAATCTATAGGGTATTTTTTACATAAGTTTTTCATTCCTTCTTCAATATGCTCAGATTTCATTTCAATCGAAAAGTTTGATAGCAGCCTAAAATTGTTTTCAATTTCTTTATATGCATCAATTCTATACTGCAAAGCGCTATTTAATTTATCAAAAATAACATAAAAGGTTTGAACTTTAAATAATTCTTTATCTGTAAACACATATGCAGTTTCATTATCATACCTTTTTTTACGTTTACGATTTTCAGATGATTTATATTGTTTGTTCACAGTTATTTCCATACCTTTAATTTCATAGTTATCATATTTTTCTCTGATCTGGTCAAGAACACTTTTCAAACTTTTCATCAAATTAATTGCAGTACACAAATCAATGTTAATACTTTGTAAACTTTTACTACAAATGTTAAAAGGTCCTAGTATATCATTTCATAATTGACAAATAATACCAGTTTCTAATTTACTCATTATTCCTATCAAATGACGTGACTGTTTTCGTGTAGTTTGTTTTTGAAATTCATCATTTTTATATATTCCAGAGCTGTACTCGTATTACTTATTGACAAAGCTTTAATGGCTTCTGCAATTACACTCCATCTAGTTTTGGCTATTGACTTAGGAACTGGGCATTTACTATCTAATGATTCTTTTAAAATTGACCATCTACTTGTCGATGCGGAAAAAAAAAATTATAAAGTTCCTGAACACACCCGAAAAAAGAAACAATTTCTACGCAACTATCTACTGCCGGCTGACTAACAAGGTTCAGTGAATGCGCTGTACATGGTATAAAGTCTGCAAATGGATTTTTAGCTTTTATAATGGCTTGCATTCCTGAATAAGGTCCGCTCATATTACTTGCATTATCATAACTTTGACCACGACATAAATTAATATCAATTTCATTGTCAACCATAAATTTAAGTAAAATTGATGCTAAATATTCACCTGTATGATTTTCAGTATTAATAAAAGTTAAAAAACGTTCAACTGGTCCATTACATGTAACATATCGTATAATAATTGTTAATTGATCTATGTACGAAATGTCCGGAGTGGAATCAACACTAATTGAATAATAACTAGCTTTTTTAATTTTGTTAACAATCACTAAACGTGTTTTCTTAGCAATAAGTGTAATAAATTCATTTATAATAGTTTTACACAAATCTGAAGTGTGACCTTTACCTTTAAATGCATATAAGTTAATATGCTGTGATAAAAAAGGATCGAATTTTGATAATAACTCAAGTATTCCTAAATAATTTCCATTATTTTTTGATCCAATTTTATCATCTGAACCCCTAAATGGTAAACCACGTTCAGACAAAAAAATAATTGTTTCTATTAATCGTTTGAATACATTTTTCCAACAGTCACGCGTTTCAATTATTTGTTTTTCCAGTTCAATATTAGTTTTATTAGTATTTTGAGGCCTTTTAATATATGTACTAATCGCCAAAATATGTTCACTTTTCTTTACATGGATTTCTATAATTTTATTAATATTTTTCCAATCATTATATCCGTCACACATAACATCGGATTTTGAAAATAAAAGACAATAAAAACAGTATACCATTTTTTTTAATTGCGAATAGAGTAGCCATTCTCTATTACATTTTTCCCCGTTTAGTTTCATATAATAAAAATTTGATTTTTTTAAGTATCTATTTGTTTTATCTTTTTCATAATACTTTGCTGATAAAGAAAAATCTGCATTTAAATTTTGATATTCAAATTGGCCTTTTTCTATAAAGTATGACACGAATTATTTTGAATTAATATTCCAAGTACCAGGATCGTTCGAAAAAATCACTATATCATTATTTGCACAATTTTTATTTTTTTCAGAAATATTAATTGTTTTACTATCAATACTAGAAGTAAAAACAGTAGTATTTAAATTATCCGATTCTAAAGTAATAATTGGTTTGAAATATGAAGTAAGAGGAATAACTTTTTTTAAAACTTCCGTTTCTTTTTTCTTTTTTATTTGAGCATCTTTTAATTTCTCCCATCCTCTTTTAGATTTCGACATTATATTTTCTATATAAAAAAAACTATACAATAGTATAATAATACTATTACCATTGATTATAGAATTATTCTATAATCAATGCTATTACTAATAGTGTAATAATTGCATTCTAATATGATAAATTTATAATACGATACCTATATAATATACAATTTTCTACTTCTAATATTGTCTATAATTTAAGTAATTAATATTAAATGTATTAAATCAAGCATACCTGTGTCTGTGGAAGTGTAAATGTAATAAATTTGTGTAGTAATTGTATTCTGTTTATGGAAATTGGAAGTACGCTTACACTTTACAATTATTCACGAATGTAGTAATTTACGAGTATAAAACTATCTAAGTTGTTCTTGTGTGTGTGGCGTGTCACTTCACTGTGATCTTTACCGAAATGGTTATAAGTTATACGATTATAATAATAATGATCTGTATGCCCGTATTTGCCGTATCAAAATATTTGATAGAAATTTTAGGAAAAACTCAAGTCACGATAGTATTAAACTAATAAACTTCTGAGTACTAATCACATCATAAAGGTAAATTAATATGATGAAATATTTTTGGAACATTAGTTGGAATAACGAAATAATTGATACAAATCACAGTTACAAGTTTACAACAAATTTGATAACCATAATATTAAATTATTTATGATATAAAATCATAAATTCATAACTAATCATGAGAAAAAAAAATCCTTAAATTTTATTTTTAATATATATAAATTTGATTTTAAAAATCATGGGCCGAATTTTTTTTGGGCCGTAAGCATTGCTTATTTTGTCTACCCTTTAATCCGGCCCTGCCCACCACAAAACTAATAATATGCATAACAAAATATTATCAATATGAACGTACAAACCACAGAACGTTATAGCATTTTTAAATTTGAGTCTAGGGATTAATTAATTTTATGTAGCTGTCAATCATTTAATTTACCTGCTTGTGACACATGCATTTGAATTAATGTGCCAAAATAAATTAAATTTTTTACTAGTTTTTATTGCAATATGCGCATTCAAAATAAAAAAATTAATAAAATTAATTAATAAATAAATAAAATGTACTCGATAAGAAATTATCACATGATAATTGGTAAGGAATTTGCTCGTGGGCTGTCTCTAGACGCTCGTGTCTCCATCGCGTCAAGTCGACGAGCCCGTGTTTGTGGTCAGAGTCGACGTTGGGGGAGGTAAAACGGGGCATTTGTCCTGGGCCTCGCGCTTAAAATTTTCATTGAATAATATTTTTTATGGAAATTTCATAAAATAAAACGTGAAATGTGTGGATCGCCTGGCTAGTGCGTTGACGTTGACGTTTAATAAAAAAACCAATTAACAAAACAACAACATTGCAACAACATGCACGGCCCGTACGGCTCGCCACACAGTGTGGAAGCCAGGATACATAGGAAATTTATTTTATCTAATTTCTTAAATTTAATCAGTTATTGCCTGATATCGCGTGGACCTGTCACCGAGTATAGCGCGTTATACACTACCTGATTTGTTCAGGCCGACAGGATACCTGACAAAATCAGATGTTGCGTACACACAGTACGACCACCACACGATTTAGTCAGTCTTAACACCGTTATTAAACTGGAAGTAGGTACTAGGTACACACACGTGTTATCACGTTAACCTCAATAAACCAACTAAAATCCGCCCGACAGTGCTACATACTATATGATTTGGTCGGTCGGTCGGGCGATCAGATGGTATGGCCACCTGACAAGACTCGACAGGATTAAAGTCAGACGACACGTCTACACACGACCTGATATGACGTCTGATCTGACCAAATTATCCTGTCGGCCCGACCAAATCAGATAGTGCGTAACGCGCTTATGATTACATGTTATCGCCTTTAATTGCGGCCTACAGGCTATAGGTGACTATTGTTGTGGGTGAAATAAGTTTTGCTCAAGTCCTCGCAAAAGGTAACGCCGGCCTTGTTCGTCGTAATTTTTTTTTCTACCGTCGTCCGCGTCGCGCGGAAAAGATTCGCCTTTCGACCGTCTCTCGCGTTGCACACTAAGCTGATTACGTACTGAGCGATTCGAACGCTGCGATTTTAAAACGCAAACGTGATTCGCTTACACATTTGACGCGTTTCTCAAAGATAAGCGCACCAATACTTTGTATTTTGTGATATAATAGTCTTGCTGTTACTGTACATTGTACATAACCACATGTTATTTCGTTTAATATTTTCAAATGTGAAAAAAATGTAAAACGATAGAGAAGTCGCATGTGTTATGTATTTATATATAGTAGGTATCTATATTCGTGGCTAAAACAGTAACAGTAGGTAATTTTTGGTAGAAGGTAAATTTAAATTTTAAATTTATTGTATTTTATTATTTGTAATAATTTAATAAATTACTTGTTTAACCAAACTGATAAATAACTGTTTACTGTGTAATAACTGTAATAAGATGTGTAGAGAACAGTGGCGTATATAGGAATTAATTTCTGGGGAGGTTATGAAAAAATATATACTAAATTAAGGTTATAAATTAACTTATTTTTAATAACTATGAAAATTAGAATACATAAATTTAATTACAGAACAAAGTCTAATTTTCGAGGTAGATTTGCAAAATTATTTATCACTTCTTCAGTGTTTATTGAAATACTTCGATGAATTGACATGAGATAATCCTGTTAGTCGATTTTCGCTTGTACTATTTCTCAAGCACGACTTCAATCTTTTCAATATCGAAAACGATCTTTCTGATGACGCTGTTGAGACTGGTAAAGTTACTAATATTGACATTAAGCACCATATATTTGGAAAAAAATCAACGGATAGTTTATTCAAAGTATCAATAGCAGATTTGGATTTCTGACAAACCACGGAACATTTGCAATTATTCTGAGGACTTTGTTTTGGACAATTTGCATTTTTTTGATGTGCGAGGATGCACAATTACCCCATACCGGGTATGCGTAGGTAAGAATTAGGCGTATAATTTGCTTAAAAATTAGGAGAGAGCAATTTTTTCCCATACTAGACAGTTTGGTTTTAATTAATACATAGATTAAAGAAATGCACACGTGGGTCGTCCTAACCATAAATTTCGGGGGGGGGGGGGGGGGGGGAACCCCCCCCTATATACGCCACTGGTAGAGAAGGTTGATGTATAATTGATAAAATATTTATAAAAAATAACTAAGCAGCACATTGTTTAATAGGCCTTATTTATTAGTTCATAAATGTAATAGCATAGGAAACCAATTTTAAGACCAAGAAAATCTTTAATTCGGTGGGGTGAAAAAATTCCAGGTGCAATATAATTTCCATACAACAAAATTAAATCACAAATATAAATATAGGGCTGTAGCCCATGAGCAACCCATTTGCGTCCAAAATAAAAACCTTAACATCCTGATTTATAGCCCAAATGCGCCCATTTTGCATGCAACGTTGTCTTTGTTGTTTGAAAATATAAAATCCTACGTAAAATCAAAATTAATAAAAAGTAATAATTTTAAAAATAATGTTAAATACTACACAGTATGCATATTATATATATAAATATTATTTATATTGCATTAAATTATAAATTTCAAATAGAAATATTTTTACGTAAAATAAAAATTATTAATTTAAATATTATTAATAATGCATAAAATAAATTTATATAGAACCAAAATAAACCAAAATAAATAATACATATTAGTTGTCAGTTGTTGTTTAAGATTATTAAAAAATATAAAATCCTATGTCAAAAATAATCAAAATTAATAATATACATTGGTCAATAATAAGAATGTTAATAATACAAAAAAAAAATGATACAATTAAAAATCGATTCCCCGAAATGTATGAGACATTTTTTTTAAGTATTCTATTTCATTTAAGTGTTTTCCTTTGTACTCATTCCAGGCTTCATAAGTAAGTTCTATTTTTTTCTTTTTCCTCTTTACGCCGTGGTTTTATTTTACCCTTCTTGATTTCATTTATTTTTAGATATGATTCTACTTGTATTAATTTTAAACTTTCAATTACACAAGTTAATGGAGGATGAGGTGAATAAAATTGGGAGTTTAAGTGCTTGTGAAATGATTCAGCGCAATTTGTAGTGTGAGCTGCGTCTGTTGGAGGTTCAGCCCAAATTGATGGTGGAAATGGACATCCTTCAATGATATAGTTATTAAACACATAATCAGAAAATTCGGATAAATTTATCAAATTGAAATCTGGAGTTAAGTTTTGTAAATCAAAATAAGCATCTTCCACTTCATTTGACGGTAAAAATGGTAACCCAAAAAATAATGTTAACCATTTAGCGATATCCCATGACTGATTCTTGTACAATTTTTTAAGATCTGACAAAGAATTTATCTTTCGGTACCAAGATTGATCTAAATTAAATCTACAGCCTTTTATTTTGCTGTATGGAAATACATTTAGAAATGCTTTGTGTGCTGCGATTTCAAATTCTAAATGGATTGATGATGGTGTATAATTTTTTTGTATTTTATTTGTACATAAATGGCAAATAAAGTTCCACAAAGCTCGATAACATTCAAATGATTTTGATGGCAAAAATGCAATAACAAGTATATAAAATCCATTTACATATATATGAATACCATACATTTGATAAAAATGTGATGGTCTATAAGTAAAAGTACCATCACCAAAAATATCAGCATATAAGTTGAAATCGTATAAAAAATTTTAATTCGTTTTGCATGCAATCAAAATAATATTATTTACATAATCAACATATGCAAACTCTTCGTTTTTATTTGTTAAAACTTCTAAATTAGAAACCTGTTCAATTGCTTCGTCTAGTGATTTAGGAACTGGGGGTAATATTTTTCGTCGTTTTCGGTATATAGACTTTCTGATATTATTAACATCAGAATGCTTAGCGGTGCTGCATGTGGAAAGCTTTGTACGTATTATTTTATTAGGTCGTAAAGTTAAATCTTCACACGCTTTTCTTTTACACCTACCTTGAACGTTCAGTAAGTTTAAACTTTCTTCAGTTTCCGGATCATGGGTATGATTGTTTTTAATTTTGGTTAATTTCATTTTTGAACTATTGGTTTTGACATACGCACTACAGGTTTTTTTTTACACGACGCAAATTTATCTCCAGAAACCAGAGTTCTATTCACGTGATATTTAAAATAACGAAAAATTAAACAAATTTTTTGTTTACTTGAAACAGTTATATAAAATTCCATTTTATTATAGTAGTACTCACTATTCATGTACTCATACAACTGATTGATCATTTTTTTAATATAATCGTTATCGATTGAGATTTTACAATTTCGATTGGCACAACAACGACAAAATATTATTATCTTTATCAATTTGGATATTGGTTTCGATTAGCTTGGGAAACGATCAAATATTATTTTAGATTTTGTAGTTACACGCTAATATACTCGATAAATGGTAACGTTGCACGATTTTCACCTTATCTGAATCGGGGGCATATGGGCTATGATTTGGGGCGCAAATGGGCTAGGATAAATGGGTTCGGGCGCAAATAGGTTTCACCAAAATATAGATTATAGATCGCTGTAGTAAGTAAAAATTTAAATTTTATAAATGGTCTCCCCAGCCGTGGGGTTTGGACACGCTTATAATTGGTACCATATCGATCGTTATTGACGATAAACCGTTACCTGGGAAAAATAATAATTTCGCAAAAAATAAATTAATGTTCAGTTATCTTTATACGTTCAAATATAATATTAATGTATAGGGCACAATAGGTACTATTATTATTTGTTTAATTCAAAATAAATAGATCCTTAAGTACTTTAATTATCTTAATATATGAAGTTAAGTTAAAGATATGAAAAGCCAAGATTATGTCAATGAAGCAAATATGCGAGGAAAAAATATTGGAGTTCAAGTAAGAATTTATAAAGTCAACCCTTAACATTCATATGCTATTTATTGATAGAAGCTTAATATTTCTATAAATAAACAAGTTTTTAATCATAAATTTAGTTAATAATTTATTAACAATATTTTTAATAACAACCAGATAAAAATACAACAACAAGTTTAATAAGTGTATTAAATAATCATGAAATTATAATTTTCCTACAATATAATCTTTTAATAATATATTTAATTAATTGATTAACATTTATCAAAAATCTTATTTTTAAAATCAAGCAATGATAGTATTTTATTACTTAAATATATATTCTTATTCAATTATAACTATTTTGAACAACTGCTATTAGTTATAATTTAGGTTGATCCAAATACATCAAGAATCATCATGAAATGGTGGCACTAAATTACAGAAAAATAATTATTATATGTTTGAAAAATTACATAAAAATATAAATTATAATTTATAATAGTTTATAAGATTATATTCAATATAATGATATAGATCATTTTTCTGCAATAACTTTTTTTTAAATGTTTGAGTACAACAAATGTACAATTATACAATTATTGTATATGTAATGAGCGATGAAAATGATTTTAAAAAATTATTTACAGAATGAGTTCCATGTAAACCGTGACCGGATTCAGAGCCGGATTAATCTAGGTGTAAAAGGAGCATTTGCTCCAAGGCGGCAAATTTAGTGGAGCGGCATAGATAAAATTGCCCCAAAAAAAGGATATAAGATCGTCATTAATATAAGAAAAAAATTGCGATTTATCAATTTTATGCATAGAATCTGATATGGTTGAGGAAATTAAATGAGAAGAATTAACATAAAAACTTAAATTAAAATAAACTAATAAATCCATAAAAAAATGTATTTAAAGAAAAATAAATAATATTATTAAAAAAAATAATATATAATATATAGTTATATTGTTAGAGTTTTTTTTTTATTTGACGTAATATTAAAAATTACTTTAATTATATCTATATATTTTAAACCAATTTATTAATATTATAATTGTATTTTCCATTAGTTTAAAATAATTCTTTCCATAACTATTCTGTGACATTAAACATATACCTATTTATACTTTTTAGTTTAAGTAGATTAATTATTCTATTAGGTACCTATATTTTATTTTTTTAATTTATACATAGAAACCATTTTTTTTTTTTGTTTCACTTAAACTTTATTTCTTTGATAGGGAGGGGGCAAACATTATTTGCTCCAGGGCGGCATCGGTCCTTAATCCGGCACTGACCGGATTATATTCATGCATAAGCGTGCGCAGACATTACTGGCAGGGTAGTTATACATAATACCAGAGCCGCAACTACTATGGGGCAACCGAGGCAATGCCCTGGTTGCCCCTCACATAGGGGGCCCCTTGGCAAGGAACAGAAAAAAAACGAGTATTTTTAACCGAGTGAAACGGTATTTAATTTTTAATTCAATCATTGGGCATTTTTTTTTTGTATCTCTCACAGCTTACGAAAATACGCGCTCTGATAATAAATTAGTGTAAAATTGTTAACACGTTCCGATTAAACGTTAAAATATTATATGGTAATACAAAGTACAAATAAATAATGACTGTCGACCGAGTTATATTTTAATTGTGGTTAGTCTAACTACGCATATAGAATACACATAAACAAAATTCAGAAACTTTACGTAATTTGGTGGAAAAAATTATGGCTTCAATTATAAATGTATAATTTAGTAACGATTTTTTCATTGAATAAACTCTTATCTCTTAAGTTTTTTAAATAGGTACAACCACAGATTATACAACTTTATAAATACATTAGGTGGGAATAGTGTTCTGTATAAATTATTACTTACTAGTTATGAATTATACGATTCTTTTTGCTTAGTCTTCAGTCGAAAAGTGAAACAACAACAACAGCCAATACTCAAAATTAATATTTTATACTATAATGGGAGAAATACCATGTTTTGTTTAAATCCTGTGATTATCGCGACCAGTTCACTATGATGCCGTGCTGCACTGTCACACTGATAATCAACAATTATTATTCTTAATGAAATATCTATTTTAGTCATTGCACACTGAAATTCTAGAGATTATCATTAATTATAATTTATAAGTACTTTTTGTGTAAACGCTGTTACGCAAAAAAAAAAAAAATTGTTTATGACTAATTTGTATAGGTAACTCAATTTTTGTTAAATATTAATAACAATAATGTATAATTTGAAACTTAGCTTACTCTACCATAATTAACAACATCAATCAATGGATGTTATGGCCACCAAAAAGTTAAGGGTCTGGTGCAAAATAGTCCCAATTCCCCCTCTCGACGGCTCTGCCTGTGATTACGGCAAAAGCTGAGCGATATTTTTCAAAAAAGAAATTGATCAAGAACTATTTGCAAAGCACAATGGTACAAGAAAGACTGAGCAGCTGGTCATTATTATCAATTGAAAATCAGAGAGCGGGTAGAATTGATTTTAATAAAGTAATTAACAAATTCGCTTCAATGAAATCTAGGAAAAAAAGTATATTTATGAGTAAATTGATCAGTGATTTTCTATTACAAATGTTGATAAACTAATACTCAAATTACTCATGATTGTAATACATTTTTGTGACTTGTAATGAATAAATATAATATAATATGTTATATATATATATATATATATGAATCTTAGTTGAATTATTTTTAAGACTTCTGTACAGAAAATTATTGATAAAAAGGGCCCCTTCAGCCCAAGTTTCTGCATAATACATTAACATTTAATATTAATTAATAAGAAATTTGGATGGGGTAACTTCATTTAACTTAATAATTATATTCTTCCAATATTCTTATACATATACTTACCGTTTACAGATGTTTCGAAATGGTTTAAAATAATATGGTTATTTATTATAGTGATACTATTGAATATCTTGGTGAGGAATGGAAGGTTCACACATTAGTTAAGTGCCTACCTTGACTACCCCGTGCGCACGCTTATGTGTTCTTGGGATGTATAAATGTTTTTTTATTAGTAAGCGATATACAGAGGTAGGTACAGAAATAAAATTATTACATACCAACGTATTCCAATAAAAAATTAAAAATTCTCTAGGACACTTTAATTATAGATTTACCTGTTAATGATGCAAATGTTGAATGAAAATCAACACTATGACTAAGATCATTGGCATTTTTATCTAGAATAAATATAAGTAATATATCATTAGGAATGATGATATTTAATTTAGTTAATTACAAATAGTCTTTTACACTATTTTAATAATATTTTATATTTTATTTCATTGCAAAATTATATTTTGTCATTCGAAAAATAATTTAATATGAAACACAATTTTTTTTTATACTTAAATAATCTATTAACTATTTATGCATATTCAATAAAAAAACAAATTGATGTATTTAATAAACAAATTAACTGAAATATTCAATATTTATATGATTTAAAAACTGATAAAAATCAGAATAAAATATATAAATATAGCAATATAGAAATTATTAAAATATAAATAAATGATTTAAATCTATTAAGATACTCTTTTATCTATTTATTCGATTATTTTTCCGAATACAAAATGAAAATATTGCTTATAAGACTGGTTAACTGAAATATTATAAATTAGATACAATAGTAGTATATTATTTTTTATTACAAACCATATCTACACCATGCTAGTGGATCTAGTAAAGGAACTAAAATATGAAAATATAATGTAATAACGTAAATATAGATTTTAACTTTTATTTCATTCACTATATTATTACTGTTATTTTCACAAAAATTAGTAAATTATATAGTTTATATTAATATGTCATCAGAATAACTTAAACATACTTACACCAGAAAGCCATAATAAGGTGGTATTTATGATATTCCTTAATAAAAACTATAAAAACATATTTTATTATACCTATTTATTATTATATTTTAATTAATATAACTTTAATGTTTTTATTATTATTTTAATTATTTTTTAAAAGATATGGAAACTATAATATGATGTTTTGGATACTAGATATATTATTAAAATATTAAATATAAAGCTTACTGTTATCTTCAATAATTTTCTTTCCTAGAAAATTAACAATACTTTTAATAAATATATATTTGTGTTTCTGAATTGGATATCTTAGATTTCTTTCATTTTTTTCATTTTTTTCATTATAATGATTATAATAGTCTATTGTAGCAGTTTTTTTACCTTTTGTGGTATACGGACTAATATCTTTTATACTAAAATTTTTTTTTAAGGTGTTATTGCATGACTAAGTATAAGATTAAAAACTAAAAATCATTATAATGTATAATATGGAAGTATTTATTTTATTATTATAATGTATTAATTAATTCGTTTAATACTACATTAACACATTGGAGACGAAAGACTCGTTTGATAAGTTAGCAGATTTATATATCAGTGTATATTTTTCAAACCTCGGAAAATATTTATTCAAATTCATCAATGCTTTCATTTTACAATTCTTAATTAATTATTTAATTTTTAATTTACTTTTTTTAAGAATTATCATTATTATAACATTATAAACACACAACTAAAATTTATACTTACCTTTCAAAGGTACTAAAATAATAATAATAATATTTTATATTACCTATTACAAGTAGATGGTATATTAGTATGGAAAGTGAACAAGTATAATCAGAACTGCCCTTAAAATTTTAAGGTGTAGGGGGAAAAATCTTGGTGGAGCCCCATAATTTAAATGTTATCTACATTACATATTATACTATAAATTTATTTTGTTTATTTATTCTTGGAATACATATAATGTATTCAATTCCTCTAGAAGCATCGATAAAAGTTCGCTTTAGCTACACATCATGCTCCTACAACGGTAGAAAGAAGAACAAAATTTTGAATATTATGATGACCACCGTTACACTCATGATATAATATGGATGAGGTGGGAATCAATTATTGTAATCAATTATAGCCGATATTCAGTGTAGAAAATAATAATAAACTTTTATCGTATCGGATTTTGTCGTACAGCCTTGAATAATGATAATAATGATAAAACGAATACGGAGAGATGAACGGCCATAATATTACATCGATTTTATTAGGTATCTTCGTCATATATGTTACGGTTTCATTTATTTATTTTGTATGGCTTTACACAAGTCAACTTTTCTAACAATATTATAACAAAGCATAAAATTACAAGATAATAGTATTAATAACTGGAACATAAAATATAAAATAGTGGTTTAACTTAAATAGAATTATACTTAAAAATAAAGGAAGTGAGAAAATCACAAATATAGGATATAAGCGTCCTTAAGATCTACATAGGTATATGTCAAGGTTTATAAACCAATTTAATGCTTTTGGAGTTGCCGCATGTAAGCCTTCAAACCCTTGATTTAATTTTCTTTTCTGTCACTCCATCATGATGTGGTTCATGGTTTAATCCCCGTTACCAAAATTGCAGGCTGGGCTATCTTGGAACCCCCATTTGTATAAAAGAGTGCCACATTGGCCATGATCGGTTCGAAGCCTGTTTAATATAGACCAGGTGCTACGAGGAAGATGAATCCCTAGGACTCCTTTATTAGGGTCAGGTATTAGTTGCCGATTTTGTGCAGAGAAGCTAGCCCACTTTTGACGCCAATCTGCAGCACTATTATATCTTGAACTGATCAGTTTCCTGGTAGTCTTATCAGGTGGGCTTCTAGATTTTAATCTTTTTTTCCGGAGTTCGAAGTAGCATCTGATACAAGAGAGATCGTTTTAAGTCTTCAGTTTTCTCAACAGTTTTACAAGCGCTTCTTTTCTTCTTATATTTGGAAGTTTAATGTTTGCCAGTACTGGTACAGTGGCGTATATATAACTTTTGTATGGAGGGGGGATCAGTTGCAAACATAGTTATTTCTAATATCTATTGTAAATATTTTCCTAAAAAGTATAGGTTGGAATAATATTATTAAAGAATTTGCGGCACAGAAAGCTAAACAATAGTTGTAAATGTTTTATATTGAATAAATTTGTATTTAATTTTGCTTTACAGTTAAAAACAGCTTAAATCTGTACTACCATTTATGTGGTATGATACATAGCTTTCACTGTTCGAAATATTTTTTGTTCAAATTGTTTGTCACTCTATCAAATTATATTTTTGGTATGGTTAGGTTAAACTATTACAGTCCGAAATTTATTAGAACAGACCGGAGGTCTTGTCTTGGTCCACTCTAGTATACTATTTTTAATTTTTAGTTTGATCCTGTCTCTAAAATTACTGGCCGAGCAAAACACTACTGTGTTTGTAGACAAATTATATACGAGTATCTATAATATTTATCGAGTCCATTTGGAGTATTCTAAATAATCATATTATTTATTTTTTAAATCATTTCTAATGTAATGTAGATAAACAATTAGTGGCATGCGGGCCCTACGAAGTGTGATACCTGGGACATAGGCTCCGTTTGCCTTCCCCTTAAGGGCGGCCCCTAGTATAATATTCAAAATGTTTCTTACATAGAAGCTGATGTGTTACACAGAAATTGTTTAAAGCCGTTTCATCTAAAAATAAAATATAGTGTTATAATTTGTTTGCTTATAGGTTATATAAGTGTTAGATTGCTATACAGTACAATTTAAATTTTTCTATGATATCATTTATCTGACACGAACGATTATTTATATAAAATTATATAAATATTATTTATATGATATGTAACTGGTAAATTATCCCTTTTAAATTATAACTAGTAGTACTCATTGAGTACTTATGAAAGGCATTCGATACTGGCTTAAATTTTTCTATATGTTATAATCAGTGACATATTTACTTGTAGGTACTGAAGGACTTAACAAAAGGTTAACTTATGGGCACTCTTATTTTAAGAGTTCATATCTTCAATGTGTGAAAAATGTATCTATCTCATAAGAGGATATTTTATTTTATTACGCAAGTAATAATTAAATATTAATAACACTTATTTTCCAATAGTTCTATGAATATTATATTGACTGTCGTTTCACAGATCTTTATATGAAAAATCTATTAAAAATGAAATTATATCAAATACTAGGAATTTTTATCACTGATTTAGAAATTTCATTTCAGATTTTAAGTATCATTATGTTTTAATCATTCAGAATAGCGATTTTTCATAGGTCTTCAGACGGTAAACATGTGAATACGTTCCTGGTTATATTATGTACTGATATGTAATATAAATTAATTGGCTACGAATCAATTACTTACCATTTTCTATATAATATTTATTTAGTGATTCTGTAAAGCAATTCAAACATTAAAAATATATTTCGAAACACTTACTTAAGCTATGAAGATTTTAAGTCGAAATCGTTATGAATTTTTTTCTTTTTAGCTTCATGATAAACAATCTACATAAGCTCGCGGTCCAAAATTATCGAATCATTTTTTTCTGTATGTAATATAACTCGCGCTCGTTACAATATTAAATGCTCAGAAATGGTAAAGTTGATTTGCAATCGACGATCAAGCGTTTACATCCGTTAACAGTCAACCACAGAAGTTGTTATTAGCGTAGTGTTTTTGTTTTGATGATTACACGACTGTTGTGCATTATTGTGTATAGTTTGATTGTCTTTTTAGGGCACCCATGGATTAGTGTGGTGACATTGTCAAGTGGCGTTGATTTATTGTGATAATTTATTGTTGCTTTTGGGTGGATAAGTTGGTTACATCAGTGCGTATTGTCTTCCAACAACTATTCGTCGACTTCATTTATAATTGGATTAAAATTATAATTATAAGTGGTTTTTAATTAATATTTTTTTATAACAATTACATATTTTAGTATTTCAATTATTTTAATATATTTCGCGCTTAAATTTTAAATTATTAATTGAAACAAAAACTTATACTCATATAAATATTAAAACAGTAAACTCACCTTTACAATCTAAAATTAAAATAAAATTTCGAGAAATTAAAATACAAATTGTGTGCAATTTACGACAAATACTAGAAAATTAAAATAAAATAAACTCTGAAAGAAGCAAAAAAAATTGTTGATATAATGATGGAACAAATACAATCGTATTTAATGAAAAATCACTGAAAATAATTAAATTAAGTGCTTTATTTGAATCATTTAAATCTTTAAATACAATCACTGCAGAAGACATTGAAAATTTGTTTATACTTCCGTAATATTGAACTAACCAATGTTTGAATAGACTTAAATTAATTTATGTATATTCCAAATAGTTTGGTGGGAGAAATCGTAAAAAATGAGTGTCATATATTTATAAAACAAATATTAGGTATGCAAATTTGAAAAACTGTCTGAATGCTTAATGTGTATCCCAGTTTCAATGGCAATCATGAAGCTCTCTTTTAGTACGATGAAAGATAACTTAAGTTCGGAATGGAGTATTATTAATAATATTACTAAATGTCAATTATATTTTTATGAAGAATTAACCAAATTTTTTTTTTTTAAGGTTTTATGTATTTGTAAGTATCTATCTAATATCAAAACAATTTAAAAACGATATTTTACTCCCCTTCATTTTTTAATTCTATAGCATAGGTACCCCTTTGAAAGTTGATGATAACCCGTGGAATAGAAGGTCTGAAATATACACTTATTATAGATTAGCAAATTGGCTAATACTTCATGAGTAACATAAAAGGTCTTCAATTGCCTATTAACATCCCTATCACTATTTCATTCCTTCTTTATTTGTAAATAAAACTTACCTTTTATCGAGGAGTCCATGTATCTTTTTATATATACTAAAACAGAAATATTTGAAATCAATCTTTTTCACAAACTACGAGAGTTAAACGTGTTGCAAAACTGCAGAGGTAAAGTAATTTATAAAAGTATATTTTATTACAAACCTTCACAGAAATATTTTGTACCCTTGAAAGTACCTGAAATCAAAAATTTAATTGTCTTTAATGCTTATAACACTCGGCAGAACCATTAATACTACTTTAAAATTATCAAGTAAATTGTGTGAACAAAATTAAGTAATGAATTCTTTAAATTGAATTAAGTTCAAAATAATCAATCAACATGGTATTAGAGTTTTGTCAGTGTCGGTCTGGTCCATCCGGATACCCGGAAATTCTCGAGGGCCCTAAGATTTATTCTTAAATAAGGGCCCAACTAAAGACGGATCAACAGTTAGAGAACTGTGTTTTAAGCTATTTCAAGATACCACTTATTAGAGCTAAAAATGGATTATAAATGTATTCCTTGTAAGTTATAACAATGTATTATAACAATATGATCATATAATATTTATTTTCTAAGTTTATTTATAATTATCATTGTAAAAATGTATCTTATTTTATGGTATCTTCCATGGTGTCTAGCATAGAGATGCTTTATTTTACTATACAATTAACACGATTTTTATTGTAAAATGATCATAATCAAACAAAATATATTTTAAATTCAATGAAAACTATTTTAATTAATCAGATATATGAAATAATAACAAATAAATGTCACCTTTATTTATCTTGCAGAGTTCTCATACAAATTGATATGTCACACCACATCTATTGATCCTGGTGACTCGAGCGTGAAAAACGCCCGACAAGCCCAAAATCGATGTCATATATTGATATATATATATATATATATATATGAGAAATTTGCAACAAATCTCTTGCAAGTATTAATTTTTAGATTCGAAATAATGTTCTAAAGATAACTAGATTGAACCCAAGTTTTTAAGATAGAAAAAAAATTCAAATGATTCTTCATTTGGCCACTCCAGCAAAGAGTACGCGTATACTAGTTTCCTCAACGATTTCAGAAATATCCATATATACATATTCATCCCCTTGGCCCTCTAGTACATAAGCATACGAGTACACTATTTTAATCTTTCTTTTCGTATATAATTAACATTTCAATACAGTCCAATAATTTCTTGTTAGCAAAATCTGAATTTTAATTCAACATCAAAATTTTATGTATAAACAAAAAATAGTTTGTACATAGAAATAAACAAATTAATAAATGAATAAAAGCTTAGCTTAGAGTATTATTATACTTGTAAATTACGATCTGTTTATAAATAAAATTTATCGTCAGGTATATACAAAGTCAATAAAATTATGATTAATTATAATTATTGTAATATGTATACCGTCACTTATAAATTATTATTCGCAGTATTAGTACTTACTGAGTTGTATTTGATTTGTAAGATAGTTGTAGTATTTGCTTGCCATTTCTGTAATATTTTGAAATGTATAATTTTTGAATAATTTTATTATTTGAAAATTTTTTTCTAACATTTCAAATATTTTTAGAGTTATATAAAAATTAATGTTAATTTTTTTATAAAGCTAAGTAGTAAACATTAAAAGTAGTTCCAAGAGCTATTACTTAACTACATGAGCGTTATTTCAACTTTTGAAAGGGTGAGGCTACTGATTAAATTTCTTTTCACCGCTGGACTATTCGCCACCATTCATTTCGCTGCAACCGTTTCGCTACCGTTCATTTCGCCGCGATCGTTTATCTCCACTATCCTATTTTTTTTCGTATAACGTCAATAAAATAATTTTTGTTGGCCATAAAATTTTGAAAATTTGATACAATGTTTTTCACATATTCACTAATATTTTTTTATTGAAGTTATACGGAAAAAATAGGATAGCGGAGAAAAACGATCGCGGCGAAATGGTCGCAGCAAATAATCCGGCGGCGTGAGGATATCATCAAAATGAACTAGACCCATTTTTATAGTATTTATATCACGAAAACTGTTTTATAAGGATCATATATAGAAATATATCATATAGAAAAAATAAATTTTATAATGTTCGTATAATAACAATTCTCATAAACCGAGGAGGAATCAGTGTTTCCCAACTTTTAATAAACCGTGAATGTATATTTAAAAGAGAATATTATCTTATTTCAGAGTACAAAATAGTAAATGAAAATTTACTATTTACCGATTTTAGCATTTGATCATCGGACAAAGAATTGCCGAATTTTTAAAATTTTTTAGAGTGGGGCATTTGCCATAGTCTGCCCTCCCCCAAATGATGCCCCTGCTTAACTACTTAACTATAACGTATTTCAATAATTAAATATACTCATATATTGTACGAAAATAAAAAATTATTTAGTTTCGACATAACTTAAAATTAAGACTTACCAGAAAACTTGATTGGTTGTTTTCTGATTTCTAAACATTTAAAAACAATTTTTTGTTATATAAGATCATTATTAAAACATTTTAGATTTTGCACAGAACTTCTAAATTACATATCGCATATTATATTTTCTTTTTAGAATTGTTCATATTGTGGCAATATATCCAACTTGAAAATAATTTTAATTAAGAATATTTTTTAAATACTATTTTCGCCTTTTAAATATTATATTTTGTACTCTACTTCGAAATAAATAATGAATGTACAGTATGGGGCACAAGTCAGTAAAAATATACCATCAAATATTCGTGAAATCTAAAATACGTGTTTAAATTAAAAAATTCTAAAAAGGTTTAAGAAAATTTCAGATATTTATTACTCGTATTCTATAATTCATATACTCACTATTCGACTATGTACGTATGTTGTGTGTAATTTAAATAAATGAAAAATGCATATTTACCATCTAGAATTTCATTACTCGAAATTCTATAGATTTAATTTAATTTATAATGAGGTGGCTTACCCTCTGATTCTGTAATTTAATAAATATGATTATTAATTTCATGTAAAAATAATTAATTATAAAATAAAATAATATTTAGAGCACGAGTCATATACGGGTTGTATGTATGCAATATTCAGGGCTGGGCAGTATCTTAGATACTAGTATTTAAGATACGTATCTGAGATACAATTGTATCTTGTAACGAGATACATTATTTTAATGTATCTGGTATCGTGGATTTAAATACTCTTTTAACTTGTATCTAGTATCTTTTTATGATTAAAGATACTAGATGCGATCTATTGCTATGTAATAATAATTATAAATAATTTAGATTAAAATTTTTTACGTCGAAGGCAGTCACTCGATAAATGAATAATATATACAATATTTGCTCATAATAAAAGTTAAATAAAATTTAAATAAAGTTAAATATAATTTTTATTATGAGCAAATTTTGTAATCAGTAAGTTACATAAATCCAGTTTATCGGCAGAATGTTTTCTTAATTTTATCGCGCTAAACATTTATTTTTAACTGTGTGATTGTGCGGTGATCGGTTCATATTTTCTGTCTACACGGTGTATGTGTAATGTCGTCTGATTTTAAGTATCTATTACTAAAAACATGGATAATAATGTAATTATTAATATTCCAAAATCTTAAGATAAAACATTCTATACAATATTAAATTTTGATGAAATAATAATTGTGAATTTAAAATTGAAATAATTTATTATTATTATTTATTAATTATATATATATATATAATTATTTATAATTATTAATTGAAATAAGTCTCTTTAAAAGGTAACCAGGAATTTATTTTAAAACATGGGATATAACAAATAAAAAACTATTACTATAATACTACATATCATTTTTTTTAAATTTAAACATTTAATAGTTAATAAATAAACATAGTAATTTATAAATATATTTAAATTCTTTTTTATTGTACCCAATGTAAATGAATTAACAAATAAATAAATATTAATAAATGTATAAAGTATCTTGTATCTTGTATCAAGTATCTTTAAAAATATCGAAGTATCTTGTATCTTGTATTTAGATACGAACTATAGATGTACCTTGTATATTGTATTTAGATACTTTTTTTTAGTTATCTTGTCCAGCTGGCTATATTCAGAAGTTTTATTCAGTGCTGTCGCAAGAGGGGGGGAGCAACGGCTAACCATTTTGTCCCAGGCCCCAATCTAGCAAAATCTAAAGTATTGCTCTATGAAATATTAATACATTTAACTATATAAAATTAACTTTTTCTAAAAGTGTATAACAGTAGTATAGAATGGTTATTGCCAGAATGTGAAGAATGAAATAATTTTATGTAAATTTACATAAATATTCTTTATCGCAAGTATCGACGCGACAACATCCAAGTTCATATCTTCTATGACTATTTAAAAATAATCTAGGAATAAATTAAATTTGTACTAAATGTGGTAATTGATAATACATTGTTGAGAAGTTGTAATATGCCACATATATTAATATAAAAAAGAATAATATAACACGCAAAAATCTGATGATGTGTAATGTTTCATACATTACTAATAAAAATAATAATGAGCATGAGAATAAATATTTGTAGAGCTTCACATAATTAAAACGATAATAACTTATATATTGTTATAAACTAAGTTTATATAGTATAAATTCTCATGAAACTATCTTGTACACGTGCGAACGTATTTTCTACTAATTTGTTAACTATAATCACATTAATATTCACATTTAACTATAAAATAAGTAATAAAAATAGAGCTAAAAATGCATGAAAGTCACACTTGCACGGGGTTAGCTATAGAAGGCCATCCACCAACATATATAAGGGCTCCGGATCGGTACAATCCAGTCATTCAGTACGGAGAGAATATTATATTATATTGGTCATCGTCATAATTGTCACTTCATTAATTTTTCTAAGTATTAAAATAAATAGAAAAATTAATGAAGTGAATTAATGAATATACTTGTAAAGAATACTTTTTACGGTATTGTTGGTAAAGTATTAAAATAAATTACCAACAATACCGTAAAAAGTATTCTTTACAAGTATATTCATTGAATTTGTCCCACTCTAAATACTTAATAATTTAACATTATTGTGGCACCGTCGAGTAATCAACGACAGGCTATAAAGTTAAAAATGTAATTCATTGTATCGATGCATTTAAATGACCTTAATTGGTTGAGATTTGGAAAACTATACTAACCAACATTTTGCAAACTTGGAGTGTATTTTTTTATCATCATCGTTTATTATTGTGATGATTAAGGAATTCCCGAATTAATTTGATCCAAGTCCTAAAACTCTTTAGGAAGTATTTGGGTCTCTTAGATGAACCTAGTACAAGGCCTTCAAATACATTCTTATTAACCATTTTTTCCAATATTAGATAAAAGAACAACGGAGAGAGTGCATATATTTGTAATTCTAACCAATTAAGTTTATTTACACTATATTTTATACAATGTAAATTATACAAATATAATTTTTCTTAGTAAGAAAACGCGAAAAATTATATATAATAAATAACATGAGATAAATGTATATAATTAAGAGGATTATAAATTTCAATACTCTCGAAAAACCAAAAAAAAAAGAATGTTTAACATATAAATATTATATTGTTATTTAAGTCCATCCAAGTACAAAAAATAAGATACATTAAAAAAAAAGTGACTACAATGGTGACCAAAAAGGAAGTGTACTTCATATTTATACCTACGCCAATTTATTTTATTAATGCATTTTTAATAATTTAGAGAAATAACAACAAGCAAAAATAATCATTTAATAATTTGATCTTAAAAGAAAACATTAATTAATTTTACTCACCTTTCAAGTACTTTGCATAACAATAATTAATTAACCCTGTTTCATCTATAGTTAAATATATATAATTTATAGGTATATGTGTTATAAAAAAAATTGAAAATTATAATTTTACTACTTACTTAAGGAGAATTGAGCTTCTTTTAATAATCCTGTTAAGAAATTATATAAATATATTTATAAAAAAAAATGCTCCTGGCATGATCATCATGAGATATATAGAAGTATGGATTTAATGTCAAACAAAGAAGAGGAAAAAATTAACATTGAGGACGAATTCAAATTTTGTTTCCACAAAATGTTTGTAGATGATGTCCAACGTTGAAAGTGTTATTTATTTATTTATTTTTTTATTTTACGTTTTTTTTAAAATTATCGTCCACTTTAGACGTAATAAAAATATATAAATGTGAGCATAATCACAAAAAATATAGTAGCAAGGTTCTGGATAGGCAAACATTAATAACTGGGTTAAAAGAAAACACATGAAAATTTTTCTACACAACTTTCGAAGCTCATTAGATCCTAGTTGAAAAATTGTGATACACCTACAGTAAATACGAATGATTTGAAATTAATAAAAATTAACATTCATTATATACATTATGGCAGGGTTATATTAAAGGTTAATATATTGGAGGACAAAATAATTTTGAGCCCCTATGCATATTGATAAATAAATATGTAAGCAGGAGCGGATACACAGTTGGAGAACTGTGAGTCAGGCTATTTCAGGCCACTTATAAGGTCTGAAACTGAATTATAAGTATATACTTTGTTATAAAAAAACACACTATGGCAATATATGAGTTTTCAAGTTTATTCATAGTTATCATTGAAAAAATAAACATTTATTATATTTTGTGGAGTCTTACATGAGGTGCAGCATAAAAGTGATTTACTGTACTACACAATTAAACAAGTGACGTTATTTAGGGGAAGGGGTGGAAACTGGGGTATTCGGCCCAGTATGGTATAAACTTCAGCCAATTCACTTAAAAAATATGAGAAGTCTTCAAGAGGCCAATTTTATCAACAACTATTAACTGTGGGTCAGCTGACCTCCTGAACCCACTCCTAGATCCGCCCCTGTATATAAGTAACAATAAGAGAAAAAAAAAAATTCCACGCTTTACTCGGATAACTATCTCTTCGACTTTATATTTTTATCGAGTTCCAATTATTATTGAATAACCGTTACAATTATATATTTTCGATTTACAATTAAATTACATTATAATCTAATAAAATCAATGTTAATTTGGCTGCATCCGAATTGGGTCCCAAATTTAAAATTACTACTAAATTACTATTTATAATTGGGTCCCGAACTATTTTAGATATTACACTAGTTGGGTTCCTGATTTTTATAGATACTACATTAGTTGGCTCCCAGATTTTTTTAGGTACTACATTAGTTGGTTCAGAATTTTACAAAAATAAAAATTCATAGCTGAAAATATAACTAAAAAAATTGCAGGAACAATAAATCGATTAGATTTGTAAAATTAATGCCGTATACTTTTTTACCAACATAAAAGTAATTTTTAAAAAATATTATTTAATTTTTATTTATATTATATAATGGTTTTAACATTTTTAATATTATTACTAACACAATTCTAATAATTTATATTTTAATGAAAAAGAAACTAAAAAAAAAAAACACATTTTTAATCATACCTATTATCTAAATAGATCATAGACAGTTCTAAGTCTGTTAAAATGAAGGAAAATGTTTGTATAATGTAGTACTTATCAAAAAATATTTAGAAACTAGTGTAATACCTAAAATAATTCAGGGCCCAACTAGTGTTGTACCTATAAAAATCTGGGACCCAACTAGTACACTACATGCGATTAGTCCCTAATACTTGGGACCCAACTCGGATGCTCCGGTTAATGTAATATAATTTAAGTACCTACATCCTTAAATCATAATTTATATTTTTTACATGTAGTATATTATGCTAATATCTATTACAAACAATATTGTTCTTATCGTTGTTAAGACCTACTGGTATTAACTTTTAAATGAAATAATAAAAAACATTTATGAAAATGTACTTACCTAAACAATCTAAAAATTTAAAAAAAAAAAACCGAAATAATATATGTTTTTTCTTAAAAATTATATAGGAGTAGATCAATAAACAAATCAATTTTGCGCAACGCTTATGGGAAGAAATTATATATTGCATTATAGTATACTTCCCGATTGGTCTGAATAATAGTGTAGATAATGTGCCTCAAGTCAAGAACACTCGATTTTCAGCAAACACCCTTATTCGAATTCGGTGGCGGATTTAAGGAAAAAAACCCATACGACATACGATATAAAGAATTATGAATCGTCATAAATATTAATTCGTGACTTCCCTCTTAAAATACTATAAAACTAGATAGATGTTGAAACAAAATATATATATATATATATATATATATATACATATAAACATTTATTTAAATCGTCCAAACTGGATATATTATTTCTAAATAACCTTATCAAAATTGTCATTAAATTTATACAAAAAAAATTTATATTGTTTAACACAAAGTATCTTACTAATGTAATTCGGTAATTCAAATAATTGTACATTGTCTTCTGTCTTCAGCAAATATTTCAATAGTTGTGTCTAGATTTATTTTATTTGCCACTGATATTTCGATAAAAATATACTGAATTAATTTAAGGTTTTTCCACTTAAAGTGGCACAACGATGTTTTTTTTTTTTATTCTTTTTAAAGAACTCATTACTCACTGAGCACTTGCCGTACTAACAGGGAGTGTAAGAAATTATCTAAAAATACTGCTAAACTCTGTAAAACTGTCTATCAATGATAAATTTTAAGTTATTCAGTGGATTGTTGTTAATAAAATCGTTATTTTAAGAACTTTTTACTATTTTTACAAACTTGAAAACCTTATGTCCGATATTGCTAATTTGAGGGAAGAAAACAGAACTCTTAAAGATGAACTTGTTACGTTACGTAAACGTGTTGTTGATTCTCTTGACCAATCTACTAAAGTAACGACTATTGATTCAGAAGTAAAGTTATTTCGTGAAATTCAAGAGTGCACGGAAAAGTCAAAGAATATTTTGATTTTTGGTGTTAATGAGGATAATGATAAGGATGAGAATCCACCAATTACAGTAAAAACAGTCTGCCTAAACCAGACAACGTTTTTACAGTATCGAAAAGAATATTCAAAATCGTGGCCCATTTCTGTTCTATTTTAATTTTTATGTTGAAATGAAAATTAGTGAACTGAAGACTGGGTCTGGGACCCGGGGGTCTTTACGGGTAGGGGCCCAGGCAGCAAATTTCTATTTTTTTCTCGTTAAATCCGTCACTGTTCGAACTAGATTCTGAGGTTCAATCTATGGCCAATGTCCAATGAAAATTTTTTTTAATGCTATAAAGATGAAGATTTATGGTACATTGATTTAATAACTACAGATTATTGAGAGTAAGAAAGATTGAAGAAAATGCGTTTGGATTTATGGCCTCTCATCAATTTATCCTTATATTTTGAATGTTCTGAATTTCTAAGGAAATTTTTGTATTCGTCTATGACTTTGTAAATGTCTGCTACAGTATTTTATTTGTTGTTATTTAAAAGTTTTTTTTTTAAAAAATTACAAATATTTGATTGATTATCATACAGTCGAATCGAGATAACTCGAAGTTGAAGAAGGATAAAAATTCACTTAAAGATATGTATTATTCAAGGTATCTAATTAAATTATAGGAGAAGAATTTTCTGGAGGAATAAAATACAATTTGAGTTGTCAAGTTTTTCGAGTTATCGAGGTTTGAGTTATCGTAACTCGACTGTATAATATATTCAGAAAAATGTTTTTGTACTAATGTTTTTTTAAAGTGTTGTAACAGTTTACATTTGTGTCCTACATTTTTTATTTGTTCTTTCAAATCTATTTAGACCAAGAAACATTGTTGTCGACAAATGTGGCAAAGTTATCTCGTAAGTTAATATCACCGACAATATTTTAAAAACATAGTTAAATGTTTGTAAACAACTAAGTTAAAAACATGTTTTCCGATAGATTTTTCTTTGGTCTGGACGAGACTTAAGTCATAGTGTGAGAGAGTCTTTAGGGAAAATAAAAAAATAAAAATATGTTTACCTTGCAAAATCATATAAGAAAAAATACTAAGTTACCGCTTCTCTGAACTTAATAATTTTAGGAATCTAACAATTATTTTCTTGGATTAAGTGTATATAAAATGAAGACTCATTAGTAATAATTAGGGTTCGGGACTTATTGTAAAACAATTTATGGAAATATGCATATAAATATGCACTTAAAATAATCGAAATATACCCAAAAATATGCAACTGAATATTTTTTGAATGACAATTAAAAATTTTGATTTATTTATTTAAATTTAGATATTTTTTTTTAATTAGTATTTTTTGACAACAACAACACTATATACGCGTTATGAATTGAAACATATTTATATCTTACTTAGACTATTCTGCAATCATTACTAAACAATATGCAAATTCATAAAGTTCCGAACCCTAGTAATGATTAAATTAATGAATCGTTACATAAAACTATACTAAATACTATATTATAACTTATACGACTATTTTATTATACTATACTTATTTGCTCAGTAGACTATTTACTTTATGAAATAAAAACTTTATGCTTACATTTTATCTTGGGATCATCTGTATTAAATAAAAATAAAACAAAATATTCGTAAATATCTATAATATTATTATCAAGTAATTTAATTGAATTAACTTATGAGATTTCAGTTACAAAATCATTTGTTTTATTAATTATGTGTTAGTGATTTCACTAAGATTATCAATATTTTATAAAACGAAATAACATAATATTACGAGTATATGATTCGAGAATACTATCTGTGTAATATTTTATGTTCTTCGGTAACACTTAGGTCACTCTTACTTAAAATACATTGATACTTCAAATTAACATGAGTTGTTAACTCTTCTTAAATTTACTAGTATTTTTATGTTATCAATAAGAAAAAAATCCAAGAAACTTCTGATACTTTTTGAGTTATTAAATGTAGTAGTTTTCTAATAACTTCTATTTATCTTAGATTGACTACATGGTAACCCACTTACCCACTTGTAATACGAGTTGGAGTTAGTTCAGTTAAAATATTTAGAGAATTTTTTTTATAAAACATAGTTTCTCACTTTGAACGGGTTTAGATCAGTTTTTTTGGATCAGCTTTATAAATATATTTTAGATAGTGCGGGGCTGTAATATTAATACATACAAATAACCAATTTTGATACAATCCCTAGTTGAAATTCTAGATACTTGATTATGTGTAAATAATGTTTACTAAACAAATATTTATTGATTTTTAAAATGTAACATTCATTGTTAACTAATTATTAATCATACAGTAAATATCAATATACATTTTTTAAATTAAATATATATTTTTCTGTTAAGAAATACTAAATTTAGCATAGTATTATGGTTTTTTTTCATCTTACATATCGTGATTTGTGGATCTTCATTACTATTCCCTATAGCAAAAATTATAATTCATTAAACAATAGTTGTTGAGTTATAATGGTGTTTAATACGAGTATATATGTTGTAGGCATATAGTCAAATTATATTGACTATAGGAAACACAATATACTCGTACTATTATCTACGTCTATTACATCTAATTATTTATTACCTGTATATAATTATGATTGTATTTTTAAAACAATAGTAATAATGAACATGAAATTAAACATATTATTTCATATGCCAACGTATTTTACATATTAATAAATAATACATTGCTTTTTTATATATAAAATAGTAATAAACATACACACTATAACAAACATATACACTGTTTTCTCTTTTGTGGACAGGCACGTTAATAAGTGCTTATTTTATTTTGGGAAGGGGGATTAACTATCTTCGAAATTATTGGGACTTAAATAATGTACAATAAAATGGTATTTACTGTATATTTTATTTGTGGTTATAATAATACGATCTGTCGGGGGAGGGAGGCGATAATATCTATCATGTGCCTGCATTATAACTAATTTTACGCACCTACATAAATATTAAAAAAATTATAATGCACTCTCGAAGTCGAATAAACTGCAGTTGCATAGTTTTTAAAATTAAAAGTATTCTAATATGCATTTATTTCCTATTTAAGTTTTAACTATTTTTAAAAAAAATGATATTTCTACTTCTGAAAAACTGAAGATCTGAGTTTAGATTAGGGTTGATTTATATTTATTTGTATAAAACAATGAACAACAACAACGATACAACGATACAATCTAATACTTATAACATTTTAAACAATTACAAAGTACACCAAGAATTATGACTATCGTAAACAAGGAAATACGTATAGCATATGACTGTGTTTTTCAGGGTCAATGCAATTTTCATAATTTTCAAGTCAATTTTATAATAAGGCATTAAATTATACGTTTAACAAATAATATTACGAAATTGCATATGCCATGAAAATACCTTATTCCAATTATTAATAATCATCCAAATAATATTAATTTATCATTTATATAAGCACAATATTAACATACTTATAATTATATCTACCACATAGTTTAACCTTTATAAAAACTAATGTAGTAGTTTTACTTAACTATAATAAATCAAATAAAAAGAAAAAATTTTATTATTTTATTCCTTAAATATTATAGAAAATGTGTAATATTATTAAGTGATTTAAAATGCATAAAATGTATAACATTTACAAAAAAGCTTAATTATGTTTTAATTAAAATTTGGTACGTAGAATATAACTTATTATTAATGCGTAAACTAAAATAAATCTTTAAAAAAATATATAAATATTTATATATTACCTGAACGGATATCTTTAAAAATGATTAAGACTATTAAAGAAAGTCTCATTATAATATTTGTGGATAAAATCATATTGTTTTAAATACACAGAAAATGTTTTCAATTATTACTTAAGAACGGATAATAAAGATTTTCGACGATCAAGAATAAGAGAATTATGATTTTATTCAAAACATAATATTTAGCGATTGGTGTTCGCTGACTAGCTGCTGAGTAAATACATTCATCTCAAATATTAGGCATGTTTTATCGAAACTATATGTAAGGCCAGTTATCACTTGAACAAATATAGACGACATAACGTATTAAAATTATAAATTTAATAGTTTACCAAGTATGTTGAAACCATTTATTAATTTTTTTTTACACAATACCTACATTTTTTTTTCTATAATACAATAGAAGCTGCTTATTAGAAACACGGATAATTGATACAATTGCGTTATTGAAACAAAATGTCTAGGGATAGATCGACCGTATATTAAGACATTTTAAATAAATAGGATTATTGAAACAACAAATCGGTAATTTGAAACAATGAGGGCCAAGGCCGTCGAAAGATACAGATTATTTGGCGACAACTAATGTATTGTAATTTCAATTTACTTTATCATCGTTACGATTGGAAGTAGTCGAACTCTCGGAAGAAGTGTATGAAGATTGGATCGATGTAGACTCATACATCGATTTTGCAGACATGTTGTTAGATATGATGTTGGAGATTCCAACAGAAGATCTGTAATGCAGTTATGAATCCTCAAACAATTGAATATGCTGTCACTAACGATGAAGAAGAAAAAAGAGAAACATCCACATAAGGTAAAAAAATTGTAGAAGTTCTAAGTGTTCTCAAGAGAACAGTCCTGCACCGTGCGGTTGAAAAAGGCTTTGGACAACATTATTTTTATGAAACCATGATCATCAAGTTACTCGATGCAAGGCAACAAACAACGATAAACGCATATTTTACTTAGCATATAAATTGTTTTTTCACAGTAGATAATTTTTTTTGAATTATACATTTTTTTCATAATAAACAAAACCAATCGCTTATTAGAAATAATCAGTTTATTGAATTCGCCCTAAAATGTTCCTAATAATTGGCTCCTACTTTATTATTTTTATTTCACTCAGTACAATAAATCCTAAGTTCTATCCAAATCCAGTTTAACGAGGAAGCAGAGGAAGCCATAGCCCCGTACCCACAACGGATATCAAACAATAATAGACAATAATTTTTTTTTTTTTTTTAAATCAAAAATATTTGGATGAAATACATAAACGTTTTCTATAGGCTATACTATAACGATAATGGATAATGTGTTATTATTAGGGCTAGGATAGTATAGGATTTTGCATTTTTTTTTAGGATTTACAGGACATAGCTTTTCAAGCACAAAATGTGATTTGGTCATATATGAGTCCAAATATATAGTTTTTATTTTGCTTTTTTTTTGCATTTTTTGCACTTTTATGGATTTAGAGTCATTTTGTAGCATTTTTAGGTCATTTTTTCAGTTTTTAAGGGCATTTTTATACTATTTTGAAATCTTGGTAATTTTTTTATACATTTTCATTTACACTAGATGTTCTCAATAAAAGTTTTGAATTTGTAACAGAAATAATTATATAAATATTTCAATTATATAGATAGTGTGTTAGTACTCGTTATTGATAATAAAACCACTTATATATTACAACAATAAACTTTGATACCACGAGTTATCTTAATCGTAAAATTAGATGACAGTGGTGTGAAGTGTACCTACGTATGGTTTTGTTAAATATCTATTTAGTTAGTGCTATATAAAACAAATTAAAGATGGTGTTGGAGAAAAATACTGGATTTGAAACGTTAAGTAAAATATCAAAAATAATTGAAGGAACTGAATTAGACACGGCTCATTTCCCTGATAAGTTCAATATCGACGATATCACGTACATGAAATTTGCTCCGATTACATCTGTGGACGTGGAAAGAAGTTTTTCAACTTACAAGACATTGCTAGCAGATAATCGGCGGTCATTTGTATTTGAAAACTTGAAGGAGCTACTGATTGTCCAATGCAACAATACAATTTAAACGTAATTTTTAGAATAAAAAAAATATACGTATATATTTTTTATTTTATAGTATTTTTTGTTGTTTATTTCAGAAAATTTCAAGCTGGTCATTGCATGATAAGTCCAAACTTCAAACTTGAGTTTTTTTTATGCTATTTTTTATAATATTATAATTTAAATAACTTTCTACCGAAATATTAATTAATAAATAATAATTAATAATTATAAATTATAATTTATAATGCATTTTTATAATATTTTAAAATCATTTTTATCTTTTGGGCATTTTTTAAGGTCATTTTTAGGTTATTTTAATATCATTTTTTTAGGTTTTTTGGGTCATTAAAATCCTAGCCCTAGTTATTATTATGCTACCATAATATCGATAGTATCGCCAATTTTTCCATGATGATAATGGTAAGGAGGAATTTATAGGAAAACTCGAATACGGTGAATACCGTCGATTACGAATACAAATTTACCTCGGTAGAAATATTATTATTAGGAGTGGAATTTTAATGCTCTAAAAAAAAGAAAAAATGCAAAATAAAAATTCATTGAAAATAAATTTATTATAGTTAAAAACAATATTATAAAAATCATGTTATCTACCGAACATATTAAACGAGATTTATTTAACATAATTATAATAAAACTAGCTGACCCGACAAACATCGTTTTGTCATATAAATTATTTCTAGAGAATATTTTGCTAGAAAAAAATAACTAATTTAATATAAGTGTATAAGAATGTAGTATATAAGTGGAAGAGATATGGAGTGCTGTGAACGGTGACGGAATATAAAAATGAAAAAACATCAAACATTTACTTTTTTAATAATTTATTTAAATTGATCCTTTAAAATTATATACATCGCTAATTATGACAATATTAGTAAAAAACAATATCAATCCCTTAATGCAACAGAGTGTAAAATATTTTTTTTATCATCCCATTATTTGCCAACACAAACAAACTGGATTGTTCGAGAGCACGCCACATATAATTGTCCGTGTGAAAAATATGATGTGCTCAAATCTAAGCTACATACAGACATCGTTTGGCCTTGAGACTTATTGAAAGTCATTGCAAATGCCAATCTAATTGGAAATTGAAGGCTTTAAATTGTATTGGCACATACGTGGGTATAATAGGGATCCGCGGTAATAATATATTTTCACCTCAGAATTTTCCATTTAAAATGATGGCTTCAATAACATTTTTCATTAATTTTTTAATGGCTAATCGCGTGCCGTTGTACAACCGTTCAAATTTTGAAGCAAAATAACCAAAGATCCAACCTTGAGTTGTTAATTATGAGTTTGCTTGCCTGGTAAATCTAATGAGTTTAAAAACTCTGTTGGATAATTTACAGCTTCAGTAGCACCACCAAACTGTATCATTAGATTTCTATGGCACCAAGTCTCCTGGTAATAAATGTTGTACCTTGAGATTCAATTCGTTGACGTCCATATTTTTCGCTGCTAAAATTGCTCTTTCTGCCAACCACTCATGATTTGTGTATTGTCTGTGTACATTAGGAAATATCTGGTTAATGAGAGCATCTTGCGAATCAATGATTGTGTAGAATTGGATCGGTAATTTTATACATCCCGTTTTACCTGTAGTAACTCTCCCATCACCGATATCTGACAATTGTTTTGAGAATTTTCCGCAAGCAGCTTTTTTTGATTGAATCGCAAGTTCGCTCTCTATCTTTACATTCATGTCAACCATGAATTGTTGAAAAAGTTCACGTAATCGTAGAATAACGTTGTCCTGATCGTTTCTAATCATCAACCAATATGCATAATAATCCTTGGAACTAACATTCCTGTTTGTTTTAGCACTTGTTGCGGGATCTTGTTGTTTAATATTTATGCAATACCCGTCATTTAATACCAAAAATAAAATTAATAGTTTTTAATAGTTTTTTAATAGTATCATTTAATAATTCATTTTTAATTGCACAGTTATTGACCGGGTCAAAAATTATTAAATTAAACTACAATTTATTAAACAATAATACTTTTTTAGCAATTTTTTTTTCGTAAAAACCTTCTCCTGGCAATTACGAACAATTAAAAAAAAATTTTGAGCCAAATCGGCCCAGCCGTTCTCAATTGATGAAGTGTTATACATTTTTAGCTCCATTTTTATATATATATAGATAGGTAAAATGAAGTGGGGTAGCTGCGACACAATTTTGAATAATTGGGTAAAATACGATTGCGTACTTTTGTAGATGGGTAACAAAAAAGTGAATAAGAAAAATAAATAAACATGATTGCTTATGAAATTGTATGCAACGTTTTCAAATTTACTAATTTCATGTATGTCTCATAAATATAGAATAGATGTACAAAAAATTCTATAATAATTCATAAAAAAAAAAAATTGATAATAAAATAATAAATAAAATCAGGATAACTAAATAAAAGAGAAGTAATTAATAAATAAATAAAATCGAAACTTTTAACGAAATTATTGTTAAAAATAAGCAATACTTCGTGTTTCAATTGATTGAACACGTGCTATGTTGACTAAATTATTTGAAACAATTTTTTTTCATTTTTATTTTTATTTTCTGTAAAACGCGGGTTTTTTAACATTAAACAAAGATTGAAAGATTTTTAAACATCGTAAACGGCTATACAACACAACGGTGATGTTAATCGTTTTTGGCGCAGCTCGTGGACATTCTTTCGAAAAAGTTCAACAGTTTCTGGTCCAACGTTCTCGTGCAACCCTTCTTCCAATCGCCATCGTCGTGACGGACCGATTTGCACTCGTCCGCACTCGTAACGTTGGTACAGCTTTGGCATGCACTTTCGCTGTTGTGCTCATCGAACGTGGCCTCGGCTACGGGAATGCTTACCATGGATGCGGGGGTGCACCGGTTGCACGGTTGCCGTAGTCCGAAGTCGTAACCGCAATGGTCGTACTTGGTGTAGGCTGCGGCGACGGGGGCGGGACCGACGCATCTTTTGGCTTCGGGAGCGCGTCCCAATGACTGGGGGGTATAGCGAACCGGTTGACTCATGGCTGCGACCGCGGATTTCCGTACCCGGCATTCCCGGTTACGCAATATCCGCTGCCGCGTTTGCATGTCTACTGGCGGCTTGGCCCACTCGACGTCGAGGCACACGCCTGAAGCCACGTCCCTGGAACAGTCCAGCGCGTCCATGGCTGACTGCGCATCCTCACGCCGCTCAAAGTGCACGAACGCGTAGTTCTTCAGGTTCTTTACGCGCTCTACGACCCCGTACTGGCCAAACACCTTGGCTAGCACGCGTTCGTCCAGTATGCCGCCGTACTGACTGACGAACAGTATGCGGACTGTGGCCATCGTATCCGCGTCCACCTGCGGTTCCGGGTCCGCCCAGTCCACGTACGTTTTGCACCCGAATATCTTTTGCTTTGACAGTGCCCGTTTGGCGTCCGTAGCCGCGGCCACCGACCCGTATTCCAGGAAGCAGAAGCCCCGGTGCATCGACGGGTCGTCAAAGTTCTTGTACGTGATCACACGCACCAGATGACCACGCGTTATGCGGCTCACTTCGTCGAATATTTCCTTTTCCGTTTTCACCTTCGGCAGGTTGCCCACGAACAGCCTGCACTTTTGGCCGTCGTCCATGGTGGTCGAAATGTTCTCCGAACGGTTCGTCATCGCAGTTCTTAAGCGTGATCGACGATATGACACAGGCGTAATGGTGTCTCGAATTCCTCGTTTCTTGATCGTTTTTATTTTTTATTCTCTTCTTGTCCACAGTATTTCCTTTATGTTGCCTTGTTAATAATGAACGTTCGATTAATATTTCGTAATTGTTTTACACTCGTTGAAAACACTCGCTATGGGTTATACGATATTGATTTTGTATACATAGCCAGCTGGCTATTACATAGCAGTAATCTAAAATATAATAATTATTTTATGTTATCATATACATATATGTTCGAATTTAAACGAATTGCTTTCTGTATTTATTTCAGGTTATATAGTAGACCAAATATTCAAAGATATCGAATTTTGGACATCGAAAATTGAAACATATGCTACAAAATGTTATATGGAATCTTTACTGCCTGAAATAATTGACTCAAGGTTGGATCGAGGTCTACCAATAAGACCCAGTATGCAAGAAAATAAGCTTTAATTAATTAATGAAATTAAAAAAAATTTCATTCAGCTTTATTTAATATGATAAAAAAAATAAATTTTTTTTAAAGAAGTACCTGCCTACTTTTATCAATATCTGATATCAGTGTGAAAACATTGATGCACATAGGAATTTACTCATGTATATTTTAATAAAAACAATATGGATATATAACAATATAGACAATGTAGTGGCCAAGACGATTTATCAAGACGTCTATACCAAACAGTTTATAATTTTATGACTAGAGCACGACATTACATAATTTCTACGTTGTTCAAGAGTATGGTCTTAAATGGAACGCGTCAAATTTCAATATTCAAATAGTTTTTACGAGTGTACCTAGGTTTTTGCTATCGTCGTTCAAAACATAACTTCTGCCGATGCATTTTCACAAGCTTATACCATTGTTGTACTTTTTATGGTTCATTAATTATTTAAGAATGCTTAAATTTGGATTCCCTGATATCTATAACCAACTAATTTTATTAAAAACCGAAAAATACTGTATAATGTAATGGAAATAACGAAATTTCGTAATATCTGATATATTTGATATTATAACAATAAACATAGATAATAAAAGCGATAAAACACAAAGTATTTATTAACTTTTTCAAGTTCACTCATACAGATATGTGGTATACAACAATATCGATATTCATATCGATATCATATTGAAATTGGCGTCAACACTTAAAACTTCGTATAGAATAATCGTATAGTTAAAAATCAAGTAAAATTGTACTGAATCGTGTTATCGCTGTTAACAATCGTATTTTACCCGAATAGTTCATAAATAACTTAAAAATATAATGATTATTGCAATGTACTGATATGAAAGTGTAAATACACACTAAGTCATCAAGTCTAAATACACTATCAAAATTGTGTAAAATATTTAAAAAATACTTTTACGATTGAAAATTAAAAAAAAAAAAATGTCCCACTTGCCCCTTGACAAAGGGGTAAAATTTACAATTTTTTCAAATTATAATTTTTTTAACGAACACATCGAAATAATGAGTCAAAATTTAGTAAATTTTCATTATAAACCATTGCCGTGTAAATCATATACAAGTACATACGAATACATGATTATGTATCATATGTATATACACTATGTAGGTACTTACCTTCAGTTTCAATTTTAAATATACTTATCTTATATTTTTTCATGGATAAAATAATAGTCATTTTTAATAAAACCGTTTATTATCTATGCACTTGAAATATTAATTAATCTGTACCTATAGACTACCAACTGCCGATCAAAATATATTGGATTATATATATATATTTATTTATTTTCTAATATTTCTCGTGTTCTTTATTTTATTTCATAGTTGTTACATAATGTTCGTTTAATTCTAAAACAAAAATGTTGTGTAAATTATTTTAAATTAACACTACTTTAATATGTCAAACGAAATATTTATATAAACTTACGTAATAGCTGCAAGATCAGTTATAAATATTACGCTAGTTGTAAATATCAACGCAATCCAAAATATTGACGATGTTAATATTATTTCGCTTAAATCGATAGACGCAGAAAATATCAATAATATTTTTTTTAATTGGCTAAAGAAAAAGGGAAAAATAATTATTATATAAATGTTTACAAAGACATACTTATACAGATAAATAACTTAAATGTAAATTGGAAAAAAAAAAAAAGAACAATGGATGAGTAGAATGACAAGACAAGAGAAGGTACGAATATGTGATAGGTAGTATTGGTATAGTATTGATAGTACAAAAGATGAGATAAAATAAACTGAGGTAGTTTGGGCATGTGATAAGATGAGAGAAAACAAAATGATTATGAAAATGAACGTTGAAGAGAAAAGAGGAAGAGTAAAACCTAAAAAGAGATGGTTGGATACAATTGAGAATCAGGGGTGGATTTAGGGGGGGTTCAGGGGGTCAGCTGACCCACAGTTAATATTTGTTGACAAAATTGGCCTTTTGGAAATTTTTTTCTCTTTTTAGACCTTGATTTGGACTCTTGGATAGTTAGCCCATCGGAGTTACTTGAAAAATGAACGCCATGTATATTCAAAATTTAAAATTTTTCAATTCATAATTTATATTTTAAATTATATCGTTTTAGTAGAAAGTTAAGTAAATCATATTTTTTTCCATACATTTGTTGCGCTGATAAAATTAGATTATATTTATTAATCGTAAATAAGTCACTATCGATGGTATCACTAATTCTAAAATGTAATATTAATATACTTATACACTTTTATGAGCATATTGTGTTTTTTTTTTTTACAAGGTATTAATTTCTAATTCAGTTTCATCCCTAATAAATGGCCTCTTGAAATGGCTTGACCCACAGTTTCTCGACTCTGGATCCGCCTCTGTTAAAAATGATATGAGGGCTGTTGGTGTGTGCGTAGGGGATGTAAAAAATCGAGACAAGTGGAGGTTTAGGACAAAGATAGCTAATCTTAAATAGTTGAAAAAAAGGTGAAGAAAAAAAAGGACAGAAAATACAAACATTCCTTCATTATAAGTACGAGTCGTACCAATAAAAATGTCAACTACCCAAATGGAAATACGAGTCCCCTCTAATGGTACCTCGAACGTGGCATCAATCTAATTTCTTGTCTAATTCTAAATCTGTAATAATGTTTACTACATTCTGTATTCCTTATACTAGCTTTAATTTAATTTTTTTTTTAATTATTTTATATGGGTACCTAGGTATTAACTATTTGAATCTACATGTATAACATTTATACTAATTCAATTTTATTTTCATTTTTATTCGACTGCAAGTTTTATGATGTTTGATACTACATAATACTTAAATAATATTAAATTTAATATATTTTGTATTTTACTTATTAACAATTATGAATGAAATCCATGACAGTATTGATATCAATGTAGTTAAGTGTACAACAAATGACCATGACTGAGTATGTAATTCCGCCTTTAAACATACAATAACTAACGAACTCTAAAAATAGTAAAACTGATGATACCAAATAAACATAGTAATTTATTGAAATTAATAAAAAAATGTATTACGGTATATATAGCATTTCCCAATACTGAATAATCGCTTACTATTCCCTGCGTCCATATTACTTCATGTTTCATGAAGAGTAGACAAATCCAAAATATGAACATTGAATGGAACACAGCGACAACAATCCATACCCAAAATATTTTATAGTTAAATATGTTTTTAGTTGGCATGTATAACTGTGGATTTTTTAATCTTTTATCTGCTGAGTAAGTATTTAGAAATAGTCCTATTATCAATGGTGGAATAGCTGTATACAACTTAAAAAAATAAAACACATTTAATACTTTTAAATTAGTTTGTAAACATAAATTATAAATATATTTCAACATTTAAATAAATTATTACAATCATAAGTGAGCACAGAACTCTTTTTTAGGGTATAAAAAAGGCTATCACTGACCCCCCAATCATCATATAATATAAATTTAAAGACTAAATATGTCATGCTTTTTATTAATTTTTGATATTTTTAGAAACAAAGCTCTGTATCCAGGATATGCAGCTGCATATAAGGTTGATATCAACTGGATAAAAACATTACACAGTTGCACATTGGTGACATGGGAGGTACCATAGGTGTGAAAATCTTGGGTGAAAAAATATGCAACAGCATAAGTTTAGAATTTGCGACCAAAGCACTAATGCGAAATCCAGAGGTAACTATTTCGATTTTATTAAAAAATATATACATATACATATAGTCAACATAATCGCACGCTATGAATATTAATACATTTTATTACAGGAAACTCACTACATTGTACGCGCAAAAACTCCATCTATCAAATAGTATCTGACCAGACCACGCAGAATACATGGCAAACCATAGCTGTAAGGTAAAGAAACAAACACTTTTGTAGTAACAGAAATAAATCATCATTGAAATCCTTTTATAATTCGAAGCACCGTGGACAAACAACAACTTGGATAAATACTTAAACTGAAAAATTGTAAAAGTATATTAAAAATAAAATAAAATTGTATTTTATTAAACTAATACAACTTGAGTCAGTGGTGATAAAAGGGTGTATTTAAATAATTTGATTCACAAAAAATCTCATGTTTAAAAAACTGATTAATAAATAAATCACAATTTTTAGAAAAACAAAAATTTAATATAATCAATGAGTGGTATTAAAATATATTATTATTATATTATTTAATTAATATTATATATTTAAAATATTGAGTGATTCAAGAAAAAAAAATTGGAATCGAAACTGACTCAATATTAATACGAGTAATTTACCTGAGATATGGAATAGTCTGAAGAATTAGATGCTTGTAATCCTTCTAATCCTATTACACCTATTCCAATAGTAGCTTTGTTGAACATAGGTATATCATTAGATTCATCACCTATAGCTAAAGTTACTTCATTTGTATAATTTGTTATGAGATCAACGACCTGTTTCATAAACTATAATTAAAACTTCAACTCAGAATTTTATTACATTAAATTATTAATCAGCTTTTTCAAGAATATAACAAAGAAAAAGTATTTTGAAAAATGTGTGTAAATAAATAATTAAAAACTAATTCATCAAATTGAAAACCAATCCAAATTAAAGTACGGTATACTTTTAAATGTTTGAATTGAAATCACAAAATGTATTAATTATTATACTTTATAGTTATATAATTATAAACTTCTTTGGTACCTCAGCTTTTTGCGTAGCTGATATTCTGCAGACGATTACTGATTTAAAGTTAACACATAATTTGAGAAAATCCATTTTTATATCGTTTGAAAGCGCATGTTCCAATAACTGTCCATTAATTACCAATGTACAATTATTCTTATTAAATAAATAATCCCTACTGTGCGTGTTTTTGCGTACAGCCAGCTTTAGGTCCTGTAAATATAGTATATTAAGTATTATCGGTATTTTATATCTTTACAATACAATAATATATAATTTTGTAGAATAACAATTGTTAAGTCCAGGAAGTGACAACTCGCAGTGGCGCTGAACTATTATAACTATTATAACTATTGTCATATCACTAGGGTAAACTACTTATGGGTATCCACTCACTTACCAAAAAATCATAATTTAAACGCAAGTATTGTATACCTATAAATTACGAGAAGTTACTACCAAGTTATAACATAATATTATAGAATATGTTATCATATAATTGTTAACTTAAATTAAAGAAATAACACTATGCTACTCGTAAATAAAAACAATCCTAAATTAAATAAAAATTCTTTAATACTTCTACATAAAAAAACAACTTAATTAAATACACTTAACTATTCAGGCTTACCCCGTGGATAACCTATCAATTTTAACAAACACTCAAGTCGACATCTCGACTTGAACAACCTCTCTTCTCCAGACAGTGGTGTAATCGACACTAAGAAGACAATGACGACCACGCCATCTATTGGAGTTTACACAAAAATAACGATAATAAATCTAGCACCCATTAAGACACCCACTCAACACCATCACCTAAAAAGGTTCTGGAGTATTTACTCCATACGCCATACATGTTCGACGCCACTGGCAAACCGCAGTCCACAAAGCAATGTTTTATGGCCCAAAGATGTTAAATTTTCGTGTACAACATAAAATGTATGTCATTATAATAAACTTATATTTACGTTAATATTCATAGTAACAATCTTAATTACTACAAAGTATAACTTTTATTCGAAGGATTGATAATAATATTAATGTTTACGAATAATTAGTTCATCTTTGTAGTTTAAAAGGAACTATCACAGGAGAAAATGTATTCGTAAATATTGATAAATTAATAAATATTTTAGGATTAAAGTGGAAAAAATGAATAAGTGTAACAACATATGATAGGAAAAACATGAGTGGTTCAAACAAAGTAGGAAAAATTAAGAAAAAAGTTATGAAAAACGATTATTGAATTTTTATTGTATAGTTCACCAAGAATCATTGTTTTATTAAGTTTTCGCGTGCAAATAAGTTATGATTATTGTAATTTCCTCAATTAATTTTATTCAAAATTTAATCGGAATTTGAGGACGTTATATATTTTACAAAAAACAAATAGTTAAGTAAATGTTCAGTATTTAAAAAAAATTTTTATTCTATGATTTAAAATAGAAGCGTTTATGAACAAAAAAAATAAAATCACTACCCAACTATCTTATGATATCATGAATTTTTGACTTTGAATTTTTAACAGATTTAATAATATTTTAGAATGAATCGAACATAAAATTACAAGGTAAAGGAAAATTGTTGTCAGATATGTATACTTATGTGAAATCGTTTAAAGTAAAATTAAAATTATTTTACAATTATTTTAATTAACAAATTTCATTAATTTTAGTGTTGTAAATTTACGATTGAATCTTTTGTAAAAAATCATTGAGTTTTGGTTTAATAAAACCTAAGTTTTTTTAAATCTTTGAACAATTACTTAACGAGACAAGATTTTATGATTTTTATTAGTATGATATAGAAATAAAATTATTCCAGATTAATTTTTTAGTGGACATAAATGATTTCAAAAATAATTTACAAATAACATGTCAGTGAACTTAAATATTACGAGGTCTTAAAAAAATATTTTCGGGAAGCAAATAAATCTCATTTTTATAGTCTTCCTATATCCATATTCCCCGAAATCAGACAATTTGTAAGAAATATTATAAAGGCATTTGGAAATAAATATTTATGTCAACAGACATTTTAGATTATTAAGCAAGACTTTTCGCGCTTTTGTGACGAACATTTGTACGCTTTATTACGAACTTCAATGACAAGTTTTCAAGCTGATATAAAAAAATTAACCAATAAATTGCAGGTTCATGTAAATTTAACATTTTTTTTAAATTTAATTTTTTTTTTAACAGAAATTGTTATTTTTTTTTTATTCTTATATTTCAATGTAAAATAACTAAATTTAATATTTAAAATCAAGTTTTATATCATATTTAAAATTAATTTGGCTCTCGATGAAAAGTTAAAAAAATTGACTGACATAGATTAAGGTGGTTAACCCCTGGTTTAGACGTAGATTTATTTATGATTAGACTTAATCATAAATTTTAAACTAATTCAATGAAGATTTACAGTAACTAAAATTTATAGTATTGAAAATAAATTGTATTTCATTTATATCTAATTGCTTAAAATGAATTATAAATTTAAATTCTAACCATTAATTTTGATTTGTTAAAAATAATTATGGGTCCATTTTGTGTAATGAGTCTCGAAGACAATCCAATATTTATTGCGGTCTCTTGTTTATCACCAGTTAGTAACCATATTTTTATTCCAGCACTCATCAATGCTTCAATAGTTTTGGGTACCTGTAACAATAAGTAACTATCAGAATTAAATATTTAATTTTATAAGATTTCTGTTTCATGAAATACGATTAATAGAAACATAGCAACAATTAACAATAGGTATGACGTAGAATATTGAAAAAGTAATTTAAAAACAATTTTTCTCAAAACTGATTAAACTAAATTAAATGCGTTTTTTCCTGTACAAAAACTGTACTCATAACTAAACCACTACCCAAAATAAAGGTTGCTAAAATAATGCATTTCTAAAGGTGAAAGATATTAGACAATGATATTTTACCTCCAGAACGAGTGGGGTACAAAAGGCCGAAAACTATTAAGCAGACAGATTTTTAGCCGAAACCAATGGGCCGACATACAAAGTAGCCGATAAAAAGTTTATTTTATTCTATTCGGTCCACAGATATGTCGGCTAATTTTTTCTGTTGGTTAATATATTTGTCGACTCTATGGATTTGGCGTAACATTTGTCGGCTAATTTTATTCGGCCCATTGTCTGTCTTCCCTCCAGAACTATTAAAATGATTTACAAATATAAGATAAGACTCTGAATAGAAAAGACTTAAACTGTTTGATAATAATTTGTGGACGTGATATTGATATTCAACATGATGCAATGTTTTTCTGAACAAACACTTTTACAATACTTACTAAATATTTATATTAATATTAAAACTGTATTTAAATTTTTTTTAACTGTATTAAATTTCCATTTATTGGAGGAAGGGTACAACATTCCACATTATTTCAGGCTCCAACAATAACTCGTCCTTGTAGGGTACCTACATTTAGAAGCTAGTAACTATAGCCTATGGATTCGATTGCCGATAAATCGTTATCAATTATACTCGAATAAGTATAAATTTGATGTTAAAAATGATAATTTATGTATTTGTAGTATAATATATACAATACAAAATGAATTAATGCCCCATCCTTTAAACTGTCCACGATTATTAATTATTAATTATCGTCCTATGAATGAACATGCAATCATATAATACTAAAACAAATAATCAACTTACATGGTCTTGTAATTTATTTCTAATCGCAGTTACTCCAATTAGTTTAAGTTTTCTTTCAATTTTTTCAGCGACTTTATTTTTGGCAGCTTCACGATTTATTAAAACGCAAGAAGCCTTAAGATATTCCTCTTTCCACTTTTCATAAAATTTTTCAGAAATATTTACATATGCAAAACATAATGTACGGTACCCTGCACGGGCAAAATTATTCAAGTGTACTATGGTTTGATTTTTATATTTTTCCTCAATTTTTGATAAGCACTTAAAAATAGCTGTATCAGCACCCTAAACAATTACATTCGATTAAATAACTCTTTCCTAAGTCATATATTTATACCGAAAAATACTTTGCAATATAGTTTAATTTTAGAATCTGATGTCCGAACAATAACTGACATTCTTTTTCTAGAATTTGTAAACTCAATTATGTTTAAAATTTCGTAATGCTCTTCTAAATCTAATGTTTTTATAGTTACTGAATTTGGACAGCGAGTAAGACAAGTAAATCCAAATTTTTGAGATCCAGTAACTAGTGCTAATTCGTCTAGAAATTTATTAAAATATAGTAAATGTATTAATTTTAACTAGTCATAAAAGTATAGTTTTATGAAAATAAAAATATTTAAAAATATTAATATTAATAGAACACATTACTTTAATTAAACAATTTAAATAAATAAATACAAAAAATTTTAATATTTGACTTAATAAGATAACTTTATTTATTATATATATATATATATATATATATTAAAGTGACCCTTATTTATAGCAGGAAAGGAAAAGTTAAATATTCATAACTTTACACTCCTTCAGTTTTTTCATTACCATAAAAAATGTATGCAAATTAAATTTGTTGTTAAATAATCAACCTCTTTACATACCACAAGAGAGGAATATTATTCAACAGTGCAGTTTAAGTGTGTTTTTGATTTAATTTAAAATATATTAAATTAAGCACAAAGTTGTATGGTTATATACTCAGTATTAAAATATTGTCTACAAAAAGTGTTATTATAAAATGTCTAGTTAATCCATAATTTTCTATAAAAAATAATATAAAATATAAATTATTTCTTTTTCTGAAAAAAATTTGCGTCAACTATTTTAATTTTAATTTCGGTTGACACCCGAAAATCAAAAAAAAAAATTATACGATATTTTTGGGTGCAAGATCCATAAATGACCAGAAAATGCAAAACCGATATAAATTAAGATAAATACTGATAAAACCGATATTATTAAAATCAAAATTATTATTGAAACCAAAAAGTTTGAAAACCAAATTTTAAAACACAATTAAAAATAAACAAAATGTATAATTGATTTTCTAAATCAAAACCGTAACCAAAAAATATGAAAACTGATATTTGAAACCAGTATAAAAATTAAAAAAATTTAAAAATGATTTTTAAAACCGAAATTAGAAAAAAAATTTAAAAATGATTTTTAAAACTGAAATTAGAAAAAAAATCTAAAATTCTAAGTTGATATAATTAAAACTGAGAATCGGTATAATATTATGGTGTGTATTATAGCTATATTTTGTACAGCCATAATTCATCGTCAGTAATAAACGATATTAATAACTATTTTTTTATTAAATATTATATATAATAAAATTACAAAAATAAAATATCTTTGACAATTTGATGATCTTTGATGATTAAAATATTTAAACCATGGTGCCAACTATCATATCTCTATACTTTAATATGATCGATCGATAAATCATATACTGAGAATAGAGTGTAATTATTCAGCTATAAAAAGACAGAAAACGATATTTTATTTACATTACCAATTACAAATGATAAAAAGAAACAAATTTAAAATCTTATGAATCCAAAAATATTATTCAAAAATTAAATATAGTATTCAATAGTAAAATAAAGTATTTAAAATATTGTTCAAATAATTTTAAAACAAAAATGTTTAAAAAAATTATTCACTACGTAAAAAATTAATTTAATAATATTATGGATTTATGTTAAATTAGAAAAGGACACTTTTCAATGACATTTGTAATGTTTTGACACAAACTAGAGGTAAATTGATTTACTGGATTTATTGTTATACGTGTCAATAGAATATGAACCGTTTTACACCGATTTATATAGAAATATTGTTGTTCGAGATAATGTATAATAGTAGTGCTATTTTTTTTACTTAGCACGTGCAACGACCGTTATACTTGATATAAATATACTTGGCACGTAAAAGTAAATAATGGTGTTAAAAACCAAAAATGTAACCGAAAAAACTTGAAATCGGTATTATAAGCCCAAATGGAAACCGATAAAATCAAAAACCAAAAATCAAAATCAAAACCGAAATCAAAATTCATCATTTCGGTTTCAAGCCATAGCAATATGTATGTATAGTAGCTTTAGAAATATTTTTGGGTATTCGATTATTTTTTTTTAAAAATACATCATTATAATTTAACTAGAAAAATACATACTTCACGAAATGCAGTGTCTTCTCGACGTTTAAATAATAGCTTTCGAAACATGTCTTTTTTAAAGTATAGATTGTTTTTGATATTTATCTAGTATAGTGAAGCCATTTTATAATAAATATTAATTTATATAACTACTTAATTTCTTCAAAATATCTCTTGTAAATAAAATAATTATAAGTATTAATGCTAAACAGTATCCTGATTTGTGAATAGTACATCAGTAGAAGGTAACGCTCAAAGTGACAGTATGTAACATACTAATAACTAAATAAGAATAAATCGATAAGAATATACAAATTAGATGTAAATTTAATATTATTTTTACAATAAGCAAAAATCATTATAATGTAAGTTGTAGAAATAGTCAAAACAAAATCAAAGAAATAAAAATATTAATAATGAACTTTACGTTTTAGAAATATATTAAAATCTTGAAACTATCGATTTTTCAAATAATTTATATTTTAAATTATATTTCAAAGAAAATAAAAGATTATTAACAAGAAATTTTAAAATCAATTTTTTTATTGAAAGTTTTGGAATCAACGAGTACAATTTAGGGTATATACAATTTTATGCTATTGCAACATATTTTTTATTAAATCAAAAAACCCTAAAACTATCTAGTTTAGCAATATTCATATACACGTTAAGAGGGCGATGAATCATCACCAAATTTCTCATATAATGGTAATAAAAAAATTGATGGAGTGAGAAATCAAAAATTTGAATGTTTAAAAATAAGGAGCATCCTAATATATACAGGTATTATATTATATTATATTATATCCTGTATGTATATACTCGTGTATAAAAAAAAATGTGTATTTTACCCGGAGATATACTGTTGTTCACTATTCCACCAGCATACTGAAATCTCTCCGAAACTACAGTTTGACATGTTAACAAGATTCTAAAAAATTCCAAGATATAACTTCTTCTTGAATGATTTTTCATATTCTATAAATTAAAAATATAAAAATAATGACAAAAAATATATACTTAAATTTAAATAAAATATATTGTATCATAAGCTCACATTTCTTGAAAATAATATTTTAAGTAATAAACTGAAAAAGGGCTTAACTCCTAGGTCGAGTAAGATACGGGAATGGGTGATTCTTGTTGGTGGGACTCGTTTCCACCAAATGTGCACCTTTATTTTTCCATCAATATCCGTTTCCAGCAAATAATATTTTGACTGGTATACATTTCCAACAAATCAATTTCTATTACAAAACTTACTATTTAAACGTATTTAGTACAATATTATGTGTATTAGGTGTTGATCTGGTCCTTATAGAATTCTGTAATGAATTTAATTTTGATAACTTGTTATAATTAATTAAAATAAAATACGATATATGATGGAAATTATTCAATTACTCCTCACCAATACTAATAAGGTAAAATATTATCATATCTATATATAATATAATACATCGATATTTAAAAATTATAAACTTAAACATAGAAATAAAAAAAGGATTTTGAAGTACTTTAAAGTATTATGTACGTTATGAAGTCAATTAGATGAGATAAATCAAAGATAATCTATTAAATTGATATCATACTCTACGAGTATTTCAGTATATAGATCGTGTATTATTCATATTTTAAAAAAAATAATTCATGTACTTGTAGATGATAAAGTAGGGTGACCATACATCCCGTTTAAAACGAGATTGTGCCTTTTTTTATCATTATATCCCGTTGTCTAGATAAACTCTGAATGGGACGCTTTTCATTCCGTCATTAGATAATAGTCCCGTTTTATCCCTATATTTCCATATTATTTTATAATAATTGTAAAAGAAAATATAAAATAATTTTACTCGTATATTTAAAACGTGAAGCCAAAAATATAAAACAATTTTAAATTATGTATAAATGATAATAAAAATTATTTTAAAAACTGTTCCCATTGTTATTCGATATTTCGATCCTAAAATGGGAGTTCAAATAAAAGTGTTCACAAATTGAGTTCACAAACTTAAAAGGAGAAACTTCGGATATATTGTCATCTTATACAATGGAAACTTTAATAAAACATAAATTATCTCATAAAGCTGTTGCATTTCTAAGGATAATTGTTAAACCAATTTTTGAGGGACTATAAGGAAAAGAACAAAAATGTTTTTACGATTTTAAAAAATAATTTATAAACTAATATTTGTAGAATTGGTTGTACAGCTCATATTCTGCATAACGCTTTGTAAACAAGTACAGATATCTTACCTATTGATGTCGAATGTACAATAAACAAAATATTTCAATACTTTCATATATATATATACTGTTAGAGTATAATCATTAAAAGAATTTTATGATTTTACAAATACTCAATACAAAATCGTACTTTCAAGTGTAAAAAAACGATGACTATCCTTGAAACCAGCAGCTTCAAGAATTTTTGTAATATATCCAGCTTTAAAATTGTACTTTCACTCTCAGAAATGCCCAATCATGGTAAAATAATTTTTTAGCGACCTCATTTCCATAATATGGTTTAATTCTATACAAATTTAACTAAAAGTAATTTGTGACACTAAAAAAAAATAGAAAAGGACAATATAACTGCATGTGAAGTATCAGAAGAGTTAAATATATTATGTGGAAAAATAAAAAAATAGAAAACACAAAACTTTTTAACTTCCAGTGTAAACTCACCTCATTAATTTTACAATTAGAGACAAAAAATATATACACAAAAAATCAATTTATAGAACAAACTAACAAGTTGTGTGACACATTATTGTTGTACGTTGAAAAGTAGGGAAGTCCTTTCGAAGATCTAAAAATATTTCGTTAGACCCAACTAATAAATTGCCCAACATGGAATGGTATACAAAATAATTTAAATTTAATTTTACAAAATAATGAAAAACAGATCAATTTGAATGTGGATAAAGATATTATTTTCGATGAACATAATCATTTAAAAAATGTTATAAATGAAAATTTAAAGAATGGCATAATTATAATGTTCGTGTTAAAGAAAGATGGTATATTTATTATCTATACAATTTTAGAAAGTAAAAGTATATTCATCAACGATTTTTGGAAAATTGTAGAATATTCTCTAGTAATGTCAGGAACTAATGTTGCAATTGAAAGAATATTTGTATTGAGTTATTATTTGTATTTGTATTTATAGAATGTATTGTGGACGATTTAAAATTGTAATTCGGAAAAAAAATTTAAAAAAATATTCCTGCAATGATTTTTATGATTATTTCTTAACACAGCCAAAATTATTAAACAAAATAATACAGTAATAATACAATAGGAAATACATTTTAGTAATGGACAAGATAAGCAACCGACACAACCCATAAGTCATAAGAGCAAAATATTATAATTATTATTTTATAATTTTAATAAATTGTAACTTAAACTGGAAAAAATAAAAATTAACATAATAATAAAAATTTGTTTTTCCCGTTTTTTAATTTCATAAAAATGGTCACCCTGTGATAGAGAATTTAATTCGATAGAAACAGGTATCAGTAAAAATAAAATTTGGTGAAAACATGTATCGGTTAAAATATAATTTGTTGGAATCAGGTTTTGGTGGAAAAGGGAAAGGTACACTTTTGATGGAAACATGTTACGCTCATTACCAGGTGGTTTTTAGTATCGATCTGGCCCTCAGATATCCTCGGATATCCCTCAGATATCCGCCGAACACCGGAGGACCTAAAATGTATTCTTAAAATAGGAGTCCAGCGCAACCACACTAATAAGAAAAATTATAGTAATTATTTTTCTGAATTAAATTAAAATGATTTTATTCTTATCTTAATCTTAAAATATTGTTGATTGAGAAAATTCGAGTTGGACTACTGGTGTTATTTAATAATAATCAAGTTGTGTCCACGGTGATATTTTATCTTAATATTATCTTAATTACTCAACTGAAGTTATTCCACATCGACGTATCCGGACAGTTATTACCACATAACATTTTGCATGATTAAAGTAAATTTACTTTATCCATGACATTTTGTAACTTGCTAGTAGTAAATAAACTGACACGTGTCAATTGTTTTCGATTAATATAATATAAAATAAAATAATGATAATAGTTTTTAGTGTCTTAGTGTTATTTGTAGTATTAATAGTGTATAAAAATTGAAGAATTTAATGGATTTCATGATAAAAAATGAAAAATTATATAAAATGGATTTAATGTCAAACGAAGAAGGGAAAATAATTATCATAATGGAAGGATTTAAATTTCGTAACCACAAATTGTTGATTGATAATATACAACGTTAAAAGTATTTTCTAAATATATGTTAGTGTTTTTTTTAAATTATCGTTCACTTTAGACATAATAGAGAAATTTAAATATCAGCATAATCATAAAAAATGTGATAGCAAGGTTCTGGATTGGCAAACATTTAATAACTCAGTTAAAAAAAAATGCATGAAGATTTTTCTACACAACCTTCGAAGCTCATTAGATCCTAACTTGTATTATATTCCATTCAATTAAAATTCATTTAAGTGAAACATTATTGCATAGCTTTTTGACAAAAGAAGGAGAATATTGAATTATTCAAAAATTAGATAAAAGAAAAACTATGGCTTTGAAAAAAATATATTTTGATGATACGTATTGATGCTGTAGAAATCATATCATTTTTATATGCATGCATGAATTTAAATAAACCACATTTTATCAGAACTAGATGAGTACCGTTCTTTTAAAGGCTTGTGGTCTAAAAAGTTTATTTGATATAGCCTTAAAACTTGAATAGGATTATAAAAAAATATATAATATATAATCGAATAGGATTATTGATATAGTAAAAAGGTATTTGTTCTTCTTCAAAATTATCAACAATTGCAATAGCTATATTGAGGTGCCCACCTACATCTACATCTACTGAGCGTAGTTTTTTTTACATATGGACGAACAGAAAAGCTAGTTTTATTAAACAAAATTTAAAACTTAATTATATCCGAAAACAGGTTTAAATTAGCCCTTCTGATGATTATATTGATGACTTTATTTATTTCAAATGTCAGAAGTACCTAAATAAAAAAGAGGTGCGTTTATGTTTATCTCATTCTGAAGATAATGAATCAAATTGACAAATATTATTTTTAGTTAAATATCATTATCATCATAACTGGCATTTATAATTCTATTAGAGTTTTTGCCGCCAACACTATGTCCCTCCATTTCTCTCGATCTTGTATAATTTCCTTCCATTCTTTTACTCCCACAGTTTTAAGATCCTCTTCTATTAAGTCAAGCCATCTCTTCCTTGGTCTGCCTCGAGGTCTCCTTCCTTCTGGTTAAATATCAAATATGTTATTTATTATTTATAAAATATTAAGTATCTATTTTAGTTCATTGTTTATGTTTGTTAAAATTAGAATTGTTATTATTATTATTATTATTATTATTATTAGTATTTTTACATTAAATATGTATTACTTATTTAAAGTTCTTTTATTATTTGGAAAAAGAAAAACTATAGTATTTTGATTTATGTTTGTTAAAATTAATTAATATTTGAATATTTTATATAAATATTATTTTTTCAAAATTGTTATATTGTACAGAACTATAACTGCCAGAACACTTGGTACTATAAACGTGAAGAAGCAAAAGTTATTTTGATTTATATTTATTATGTCTAATCACTTTATTAGTCATTACTTATTCGTTATTACTTTTTGTTTTAATTTTTATTAATAAGATTTAATTTTCAAATTGAAATGGAAAATAGACAATGGTTAAGTAATCAAGTTTAGGTTTTTATGTAATTTCAAATTTGCATATCTTTTAATACAGGGTTTTGATTTTTACACCGTATAAAATGTGTGTAGTACAAAAAAATATTATTCTATACTTTAATACACACAGTATTATAGAAAATTTATTACACATATAATACAGGAAAAATAAAATACCGAATTTTTACATCACTAATAATAATAGAATAATATAATTATTAATTTATACTTTATATGTAGGTTTTTATAATACTATAAAATCGTATACTTTTTAAACAAATTTAACCATCCCCTCCCTCCACAAATAATTTGTAAATACGGCGCTGTATGATCTCGATAAAATATTTCTGAACCCATCTCATTTATTCGATAAAATACGTCCGGATCCAATTAATCCTATGTTTGAAATTTGGGGCTCATCTACAGGTTACCCTAGGTATAATTCCTACAGTTTATACATTTTCGTTCTCTTGATCAAAATCGAATAGATATAAATACTTTGAAAAATTAATATAAGTGTTGTTAAAGTTCACATACACGAACACAATGATAATTCAATAATATTGGCTTTGGAAAAGTAAAAAAATAAAAATCAATTAAAATTGTAATAGAGTTCGAACTAAGCAAGAAAATTTTTTTTAATAGATAATTATTACATAATTATTGAATTTCATTTCAATATCATGTTTTTAAGGGGCCCATTGTAAATTTTTTGCTGGAGACCCAATCATGAGCCCGATCGACACTAACTGTATTCGTCTTTTACAATTGAAATCAATGTGTCATTGCTCTCAAAAAAACGATTATGAGTGAAAGAGGACGGTCACGAAAGCTTTTATATTAAGATATGGTAGATATTATAGTAATTAATACTAAATTTCAGAAAAAAAAAAAATATATAATTTGTAAAAATCGAAAGTTTCAAGTGCCCATAAACAACACACGTTTCATTAAAATATTTTGAAACTATGAAGTATTTTAAACTTAATAATTTATATTATTTAATAGAAATGTATTGAAATATTCGATTTCAAACCCTTATGAATCATTTTTGTTACTTTCCAGTTTTTTTATTGTTACAAAGAAAATCTTATGAAAAAGCTTGTATTCAGTTTTAAGTATAAAATTGAAAATTGTATGAATTTTTTACTACAAAAGTGTTGCGGATTATAGTGATTATTATCCTTTTGTCAAATTACGATTATGATAATCAGTCATTCCTATAGTCAAAATTGTTTACATAGACAAAAAAAAACACATTTTGGTAAAACCAATATATTTCTCGTTTCACTCAGAATCTAAATAAACATGAATTAAAGAAGAAGTATAGTAATGTAAATATGCACAGTCAAATGAGTAAACAGAATTGTAAAACTTTATTCAATAAATATTAAAATTTACTCCATCAGATTTTATATTTTTAACTCTTACGTACTACTTAGATAAATTATTATTATATTATTTAATATAATTCTAATTATCAAAATTTACATAAATTAAATATTTTATCTAAAGCTTAGATACATTTTAGATTACAATCACACATATAATGATATAAATGAAGTAATTTATTAAAAAACACTATAATTCCAAAATTAGGTTTAATTCTAATAACTTACTTTTATAATCTTATTTCGAGATCCTTCATAATATAACTCTCCGGCAATTGAACAATGTTTTAATTGCATAACATTTTTAGTCAGTGTACCAGTTGTATCAGAAAAAATATATTTTACCTTAAAAAAAGTGATATAATTTATACATTAATATCATTATGCAGTTGAATAATTAATTTTATGTATAATTTTTCAGTATTATTTAAACACCAACGAGTCCTAAAAAATCTTTATTTTTTCTTGACTTTTTTGGAGGTTTTTAATAATTTAAGAATAATTTAAGTAAAATTGTTTTTGTTAAACAGTAATAGTTTGAAGTTTTTTTAATATAAAAACATTTAGTAATCAGTGGTGGATAGGCCTATCGGAAAATCAGGAGTTTCCAGTTCGCCTCTATTAATAGTTTTCTTGCTTTATTCCGCACTAGAAATTTACATTTTAAATTATATAAATAATACAATAATTATATTGACTTATATAACTGGAAAAATTTCACTTTTTTAATTTTTATAATAAAATTAATTTTGTACAAGACAATGGTTATGGTTATGCAGCATTCGTCAACATATAATAAAATGATGCTAAACCCACGTGTAATATATAAAAAATTTGAGTAAAGTTTGATCATTTCCCAAATACCGATCATAAAGCGCGGGTCACATTAGGCCGGTTTTCATCAACGAATTTAGTATTGGCTACTGTCGGCCATCGCAGCTTGGTGTGACTACAAAATTAGGTAGAAGCATTGCCAGCCGGTGTGCATTCGTCAATGGCTGTTAAAATTAAACATGTTAAGATTTTGGTAAGAGGCAGCGGTGACTAATTGTTACGTAACCGCTAGCACCAGCCGACAGCGCAATCCAACTACTACTATCAGCAGCGAGTAATATCGTGGTTTTTTGTTTAATGATATTTTGTTACTATTATTTTTTTTTTTTTTTTTTTAACGAATAATAATAAAATAAAACTATAAAAATTATAATAAATAGTAAAATAAAGAAATCATTTATTTTTTTAAATATTTTTCAAAACTATCCATGTTTGTGGGACGTTCAGGAAGTGCTGTAGGTACCAAAACTATTTAGAAGACCTAAGAACTGCAGAAATTTTAGGTACACTTAAGTCAATTAAAAAAAAGTTATAAGTTTAGAAGATACCAATCGAAAGGAACTTAATAAGGTTCAAAAATTGAAAAAAGTGGTGTCGGTGCAAACAAAGTATACAAGCCAATACTTGTAGGGTTAGTAACAGCCGAAAGAGTCACCACGTTATAAACCGCTACTTGCTAGTATTACCACCAACTGCTGCTGACCCGCGTTAAAATCAAGCGAGATGATAACAAATTATTAGCGTACTTGGAATAATTTTTCGGAAGGAGGAGCAAAATCTATACATTTGATTTTTACATATTAACATCAAGACATTCAATATTCTAAAAGCATAAAATATTTTAATCGAAACGAAAGTCAAACAACAGAATCAACTATTAACTATAAAGTATAATAAAAATAAATTATAATCAAAGGATATTGATAATTGAATATAACTATAATTAATAGATTTTTTTTTTTTTATTATCTATGATTATAACATGGAAAGTAGTATAAGAGCTGTCTTACGGATATTTAGGGTTTGGGGCAAATTAATTTGGGAGCCCTTCAATCATCACGCGTATGATACAAAAACGCACACATAGTTTGCAAAATGTTGCGATTGTTTGAATTGGTCATGCAGAATCAAACGATACAATTGTCTGTAGTTGTATAATCATATTATATTTTAATATAAAACATAGACAAATGTAATACCAAAATACCACGTCTTATTATTTACAACATCAATGGAATTAGTGTGATTTTCACCATCTTAACACGCAAATGTAAAGACTTAGATTTCTCTTTAATATAATTATTATACACAGTCTTGGAGAAAAGGCTAAATCAACATAATTTGTTTAGTAGGCAACCAAAAACATTCATCACAACTAAAACACATATAAGAAAAAAAAATAAAATAGATATAAGTATAATACTGTAAAATAATTGTGGTAAATGATAGGTGCCTACTATTCAAAATTTGCTGATTTGGTCTTTTTGTCCTATACTGTATATTAATTGCTGTATTGTGAATTCGTTTTGTGTTTTTTTTACATTTTTTTTTTTAAGAATAAATGAAGTATAAAATGTTGATACTATGAAATTAAGTGCCGAAAAATAGATTAATTAAATGTGCAAGTTTATTGTCACAAACAAAACTAAGTATATTTTTCTTCCAAACACCAATTCAAAGGTAATTGAAAACGTGTAATATGTATAATAAATTAGTAATTGCCTTAAAATAGAATTATTAAAAACTCTGTTCAGAATTCGAATATTTGTTATAAATAAATACCTGCATTTTTACCATGTTTAAATTATCACTAATAAACAGGAAATTTAAAACTTAAATTAAATAATTAAATAAGAATAAATACCTTGCCTAATTCAAAATTAAGATTTGGTGATTTAACCATGGCAGGCGAGTTGTTTTCTTCATGGTACATGTCAATATCATTTTTGATGAACCATGCCTAAAATACCAAAATATAATTATAAATTATTATTACATTTAATATATTATATGTGAAGTATTATACATATATATATATATATATTAATATCAATGTCTTCATGTATTTGGGAAATGATAATAAAAATATTTAAAGGGTGTTGCCCCTTAATATTTTTTCCAAATTAGGATAACTTAACAATTAAATAACAACTTAGAACGTTAAATAAGTAGTCTGTCATAACCTGTTCGTTTATTAAATATTTAGAGTAGTTGCATTTATAATTTATATTTATTATTTAAAACATTTCACCATTCTATAAAATGTATAAATTAAAAAATATACCTACATTATTATCATCCACACCGTTCATTATACAAAGAATGCATGGAAATGATTATTATTTATCGCTTATTTTTGTTCATCCCGTATTACGGTTTTAATACTAGTATTTTTAAATATTACTGCTATATTAGTGGTACCCAGTGCCCTCCAAACTGCCAATAACGTTCTAGGGTAACAACATTTAACACTTCCTCCTCTCCTCCAATTTTTTTGTTGTAAAATTGACTTCACATTTTTAACGTATAATTAATTTGGTAAAATACGATTGAAAACGTTATTTTTGGTACCTAAGACGATCGAGAACGCTCGAGTTTATTTCCAACGTTGCCAAATGTAATTGATCAATAATATGAGCACAATAATCTGCTGATATTTATCGGACTTTTATCGGATTAGCTGAATGTTATTAGTAACTTAGATATCAGATACAAGTGAATGACGGTTAGGCTTTGCAGTAGTCGTACAAACTATTCGTCAATATATTTCATAATTTTATAAGTTTTACATATTTTACAATTATTTTATACATATATACAATATACAGGTATTAGATATTTTTATAAGTCCTACATATTTTTAATTTTTTATTCACATTATATATTATATATTATTGGACGCTTATTTGTATACGATTATAATTATTAATTTATGACTTTTTTCGAGAATATTTATTTTATGTTTAGGTACTGAATTTTTCAAAAGCCAAATAAAAGATAATGCAAACTATGGCAACGTTGCACATAAATCGTATCGTTTTTTGGGTTTTTTTTTGGTTTAGCGGTAAATTCTTTGTTATTTTTAAATGTTCTCAATCGTTCGGCCAAAAAGGTATAACGTTCTCAATCGTTCGATAGCAAATTAGTTAACTTCATTCTTCAAATATGTTTAATATTTAATAGTTAAGATACCTACTTATTTATTATTTTGATTAATATTATTGTAATAATTTTATTTTGATGTTATTTCATAATTGACATTTCATTATCTTGACTAAATTATAGAAAAATTACTTTTATTCACATAACTATAAATAAAAATTATAAAAAATGTTTATATTCATAAATAACATATAATTATGAATTATACATAATAATATATTAATATAAGCATTCTAGGTAAATATTGCAATTAATTTTTATATTTATAAGACAACATAATCATAATAAATAATAATGTTTTTATCATTTTATAACATAGATATAATATTCTAACATTTAAACATTATGTATAAAACTCTTAGATTGAAAGGAATTTTTTATTGCTTTAAATTTTGAAAACTTTTAAACTAAATTACTTTCTGCGTTTCTGAGTAGATAATGTATTTATAAAATTGCTGTGATAAGAAAAGTTTGTTTAGTGAATTATTCGAATTCACTCAAACCTCAGAACAATAAACACTCAAACTCAATTTATTATTATATATTGATAAAATTGATAATAAATTGATTATAATATAACATGCACATATTTAATATAAATTTGGGTAATATTGTAATAATATTTATTAATAATAATAATAATAAATATTATTAAGGGTTCAGATTTTATAGCATTTGCTAATTTTTATATGATACAGATAAAAATGGCAAAGTGAAATACAAAATTTTCTACACCTGGGACTCCAAAAATGAAATTTTATTTTCATAGTTTTGATGCTATTATTGACCAATAGACATAGTAATATAATACTTTATTTATAATTTATCATAAGTATTATTTATATTGACCGAAAAATAGTATTAATTTATGTATAATAAGAAAAATTCCCACATTTCTATTTTTTGTCACAATTTTTTAAAATAATTAACAGAGAGTCGCTTTATTATTTTTTTTTTTAAATTTATTAATTCATAAGATTATTTTATAGATAATAATTCAAAAAATAAAATAAAACGCCATTAAAAGATAATACATTTAATAACATACTTATTTTTATTTATATTTTTAGGACATATTTTAAGATATTTTTGGTCATATTATAGTGCGTATTTTCAATACTTTTTAATAATATCAAATCCTAATCCTGGTAATTATGGTTCGCAGATGATATTCGTCATAATATAAAGTCAAGTCAATGTACTATAGTAATTGGTACCAACTACCCATACAATATCTATAAAGTCATAATTTGAGATCATAAATTACATGTAATACATAAAATATCATAAAATACATGTAGTCATATAACATATTATTTACATAATTTCATATTTAATAATATATATTGTACATTTTTATGGGTTCTCAGATATTTTAGTATAAATTAAAAATTAATGCTTACCTATCTAAAATAAAAAACCTAATCATCATCATTATCATCATTAATTTTTATGATGACTCTAAATTCATAATACTTTGTACACACTAGGGTACTTGCCCCGGTTGTCCCCCTCCCCCTTTAAGGTGGATATGATGGTATCCTTTCTTCACAATCCAGATTTGTGCTCAATTGTTTGTAATTATTATATGATTCTTATAAATTAATAAATATGTCATACTATTATTTTTTTGATAGTTATTTATTTATAAACTAAAAAAATTTTTTTATTATTATAGAATTATTTACCTGTAATAAACGTACAACTCTCACATAGACTTGAAGTGATACAGGGATTGTATTATGAAATATAATAAAAAAACTGATAAATTGCAAAAATAATGTGTATGAATCAGCATCTATTAAAAGAACGCAATAAAAAGATTATAATAATATGTATTTTCAATTGATATATTCATGTTAAATTTATTTAATAGTAAGTATAATTAAGATATTCATAAGCCATTCATTATAAATGTTATAACATTTTTATAAAAATTAAAAACATATACTAAGATTTATCTAGAAAATTTGTAAGTAAATTGGTATAACTGACCGAAAGCAACAATGAAAAATAATAAAATGATTTTTAAAATACAATTTCTTTTACGGTAAAAATTAGATATAAATGTAATACAAAGTTAAACTTTCTAACAGTTTGGAAATTAACTTTTGGAAAATATTATTTAATGTGACAGCAAAATTATTATTACCTTTTAACTCAAGATACCAATGGTTTTTGAAATTTTTTTTTGTCCACAAAGTATTACATATAGCACATACAAGACTTAATAGAATAATCAATAAAAAAACAGTTTTCAATTGCGAGTTTAAAAATCTGTCCATTGTTGATTTTTTTAAAGAATTAACGGTCTTATTTAGCATCAATTTCGTTTCTTCACCAGTGTATATTACGACTCCATAAATCCAATTTGTGTTTCTAAGAATTGATCCTCTATGTAAAAACTGTTTATTATCTAAAGGTATAGAACTATAAAATGTTCATAAAATTAATATATTTTCTATCTTAAACAGCGTAAATATTTCTCACGAATTATTCATTAATGTAAGCCTTCCCAAAAATGTATATAATAACTTATTTGGTAATTCGCATTCAATAAATCCATTTAAATTTATTAAGTCTTGTAATTCTTTGCAATACAATGTTTCTTGAAGACATTGTCTAATTTTTAAATTTGTTTCGTTATCTAAATTAAAAGTTTCGACATAACAAGTACCATAAAGTTCACTGAAAATAATATCTATTAGTTTTAAGCATATATCCATGATGTAGTTAGTTATAACTAATAAAAGATACCTAGATGAAAGAAGTATAAGATCCGCTGGAAAGATATCATTTTTTTTGATTTTAAGAATATCTCCGACACCAATATCGCTCCATTTTTCTTGAACTAAAATGCCATTTCTTAATACCTCTACACGAGTGAAGTTAATTTTATGATCTCTTATATTTATGATCTATAAAACAATTAATATAATACATAATACTTCTTCTCTTGATAAAATAAAAAACTTGGTAATCATTAAAAAATAAATGTAAAAATAGAATAATATTAATATTTTTATCATTATTATTCACAAAAATGAAATACCTAATGTACAACATACAAAATTTAATAATATTGAATTTCAATTTTTTTAAACAAAATTTAACAAAATTTGTTTTTCAAATACGATGCCATATTTCAAATACTGTTCCTTTGCAGTTAATTACGAAACATAATAACAAATAAGACAAACTTAAACCTAAATGTATGATATTGCTTTTAAGAGTACCTAATATAAAAGAGTGATTTGTCAATCAATATTAAAATTATATATTATACACAGTAGAATTCTCTCTAATTCAAGTATAAAAATCAATGGAATTGTAGCATTTTGTAAACATAATAAATATAAATATTAAAATTAGGTGTTGTTAAAAAAATTAAATTTTTCGAATAAATGAAACTTACCACGTCTTTAATTATTGATATAATGGCTGAAATAAAAAATACAAAACCCAAAGGTATTATAGTTGTAAATCTGCCCACTGGAGATACATCAGGTATTTGCTAAAACATCAAAATTGAAATTTCATGTATTCTTTTTTTTATTGTATTTTTCATAAATAATAAATATTATAATGGTATAAAAATAAAATAATGTTTTGTCGGTTAATAATATGTGGTCTCTAAATGTTGAGTGAATTTTATAAATTATTTTAATAATAACTTATAGTAATATACTAATATACAGTAGCAAACGCAGAAAAAAATGTGGGGTGGCGGGGTTCAATAAATGTAAAATGTTGACAATTAGCATGCTTTTATTAATCATTATATATATATATATACAAATATTTATAATTTTTTTTTTTTTTTTTATTAGCAAGTCTCATAAAAAGCTTTAGAACAATAATTAAAATTGTAGATCAGGTCATATTTTTATAATAGTTTTCTGATGTTATGGAGGGGGGGGAGTGTTTGAACCTCTAAAATCTCACGTAACATTCTTGTCTGCTAATTTATAATACTAACCTGTAGTATGGCTATAAAAGTGTAATACTGGTTGGGAAAATGTCGAAATTGTTCAATGCAAAACAATGGTAAAAATGATAAGACTCCGTATTTGGCAGTTATTACACGATTTGATTTTGACTTAGGTTGTTCCTTATCATTGAAATGTATAATTCGGCAATGATCATGATTAATTTCATATGTTTTATGAAAATCTATAATAATATTTTAAAATAAATTAGTTCAAATATAACTAGGAAGGTATTTTTATTCGTAAGTCCAAATGTAAATTATCCAAAAATAAATTTTTAATTTAAGAATTTCTGGTATTTATAAAACATTTGAGTCAAAATATATTAAAGGAGTTTCCAGGTATTTTCATTTTAATGAAATAAACAAATATTTAGTAAGAAAAGCATCGTCTAAGACGCTCCAAAATTGAAAAGTATACCAACAAAACCATATTATTATTTAATTCTTATGAATTTAAGTTTTTTCGAATGTTTTCTGAAAATGTATTCAACTTTAAAGTCAATAAGTAGTGTAAATCAGCCATGCCTTTTTTAAAATTATTTAAAAAAATAAAAATGTCTACAACTTGGAAAAAGTAGGTAAATAAATCATGGTCTAAATAGTGATGGTAATTAAATAGTTATTTAGAAAAATATCGAAATTCAGAAATATATTTTTATTCTAATAACTCATCAAATATATGGAATAAAAACTGATAAAAATAACAACACTAATGAAAAATAATTAACAATAATACATAACACAATAAACAGTGAACCAAAATAGAGAACAATTTCTGTAAATTAATCAAAAATATTTTTTTATTTACCTAAAATAAAAATATTTTCTTATTTCCTAATATTACTCTCAAATAATTAATCAATGTAAAAATATCTAAATATTAAAAATTCAAAAAACATAATACACATTTTCATTAACATTAAATTCTAATATTAAAACCCAGTTGACGTAATAGTATCATAATTGTATAAAACTTTTTAGTTTTACTTTTTAAAATACATATATAAATTGACTTTGAGTGACTATTTAAAATAATACTTGTCTATAATAATTTTAATGTAAAATAATCTTTAAATTCTTAGGATTTTTACCCTTAACTTTTAACAAACATTTTTGCAACACAAAATGTATAAACAAAGGTATTAATAACTCATAAAATGTATTGATTATGTTATCACAAATTTTTAAACATGTCATATATCATTACAATAATTAAATTAGACTATGAAAAACTAATTATTTTAAATCTAATAAAAATAAAATATATTAAAATGTTTTTATATTATTTCTATTGTCAATTTATTTGAGCAAAAAAATTAATTTATCTTGTTTTGAAAAGGGCGTATATTATTTTTAAAAATTTTTTAATTTTTAATAAAATAAGGTTGAAATTATATATTCATTCAATAAAATTTCATTCTCAACAATATTTATTTATTATAATTTATATACTAAGAATTGTTTTTTAATTAATATTTTAAGTACCTAATTCAACTATCAAATTTGGTAAAATATTATTAGGTATTTTATTAATTTACATAGAAATGTTTACATTTCACTTAATGGGAAAATGTTCATAGATGGATGGTTTAATAAGCTTGTAATTTAAGCAAAAAACAATTACATAATTTATAGCATAATGTTTTACCAGAGTATTTAGGGCATGTATTTTGACATTGTGATTTCATCCTCCAATGATGCATTTTTTAATGGATACCTTAAATGTTTAACAATAATGAAATTATACATTATAACAAAGACAAAATGATTAAGTTAATAACTTGAATTGAATAACTAATTTAATAAATTGATAAAAAAAATTAATAATTATTTTCAGAGCTCAGTAATCATTCTATGCCTATTTATAAAAGGTATACATAGGTATATATAATGTAGTAAAATCTTGACACAAATACTTTTTTAAAAAATCATTATCTTATCTTTATTATTTATTTATTTGTCACTTGTAAGTTATCTTTTCTGTGTAAATACAAATTTGATAAAAAAAAATTAACCTTAATAATCATAGAAGTTACCTGTAAAATCATCAATAAATGTACATGGTACACTCATACACATAAAAACTGAAATAAAAGCTAAATCATACAAAGTACATAATTTTAATTTATACAACCAGTAAATTATTAAATTGTTCAGTTTTTATTATATTTATATATTTATCTTTTATGAAGAACATTACATTCTTATAAGAAAAAACTTCGAAAGACGTTAACCTATTAAAAAACAAAAAGAATTATTAAAAAAGAAAAAAGTAACATATCAAGGTAGATATTTAAATTATGGAATTTAATTATTCAAATAAAAGGTTAAATATTTTATCAGTCGGTTCTGTCAAACAAAAAACGATTAGACTACACATCTAAATCGTAATTAAATTATTATGTTTATTAAATTGAGTACAATGCCAAGTGACTGTCAGGTGCAATTACAACGACCCAAATTACATTACGATGAGACTTATCTAGACCAAAAAACATTGTTGTCGACAAATTGCGACAAAATGTTTATGACAAAGTTATCTACAAAATTAAAAACATGTGCGTCAAAATAAGAAGTGTAAACATTTATTTTTACCAAAATGTGATTTGAGGACGACGCACATTGAGATGAAATTCATTTCTAGCTTGCTAGATGTCATTTTTTTTAATATTTCTTAAGTCATCGATCATTATAAATTATTTTTCTCTACTATATTTGTGATCTATTTATAGTCTTTATAATACTTTTGAGTAATATATCCAAGGGCAGAGTGGAACCAAATTCATGTCGGGAAATTGAAATATTTCCATGCCACCCATATTTTACTAATTAAATCACCAAAAACCATTTTCTCGCTATGCTCAAATTACATTTATATTTTGATTTCCAGAAACTATATAAGTATATAAAAATATAGAAAAATAAAATAAACAAATTTTTTAATAATAACTAATTCTAAATAGAAATAAATATTTTTTATTTTTTTTGTAATAAATACAAGTATTTAATTATTTTGCTAATTTGCACTTCTAAAATAGATATTATATCAATATATATTAATATACCACTTATAGCTGAGAAATAAAATTAGTATAATTTAAATTAACAGAATATTAATAATTATATATATTTTACTTTAATAGTTTAGATACAATAGATAGTATGTAACAAATACATTTATAATAAATAAATATATAAATTGTTAGTAGTATAATTAAATATTAAAAATTGTACAAAAAAATTACCAGTAAAAAAAATACATATAGATTTATAATAATAATTTAGATACTAGTTTAAATTTCTCACTAACTGCATTTATAATATTATTATTAGGTATCTAATTCCAGGAGAATTTTATTTTCGATGGCCATTAGCATAAAGGATTAAATTAAAGATTACATAAAAAATGTTCATTGGTCATTAAATTTCTTTATTTGTTTTTCAAATATTATAATGTTGAAAATGACCTTTCACTCCATAACAAGTAGGGTTAAAATGGACTGATATACTATAGTTAATGCAGAGTAAGCATTTGCAAAAAATTTTTATTTAATTAATACATTATAACAACATATTACACAATTTGTACAAAACACATTACATGGTTTTACAACATCCACACTCTCTAGTTCTTTATTTTCAGAATCACTTATATAATATGATTGTTCATTATAATTATTTTATTTTATTATTTATTTTTAATATGCCTTTGTTCGCACATTACAGCAAATTATAATTCTTATCAAGTTTTTTTAAAAAATGCCATGATTTTCCAAAATTAATAAGTTTTTCGATAGTTTATTTTGTATTTCGTTTTCAATTAAATTACCTTTCATAAATAAATGGTTTAATTTTGTTAAAGAATCAGTTGGAAGTTCACTTTTAAACAATTTTAAATTTGACGGAGATAATAAAAATAAATCAATCAATAAATCATTATTGTTTGAAAACCGTTTATTCATGCTTTAAATAATAGTATACAATACTCTGTTATAAATTTATATAGTATATTTTCTTTTTTTTTCTTCAATTGGTTCATCATTGCTTTCATAACTTACCATTATTCTTTTTTTAACCACTCGTTTGACTTAAAATTCACTCTGAATTTTTAAATTTCTAGGTCTCCGCTAGATTCATCTATTCCTTTTTTAGTATTTACTTATTCATTTTAATAATAAATTCATCACTAACTTTCAACTAAACTTCATATTTCTTTGGTTTTTTTTATGCTCGTTTAATGATGTCTTCACCATTTAAACACATTTATGTAAATAAAATGTCTACAAATATCCTTGATAAGGGCCCCATTATTGAAGATATATTCAGATATAGATGTGTGATTAAGATAGTTTTATACTTTAACAATGGAGTTAATAAATTATTTGCTTTTGATTGAATGTTAAGCTTTAATGATTCATTTTTTGAAGCTTTAAAAAGTGCAATAATTAAATCTGGATAGATGACATCATTTAATTTACCATTACTTCCAAAAATTCTGTTCAGGACCGGATTAAAAGTTTATCGGGCCTGGAGCCTAGTAGTACTTATTCATTATTTATAATCGGAAGGAGAATAACGTTGAGGGGGCTTTCTAATCCTGAATGGTCTGGGAGTTTTTTGTGTATCAATCGATGCAATATTATGTGTTGGTTCAGAATCAGATTTAGTGGAATCATTACTGGGTAAATTTATTATGTTGGTTGCGGGGGACAGTGAGTTATTTATTTGGTTGTGTGGCCATATCTGATCAGTATGTCTTATCCATTCTGAACCCTCGTCTAGTGTGACTTTATGAGTGTTTTTACTAATGTTTTCTGTTATTTTTCCTTTTTGCCAATTTTCATTTTTATTTCGATAATCCTTAACTAATACCATATCACCCTCTTTTACATTAATATTGCTTTTTCCAGAATTTTTTATTTGTGTAATTTGGTTATTAATAACTACTTCATTCGTATTTGGGATTAATAAATCAAAAATAGTACGTGTTGAGCGGCCAAACATAAGTTTTGCTGGCGTTTCATTTGTAGTTGAGTGTACAGTATTTCTATACATCAATAAAAATTTATTTAAATGGTGTAATGATGTTGAACATTTATTAAAAAATTGCTTAACTATTTTTACTCCTGACTCGGCAAATCCATTTGAGGCCGGGTGGAAAGGTGCCCCTGTCAAATGTCTGATACCTAGTGTTTTGCAATATGACTGGAATTCAAAGCCATTAAAACATTTTGCATTGTCAGTTGTTATTGTTCTGAGAATGCCGAAACGTGCAATTAACTCAGACAATTTTTTTATGACTGTTTGTGCTGTCATCGAACTCACTAGAAAAACTTCTAACCACTTTGTGGTTGCATCGACAATAATTAAGAATGTTTTGTTTTTGTACAGACCTTAGAAATCGCAATGCACTCTCGTCCATTGTCTTTGTGGCCATTTCCACAGAGTTAGTACTGACTTAGGAGAATTAGGTTTCGCATTTATGCATTCATTGCAGTTTCGGGCCATATCCTCAATTTCTTTATCTATATTAGGCCACCAGAAATACGATCGTGCTATGCTTTTCATACTCGACATGCCAATATGACAAGAATGCAGTTCAGTTAGAATTGACTTACGAAATTTGATTGGTATGATTACTCTATAGCCTCAAAATAAACAATCTTGTTCAGCTGTAATTTCTATTTTGCGTGTATTATACGAATTTAATTCGGAATTTTTTGAAAAATCATTACTCCATGAACCTGTTTTTATAGCGTGTAATATTCTAGAGGTAATTGGATCTCTTTTCGTTTCAATTTTAATTTTGTGCCGATCTAACGGAAATGGCGACTGTTCGTGAATAAAATTAATGTGAGCGTCATCATATTCATTAATATTATTGTTACATTGGTGTGTTTTAATGCGTGATAAAAAATCGGCAGTATTTCCTTCTGATTTAATATACTTAATTTCAAAATCAAATGAAGAAATATGCCCACCGTTGTAAGCGATTTGCCGCATAAATTGGTATTCCTTTTTTTTCTCCAAATATGAGGATTAACGGTTTGTGATCAGTGACTAATGTAAATTTTCTACCGTATAAATAATCGTAAAATTTTTGAACGCCAAAAATTATGGCTAGACCTTCTTTTTCGATTTGTGGAATTTTGCATTCACTGTCTGATAATACTCGTGATGCATATGCAATTGGTCTTTCTGAGTTGTCAGGATAAGTATGCGATATAATTGCACCTAGTGCGTATGACGAAGAATCGACCGTGAGTTTTATGGGAAGTTTTTGGTCATAATGTGCTAACACAGGACTTGAGATAAGCATTTTTTTTATGTTATTATATGCTTGATCACATTCTGGTGACCATAGCCATTTTTTTTCTTGTCTCAATAATGAGTATAACGGTTTAAAAATGTCCGCTGCTCTTGGAACGAATTTAATATAATATGTTACTAAACCTAAATGATTTTAACATAGTTTTATTTTCTGGAACCAAGGCAGATTGTATTGCATTTATGTGTTTATCTAAAGTGTGCAAGCCATACTCATCAATTTTATGGCCTAAATATTCAATTGAATTTTTGAGAAAACAACATTTGTTTTGTTTAACCCTTAAACCAATTTCGGATAAACGTTAAGTAATTTTTTTAATCTATTGTTGTGTTATTCTACCGTTTTTCCCGCAACTATTATGTCATCTTGAAATATACCGATCCCTTCTAAGCCTGTGGTTGATATTTCCATGGCTTTTTGGAATTCCCCAGCTGAGCTTTTTATTCTGAATGGATTTCGAGTATAACTGAATAGGCCTTTGTGAGTATTTATTGTGGTGTATTTGCGATCACTTTCTTTGATTACCATTTGTTGATATGCATCTTTAAGATCTATTTTAGAGAAATATTTTGAACCACTTATATTCGCATATAGATGTTCTATTTTTGGTAAGGGATATTCAGTTCCTTCCAATACGGGGTTGATTGTAATTTTGAAATCTCCACAAATTCTAACTGTACCGTCGGGTTTAAGAATTGGAACAATTGGAGTGGCCTATTCGCTGTAGTTCATGGGAGTTAAAATATTGTTATCTATTAAACGATCAATTTCTGACTCTACCTTAGATTTTAGTACTAAAGGGATTGACCTTGGCTTGAAAAACTTGGGTATAGCCCCCTTTTTAATGTTTAGCGATATTTGGTATTTATTAAAGGTGCCAATTTCATCTTTGAATAAATGCTCGAAATTTTTTAATATGTTCTCTAAATTTTCGTCTACATTTACAGTGTTATAAATGGGAGAATAGTTTATTATTTTTAAATCATTTCTACCGATTAATAGCGGTCCTCCGTTTTTTATTACGTAAATACACATTTTAAAAGACTTTTTCAAATATTTAGCATTTACTATTATTTTTCCTGTTGGGCTTATATCATTTCCGGCGTAATCACGTAGTGAAATATCGTTTGGTAATAAAGTTACATTATTAAAACTTATATCATATAATTGTTTTAAAATTACACTATGTACAGCCCCAGTGTCTATTTCAAATTTTAAATCTTTATTTTCAATTGATAGATTGATAATGTATGGTTTTACTTTATTTTGAAAGTTGTTTTCAATCATATTAAAAAAAGTGTCAGATAAATTGTACGTGATTGCGTCATCATGAATATTTTCATTCGAGCTATCAGCTGAATTTTCGGTTAAAAATTTATTGTGTGAGCGGTTATCGTACTTTATTATTCTTACTTTTACACATAGGAGCCAAATGACCTTTGATGTTGCAAATATTACAGCGGTAGTCCTTATATCGGCATTCCTTTTGTGTGTGGTTTGATCGACTACATGTTCCACATTTTGATTTTTCCGTGGTTGACTGCTTGGCTGATTTTGCTTGGTGACTTTGTTTTTGATATTTAAAGTCAGCTTCTTCCTTTATCCATCCGGTTTTAATATTGATTGTAGATTATTTTGCAGCAGAAATTTCCATAAGGTGCGAATACGTGATGCTTATTTTTGAAGCATCTTCTTCTAATAATCGATCTTGAATTGGTCCCGCGTTCATACCCACAACAAAAATGTCATGAATTACAATTTGTAATTCTGTTGAAAAATTGCATTTTGATGCTAGGTTCTTTACTCTTGCTCTCCATTCAGCTACAGTTTCGTCTGGTCTCTGCTTTGCGTTGTAAAATGCGTGTCTTGAAGCGAAGTACGATTTCACTGGTTTGTAATAATTGTTTAACAAACCTAATAGAGTGTCGTATTTTTGAGAGTCTGGTTTGGCTGGAACGCATAAACTGAATAATATTTTGTGAACTTCCTCACTAATTAAAGATAGTAGTATAGCTCTTTTCTGGACTTCATTACTTATTCCGTTTGCAACGAAAAAATTTGTAAGCCTTGATTCAAATATTGTTATGTCGTTTCCAAGCTCAAATATTCCCGGTGAACCTATTATATTATGGAATTGAGTTATACTTTTGTTATCCTCACCCATTTTATAAGTAATTTAATTTAATACGAGATGAGTTTAAAAATTGTTTTCGTCGCCAATTTGTTGTGTCGTTGCATTAATATAAATTCAATGATCATACGTTAATTAGTATAATTACAGTTTATAATCATAAATAGTAATAACGTGTTTATTGTGTATAAGGCGTAAGTAAACTCAATGTCGTGCGAGGCACACACGTCGCGTATGGTAGGACAATCCCCCACCATATATATATATATATATATATATATATATATATATATATATATA